CTGAAATTCTGAAATTCTGAAATTCTGAAATTCTGAAATTCTGAAATTCTGAAATTCTGAAATTCTGAAATTCTGAAATTCTGAAATTCTGAAATTCTGAAATTCTGAAATTCTGAAATTCTGAAATTCTGAAATTCTGAAATTCTGAAATTCTGAAATTCTGAAATTCTGAAATTCTGAAATTCTGAAATTCTGAAATTCTGAAATTCTGAGATTCTGAAATTCTGAGATTCTGAGATTCTGAAATTCTGAAATTCTGAGATTCTGAAATTCTGAAATTCTGAAATTCTGAAATTCTGAAATTCTGAGATTCTGAAATTCTGAGATTCTGAGATTCTGAAATTCTGAAATTCTGAGATTCTGAAATTCTGAGATTCTGAGATTCTGAAATTCTGAAATTCTGAGATTCTGAAATTCTGAAATTCTGAAATTCTGAAATTCTGAAATTCTGAAATTCTGAAATTCTGAAATTCTGAAATTCTGAAATTCTGAAATTCTGAAATTCTGAAATTCTGAAATTCTGAAATTCTGAAATTCTGAAATTCTGAAATTCTGAAATTCTGAAATTCTGGAATTCTCAAATTCTCAAATTCTCAAATTCTCAAATTCTCAAATTCTCAAATTCTCAAATTCTCAAATTCTCAAATTCCGAAATTCTGAGATTCCGAAATTCTGAGATTTTGAAATTATGTAAATCTCAGATAGTGAAATTCTGTAAATCTCAGATAATGAAATTCTGAGATTTTGTGTTTTTAAGATTCTTAGATTCTCAAATTCATATATTCTCAGATTTCGAGACTATGAGTTATGTATAATTAGATCAAATCGCACCGAATGCGCACCATCGAGATGCGCCAGAGGTGCGGAAAACAAGCTGGTACTATTTCAATAATGGAAAACTCGCATTTATTGATCGCGCGCATAGTTTCTTCTTTTGAACAAAAAGTTATGATTCAACTGAAAATACTGATAAGGAAAACTCGGGAGACGTAGACAGGTGGACAGTCGCCCAGAATATACAAAGATTTTCAATATTATTTTTTGTTTTTCCCCCGATGACTCTCCGTTTCGAACGATTCCGGTATTTTCCGGAAAATGGGAAAACTATAACTTTGGTTAGTAAGGTAGCACCTTTTTTTAATAGATTAATTTTTTTCAGTTCCTTGGAGCAGTTTTAGGTCTCATTGTATGTTTCATTGATCTCCACAATTTGAAAGGTAAGTTCTTTTCATTTTTTGGAGGAAGCAATTGCGAAAATTTAGAAACTCATGTATTTTGGTCAATATTTTGGATATCTCTTCTTTTTGACATTATCACTATTTTGGTATTATTGAAAGACTGGGATGAAAATGTGGATTGGTTGAGGAAGGCTCCTTACTCTTTATGGGTGAATTTTAAAAAAAATTTAAAAACTGTTTTGTATCAAAAGATTTCAGCATAGTCTGTTATCCCTGGTAATCAGTTTTCTCATGTTCATGGCTGGAGTTTATTTTATGTCAATGGAATCTCAATCTGGAGAGAGTGCGATGTATGTGGCCGCGGTGAGTTTTTGTTTTACAAATAAACGATTTCCCGATTCTAAAACAATTGAAACCTGATAAAAATTGGCGACCGGGACATTTCGAAAGCGTGACAATTCGAAAATGAGACATTTCGAAAGTGGACATTTCCAATATGTCTTATACATTATATCTTATACATAAGCGTTTCGGAAGCGCGAAAATCTATAAAACACTAGATGTGTCTGTCCTGATGAAAGTCTGTAGACTCAAAAACTGAAAAATAAGAACTGAAAAATAAGGACTGAAAAATAAGTTGTTGTATATTTTATTGACCGGCACTGTATATGTATTTAGAAAACCTGAAAAATGAGATTAAAGGGGCTTTTTGAAGAATTAAATTATATTTAGGCGCTTGGAAAAACATGTAAAAAGGAGTTTTAAAGAATCAACTTTTTTTTGTTGAAATATATGGAAATTTATGAAAAATAACAAAGATTTCAAAAGTGTACTGATTAGCCAGATTAGAGAGTCTGTTGATCCCTTTCGCCACGTAGAGGCTCAGAACATGAAAGGGAAACAAGGTTTATTTGCCAATGGGATCACCTTCTAAAACCCATAAGGGGTGGAGGGAGGGGTCCCCCACCCAAAAAAAAAACAAGTAGTGTGCCGAACAACCCCTGTTTTCGGAGACCATTGTCGGTTAGTTTTCAAAAGCTCCTTTTCCCTGATAAGAAGCTAGATGCATACCGCTTTTCATTGTTGTTTCAATGTTTTAAATCTTTCATACAACCTCTTGCTACTGGGGGACGTTCAGTGAAAACACCTAGCCATGAACCCCGAAACATGGCGACCCTTAGGGCCTTTCAGTACTTTTTTCACATCGCACCAATCGACAGAAAAAAGCAAAAGAAACAACAACAAGCAGCGTAATGCAAATGGCTTCTCACCAGAGAAAAAGTGCCTGTGAAAATTCCAACAATAAAGATTCAAAGAGTGGGAATTCACAGAAAACTGATTTTTTTTCTCCAATACGTGGAATTTTTTAAAGGAGGGGGCGTGACCTAATATTTATTGATTTAATAATTTATTGCGTTACGTGAATAAAAAAAGTAATACATTCTGAAAAGCTTGAAAATTCAAAAAAAAATTGACGTGACCTTTGAAGAACAGTGAAGTAAATAGGTTAAATCGCGCCGAAGGCCCACCAGCTAGCTGTTTAAAGCGCCAGAGGATCGTTTGATTTAAAGCTACTAAAATTTTCAAAGCAATCCTCCAGTCTAGGTATTGTTCTGATTGTCCAAAGATGAACGGCGTAACGCCGTTGTGATTTTCATGAGGTGAATCAACTTTGATGTGCGATAACTCAACTCAAAGTTTATCAAAAAATTTAAAATTTGGCCAGCTTAAATGATAGATCTTTTCTGCTTTTGCACTTTGAGCCGAGTACAAAGACTTATTCAAATTTTATGTTAGTACAAACTTCATTCCGGGAACAATCAACTAATGCGATTCTGGAAAAAATCTGTGTTTTTTCAGTTCTTCTGTTTCCTAATATTTGGAATTCGCATTGCATGTGTTCTCAAAACGTTCCCACAGCTCAAGCAGGATCTTCACTTCCCAGGTTCCACAATTTTTTTCATACCTTTAAATATATAAAAATTTCAGGTCGTCCCACCAATTCACATTATGAGAATGAGGGAACCGCAATTGCATAAGTTGTGCAGCATAACTGTAAATATCTCTAAATGTTTTTTTTCTTTTCCTACTCCTTCTCTATTATTAATTTTTGAATGAATTGTGTAAACCTGTTGGAGAATAGAGCATCAATACGTTATCACTCTAAAAACGGAGAAGAAGAAGAAGACCAAATAATTGATAAGAATGACACAATGTAGTAACCGAAAACATCATATAAGCGACTCTTTTTTCTTTAGTTTTACTGATATTTTGACAATAAATAACGGATTGAGATTGTTTTTTTTTCAGGAAAATGCCACTGAACGTTTCCAGATTCAAGAAGCTTCCAGAGCTGGTGAAACTTTTGTCATTGGTGAGCTGGAAAACGGAAAAATACAGTTACAATTTTGGTTATTGATCATTTTATTCGTTCAACAACATACTTATTCAATTAGGTCATGTGGTTGGGAATACGGTCAAAGTATAGACCGTAAAACCTTTATTATTAGAGGACCCCTTGAATTTCAGGTAGCCCTTCTATTTTTCCAAAAGTTTTTATCAAAAAATTATGTGAATTTTCTTTCAAAAGAATGAAAATTCATGAATTTCACAAAAATTAAGGAAGTTTTTGAGCAAAAACCTGTGTCATTTCTGTTAGAGTTCGGGATTCCCGGAATATTTTTCACTGAAAACGTACGGTAAATTTTTAATTTCAAACAGTCCATTTTGAAAAGGGCCCTTCTATTACAGGGAGCATTACTATTTTTCCAAACACTTCTCAGAGGACCGAAGGTCCTACAACGACAACTACAGTAACCGGAAAGTATTTCATTTTTCAGGGTTTATAATAAATACTGAAAATATAAATATTTTTTGTACCAGAACAATAAAAGAAACATCTCAGACGAGATGAAAAACCTTGCCGGCGCGAAAAATTAAGTTTTCTTGCGGCGTACACGCTGCAGGAGAAATGGTTTTTTCAGGCCGACAAGGTTTTTTGAAAGTCACGCCGGCATGGAAAAGCTCTTTCAATCCTCTCCTTTCCCTCCGCAGCCGATGAATCAATAAAAATGCATCATATTAATGAGAAATGACTTAAAAGTAACATCTTCCAAAAAACAAAAGGAAGTAGGGAATTACATTTGAAGTACAATTTGAGAAATGTGGATAAGGCCCAAGAACTAGATTAGTCTCCAAATTCTTCACAATTTCGTCTGATTGAAGCAAATGATGTTGGTTTGAATTCGTTCCGTTTTCAGAGTAATTGATTGTTCGAACCGAAATCCTTGATTCCTGGTCAAAGCTCGCTGACTGAAAATTAATTTTTGGATTGATCATATCATCAGTGTTATACTCACTAAATTGCGAATCTTTTAAGATTTCAAGGTCCGTGAAAAGTGGGTTTTCTCTAGTTTTATCCGACTAGTTGAGCTTACATTTGACCGAAACGAGAAGGTATTGTTATGTCAAGAGTATCTGCAAAAACTCATTGTTTATTTTTATGAAAACCGGACAATTTCAAACCTTCTCAACTCTCGTTTCTGTCGCAAGTTGGTTGAGAAGTCGAGGGAGCCATAATTTCTAGAATTTGGAGAATATTTTGAAGGTGAAACAAAAATGAAAACGTTTGAAAATAGGAAAACTTGTAAATACATTGAAAATTTTAAACACTCAGGAATTTCGGAGCTTCGTTTCCTCTCCGGCGGATGATTTTTCTTTCCCTAACATACCGGGATGACTCTCTATATGGCCGTCATGACTCTTTCTTGCCGGCAAGCAAAATTATCATGCCGAAACCAAAAATTCTCATGCCGACAAGGCACTTCTTCGCCGGCATGAGTTTTCATCTCGTCTGAGATGATAAAAAGAAATCCAAAAGCAATCAATACTTAAACAAAAAACCTTCAGCTAACATCGCTAACACTTCTCATTTACCTCGGAACCATCAAATTCAGACCACCAGGTTAGTCAAAGAAGTGCTATTCAATGTCTCAACATTTCTTTAGGAATGTCCGTTATATGGTTCACCATCGGCTGCTCTATAGTTTTCGACATTTGCACCATTGCAGTTCTCCTCAAAGAATACGATTTTTCAATTATGGCGATTCGAATGTTACCGTATGCTGCTATTGTAAGGTTGCTTTATTCGCTTTTATTGAATCTCAAAAATTAAGGAATGCGTTGGATCAATTCTTGCACTCATTTTCTATGTCATCTCGACGGCGATTTCAATCAGCAGTGAAGAAGTCACTGATGATTTCGGATTCATGGTTGTTGCTATTATCTGTCTGTTGAGCGCACTGATCCATTTATCCAACCTTGTTGTTAACATTCGAAGATGGAATAATGGATCTCATCATTTGAGTAAGACTATTATTTTTTTTGTTGATATTCCTATATTTTCAGATCCCGCAGGTGTTTACGAATACTCAAACTACGGATCTGAAGCTTGAACCTAACAATTTTGATATTTTATTTTAAAACCAATTTATTCATATATTTATTCAACAAATCAAAGTCCACAACAACGATAAATAAAAAATTGAATTTCCAAAAATTAATGTTCATCAACGGAATGTTTCCGTTTCATCACAGACGTGTAGAACTCGAAAATCGCAGAAGCGGACGGTTGTGCGAGACTCCAGGCGGCTTCAAGTTGTAGATAATCCCAGTTTCCAATAACGTCCATCGAACAGACTTCTGGGAATCCGTCAGTTCCCTTGCACACAGCGAAAAGAACTTTTCCAGTTGAGGCAGCCTCTTGTTTCGCTGTTGGATCAATGATCAGTTCGTCTTTCACTCGGACAATCAGGACGCCACAGAAGACTGTTCTGAAAAATATATTTGAACCTACAGATTCTTTGTAAAATATTCTTACTCAAATGGCATTCCATTGTCGAGAAGAGCGAAACATGCACCATTGAGAGAAACTGCTCCCATACTTCCGTCATCCTGTATTCCATGAATTGTAACAACAAGACCAGTATGAGGGAAAAGCTCCAGATTGATTGCCTTGGCAAGTGTCGATTGGATGATATTGTTCAGCTGAATTTCAAAAGTTTTATTATTTCCAAATGATTTCGGTTCATACCACACTGAACTTGTTATCTCCACAGTTAGCTCTATAGCTGATATCCAGTGTCATTGCTTCCTCATTTGCTTTTGAAGCATGTACGTCTCCTGGTCCACTGCACGAAGCCCAAATACATGTAGATCCTTGTGAGAAGCACGCCGAACCGTCTGCATTTTTTAGGAATGACAACTCACATCGCATTTCTCGTAGCCTTCCTGCCATCTGTAAATCGGATGGATTCTGAAATAAGATCCTGAATAATATTCAGAGCTGAAAAAAAAATCTTGGAGTAGACAACCGATAACTTATGAAAAATGCAACAAAAATTGAAGTAAAAAGAAAATTCATTTCAAACACAACAACATTAAAAGCAACAATTGAAACAAATAATAATGATGGAACCGATCATTTTTTGTAATTAATAGTTCCGGTACGATTCGACGACTTCTTCATAGAATTGTTCTTTTTAGATTTATTTTTCAAACGGTATTTCTGATGGAACGGGTCGAAAGCGGCATTGGGATCACTTACAGGCTTTTCTGAATTTTTAAAATATTAATTTCCCTATGTCAAATTTATAGCTTACCGAATTCGCTGCTATCAGCCTTATTGTAGTCAAACTCTTCTACTTCGCCCGATTCTTCCTCAGTTTTGATTTTCTTTGGATCCGAACAACTTGATGTTTCTCCAAGGACGACAGAAACGTCGATGTTCCTTCGAGCAGCTTGCATCTTTCTCTTCATTGCTTTCTTTGACATGATTTGGTCGTCCGAGAATCGAGATGGATCGAAAATAGGAGGTTCTGCTTGCTCTTCCATCGTTGTTTCTTTTTGTTGCTCCTCAGCTTCTGTAGCTTCCACCTTGAGGTTATCCACGTTGAGAATCTGAAAACACACAGAATAAAAACTTTTAAGAGCAGAATATTAACCTTCGGATCAAACTCTGGTTTTCGCACAACAGCTGCGTCGTGGTGTGAGAACATGGTTTTCGGTTTGTCACCTTCCTCCAGTCTCTTTCTTTCGGCTTCTTCCCTATCCTCTTCTTCTTGCTTCTGCTTCGCGATCAACATCATCTGGTAGCACTCAAATGGAGTTACGAACTTATCGAGCTCGTTTAATAATTTTCCGATTTTCTTATTATCTGGCTTCTTTCCTTTTTCAACCACTGTCATTGCTTCTGGATTTGGAGCAACAGACGATGATTCGAGAACAGAGAGCAGCGATTCCTTATGATCCTTCTCCAAAATCTCCTTCATTTCTTCATTCTTATCAATATCAAGCTCTCCTCTCTCTTCATCAAACTTGGTATGTGAAAAATCGATCTTCGATTTCAGGACGGATGTTATATAATCCATAGAATCGTTCATAACTCCTCTCGCTTCTTGTGCATCTGTCTTTTCCTTCACACTTCTCTCAGCCTTTTCCAGTTTGATATCTCTGGCTTCCACCATGATTCTGAAAAAAAGAAAAATGTTAGGTATTTTAAATGTTTGGTCCTAAACATACTTGAGAATATCACCAGTACGCTGTTTTACAAAATACGGCAGTGGATTACAGCATACGTAAATACCTCCCACATCCCTGGGAAGCGTTTCAGCAAGAGATAACAGCATATGATTAGGGAGGACGAACTGGGGACTCTCATCTTCGGCTCGAGCGACGATATCTCTCCAACGATAGAGACTAGTAAGAGCGAAATCTTGTCGATTGTTCAAAGTGAATCGGAACTTAATTTCTGTCATGTATCCTTTTGGATTGAACACTGGTTTCTTGTAAACACGTATGCACAAATCGTTACTCTCTGCATACACATTTTCCAGATCCTTGTGTCCTTGTTGCAACAGTTGTTCTCTTAACATATCATACGAGTAAAGAAGGTAGTGGGTGTCTTCTCTGGCATAATTAATCATTGCATTTCGAAGTGGTCTTGCTCTCCAGTCAGCCAACTGATACTGCTTGTCGAGAACAACGTCAGCAAAACGGAATGCAAGATAGGCGAGACTGAACTTGGGATACTTGAGCTTCTTCATCGCAACGTAGGTATCGAACAGGTTGACGACATGCACTCCAAAATCGCGTTGAAGCCAAAGAACATCGTTATCAGATCCGTGGAAAACTTTGAGGATATTTGGATTGGTAAACGGCTCGTTCAGAATTCCAATACGATCCCACATTGGGAAAGGATCAATGATGAAATCCTCATCTCTTGTTGAGATTTGAATGAGACAAGTGAGGCCAAGATACGTTCGCATTTCATGATGTTCCAAATCGACAGAAAACTCTTCAACACTGTTCAACTTATCCCTCAATGATTCCAATTTCTCCTTTGTGTCAACGATAGTCAGCGGTGTTTCTGTCAAAGTTTTGAATTTTTGTGGTGTGACAGATTTCAGTTGCTTCTCTGGAACTTTGAAATGGAGCATCTCGGCAATATAAGGATGCTCTTCTTCAGTTTCTGCCGAAGCGCTGATCCAATCCCTTTGACCTGATTCGTTGTCGTCAACTACCACAATTCCGCTTCTTCTCTCGACAGCGTGATGCTTGACTGTCAATTTTGAAGCAAATGGTGCCGATGAGTTGTCACTTGTGATGTTGTAGGTTCTCTGTGGTTTTTCGTGAACAACCATTTGAGCAGCCTCCTCTCTTCGTTCTCTGAACTTCGCGGCTAATACAGTACCGATGTTAGCTGAGAAGGTCTTCATAGCTTCAGCAACTTCGGCTTCCGTTTTGCGATTTGTCGGACCGGCTTTCGTTATGAACTCTGGTACTTTCACAATAGTGTCCCTTTCTGCTTTTTTGAGTACTCCGTGAAGAGTTGCCACTCTTTCCGCAATGTTATCCTGTGCTTCAATCACACATTCTGTGTAGTGCTCGATACTTGAACCGACATCTGGCAGTCTCATAGCACATCCAATTGACTTTGTTATTTTGCCCATCCTAGAAAAAGGAAATAAATACGGTTCAGTACTTGTGTCGGATGAAACTTACAGTGCATTCAGGCGTTCCTCTGAGCGTTTCATAAACGCGTTGAATGTCGGATACGAATTATAGAGCTCAAAATCAGCACCAGATTTTGGAAGACCGTTCGATTCTCGAACCAAAGCAGCTCCTGTTCTTGTCATTTCCTCCACTCGCTTTCTCATGACTTGTATATTCTCTCTCACCAATTCATCATGTTCTCCATTGTCCTCGACTGGTTGTGACATTCTGTAAAAATATTTAGGACTTTAATTTTCAAAATTGACAATTTGAAGATAGTTATTTCGGCAAGACACCAATGAAATCATATTAATTAAGAAAGTATTTTTTTTTCAAAATTTGAAAATTGTTCATCTTGTCAAGAATACATGAATCGAACCCGATCAGAAAATAAAATAAAACCGTAGTCAACATTAAAGAGTGAAATAAAAATGACACAATATAAACGGAGATGATGAATATAGAAACATAGGTGCAAATGAAAAAGGAAGATCAGTTACTAAACAACCTTTCTGTATAGGCTAATCGTTGTGAATTGAATTTGCTCGAAATAAGATGAGAAGAAGGGAATGGAGAAGTGACGCATCAGAGGATGAGATCTTTCTTCGTCGAGGTATGGAAGCGAGATGATTCGTTTCCATTGTTCCGGCTGAAAGCATTGAATTAACTGAATTCAGAAGAACAATTTTTTACCATCTCTCTGAAATCATGGTTCTTCTTCGTGGATGGTTTATCAATATCGATAACATAATCACACGAGCTTAGAACCGCATTTTTAGATTTCACATCGCATTGCCCATTCGAGAGCATGAAACCCAAAGGTTTGAGTTCTTTGTATGATTCTGGAGAAATTCCAGTGTATTCGAAGTCTAGGAATTTCATTTCGACCTTTCGTGAATTTCCTTTTCCGTCTTCAGCTTCTGATGGAATGAAGAACGAAGACGGGAAGCGTTTCCATGCTTTACCCAGGCACAACCTAATTGGATCCTAAAATGAGGAAAGTCCTTATTCTCTTCACTGCTCATACTTACGTTGAACCTGCCGAACTCTTCGTGAGCATTGAGTTCCTCGTGAAGCCCTTTGTAGATATCCATTTCTGACCCATAGCTTTGATGACTAGAGTAGACACGCAAGAACGAGCAGATGACGAACAATCCAACAACGATACGTACGATTCGAACCCCTGATTTTCTCATTGAATTATCAGCAACAAGTAGATCTGTTGGTTCTGGTACAAGAGGCGATGTCGTTTCAGTATTCGAATCAGTCCGAGATCGAGTGGGTTCTGTGCGAGGTGTTGTGGGATTTCGAGAAAAACGAGACGTCGGTGTTGTTGATAATGGATGACGAGAACTTTTAACAGTTGGTGTGTTTCGCATGGGGGAGGCCTCTTCCAGCTCGTCGGCTAGTAAACGAGGGATGGCATCACAAGCAAGAGCAGCGAAAAGAGCAACATGTGGATAGATCGGAAACATGAACCGTTCGAATTTCCTGCTAAGGAGAGCGAACGAAGCGAACCAGAAGAAACAATCCCGTGCTAGGTTGAAAATAGTGAAACAATCATGAATTTGATCGATGGGGTTGGCTGCAAGAATTATGATTCAACGTACGATGCATTCGGAAATCTTACGAAGCCGGTATCGAATATCATTTTCTGCCGGTACCCTGTACTTTCTGTACACTTTGTAAGACAAGTAGGGACCAACAACAGCAAGAAACGAGGCAGTGTTCCAGTTAGATATGAAGTCTAGAATACTAATAACCGCCATTTGTGGCGAGCTTTGGCCATGTGTAAAATCAGTCCACAACAGTCCTCGTCTAGCCTGAAATGATATTATTATAGTCCCAGTAATTGGATGATTTCTCTGACCGAATGACCGAATCCGTAGTATATCGTCTCCACATAAGACGTGGCAAGCGTGGTCACCGCAGCAAAAATGGTAACAGAGACTACATCTTCTTTCTTGATCCCGACATCTTTCTTTTTGTAATATAACGAATTGAGTAAAAGGGTTAGACCGAATACAGTCGTATGTGGACTTCCAATCGCAACAGACATCACCCAGAAAAACATAGAAAGCTTGCTGAAAATGGAAACTCTTTAAAGAAGAGATTTCAAAAATGTATTCACTTTTTTTCGTTTAAATAGGCTCCAATGTAGAAAAACGAGCAGATCATAGAGAACGTATATGGAGTCAATGTGACACTTGCATGAAACATTCCAGATGAAAATGCTGAGAATATGAGGAAATAGCGACCAGTTGAAACGTTGATTCTGAAATAAGTGTTTTTTTCCCAAGAATGTTGCCGATTCAACACAATTACCGTTTGCTAATACTGTCGAATGCATAATATTCCCCGGCCAAGCAAGCGATTCCAATCGTTAGACGAACCAATGTGAAAACCACAATTTTGGACTGTCCAAATGAGTTAGCAAAAAAAGAAGAAGGAATAGAGTGAAGCCACAGAAAGAAATATGATCGACTGGTGTGGGTCGGCGGACATTCCCATTTTGAAGTAGAATTGTAATAAGTGAGAGAATGAAGTGCTTCCCAGAAGTTGTATGTTTCATCAGTGTCCCTGATAACCGACCAAAGAGCTCCAGAAATGCGAATTGATAGAAGAAGTTTGACCACAGCTCCCATCGATGGCTGCCACCTACTGATAGGTTCCTTGTCTCCATGGTACAGTTTCTGAGATCTTCGTCTAAAAAGAAAAATTAATTTATAAATGAAGCCAATGAAAGATACTAACCTTTCTATGGTCATGTTAGTATTAGTCGGTATAACCCTGCAAAAATGATTGTAAAGGGCAGAAAGAGGGAAACAAGTTCCAGAAATATTTAACGATGGTATCAGACCACTCATGAAATTGAATGCACAATTCTATTGAATTTGCCATAATTTGAAATATAAAGCGAGATGAATTGTAAACGGAATCACAAAATATTGGTCATAATTGGAAAGTACAAGATAACCCGGAAATGAAACAAGTAAAACAACGGAATCCCAGCGGTATGAACATAATATAGAGCTATAATAAACAGAATAGAAGCGAATAGTCGTCAGCCTACTCCGAAATCTTTTTGTACACCGTATATGTAGTCATCGAATTCGCTTTATCCGAGAAGTGTGGAACATAGAAAGCTCGCAGTAAGCCGAAATATTTCGTTGGTTTCGACAGATCGATGAATGGGCGTGTGATAATTGGCTTCCATTCGGTAGGCTGAAAATTGGTTAAAAGATGTTTTAGAATTCACTAGTCACCTTCTCTCCTAAATTCGGTTCCAATTCAGTGGCAGGCATATCCAAGTCGACGAAGTAATCGCACGAATCTAAACTAACGTATCGAGACGTTTCTTCTTTGTTCATATTATTCATATCAGAAGGTTCGTGGCGAGTGGAATCGATCAAATTCATGGTCGCTTTGAATGGTTTCGGAAGAAGTCCGGTGAATTCACTTTTCACAAACTGCATCCTGACTTTTCTTCCATTTCTATCGTAATTGGGAACGAAGAAGGACGATGGGAACCGGTGCCACTCTTTGCCGACGCAAATTTGAACGTCGTTCTGGAACTCATTTATAAAGGATCTAAGTTCGACCTTCAACATACCGAGCCCGGATTGATACGTTCGTCTTTGTTGACACCATTTTCCTCCATGCCAAAGCGAAAGTTAACATTGTATTCCACGCCTGACCCAAGTTCTTTTTCTAAGACTTCGTAAATTTCCGATTGTGCTGCGTAATTACGGTGAACGGAAAACGCTCTAGAAGTAGATAGGAGTGCGAAACAAGAGAGAATCATAACTGTGATTATTGTCCTCTGGTTTACTGCCAATTGACCGATTATAGTTTCGAAAAAGCAGTTGTACACAACAGCTGCGAGAAGAGCAATGAATGGATAGATCGGGAATAGGAATCGCTCTTCCTTGTGTGCTTGTGACCCGAAAATCAACATCCATAAGGCAGCAGTAATTGCGAACAGCACGACTGAAGAGTTCCTTCGGTAAAATGCACCCAAGCCACCTGCAATTAGTAACGGATAAGAAATTTTTCAACCATTCCTATTATTACCTGCTCTCCTCGACGCCCAGAACCTCCAGAGAGTTAAAGGACATCCCAATAAGATAATGAAAACAGCGATGTTCCAGTTGAGGAAAAGATTTTTGATGTAGAAAGTGATAGGTTCCTCTCCGTATAGAGAAGGTCCTGGCCCACTCAAGACGTTATAAAGAACTATATTCAAGGACGCCTGAATTCGTAGATACATTAAGCTTCTGACATACTTCACATACCACCACGGGTTTTCCGAAATAGTGAGTATCAGTCAGGAACTGGACAACTCCGATACCCAATCCTGATCCCAAAGATGCGAGAACAAACTCTGATTTCAAATCTTCCACGAAGAGCATGTGCACAACAAACGGTAATCCAATAACTGCAGAGAACGGCCATCCAACCAAAGCAGAAAACGCTACGCAGAAAATACCCAAAGTCCTGAAAAAAAGCATACTAAGCTCTGAAAATCGCTGGATTAAGAGTCAAAATTACCAGCGTCTGGAGACAAATGATGCGATGATGTAGTATGAAAGCGACATGCAAAAAGACGACGGCAAAAAAGTAGCACTTGCCAGGAACACTCCGGGAGAGAAAACCGAGAAGAAATAGAAGAATCGACCAGTTCTGGCGTTGATGCTGAAAAATAAGATACCGTTTTGAATCATCTGTTTATAAGTCTCACTTTCTACATATCGCGCGGTACGCATAGTATTCTCCGCACGCACAGAGGAGACTCAAAATGCACCGAATGAATATGAAAACTTCAACTTTGGGCCGGAAGGAGACAAACCAAGCGGGAATGTAGTGAAGACCAATGTAAAAGTAGGATCTAATTGCGTAAATCGGGGAGTATTCCCAAGTTTGGAATCCTTCTCCGTAAAGAAATAAGTGTAGCGGTTCCCAGTAGTTGTAAACCTCATCGCAGTCATTGATTACTCCGAAAAATCCACTGAACATGCGGAATGCGCTAAGTGCCAGCATCATAGTCAAATCGAAATCCTGTTCATTCGACCAGGAATCTTCTTTTCTAGACGGCAGTGGTCTGAAAAACGAATATTCTTAGTATTTTTAGTTAAGGCTTCCAATCGGTCGGGAAATTTAGCCGGCCGACCGACCACCGACCCCGCCAACCGAGCTGACCGATCGGCGCATCGACAGATTTTGTGCGCTTGCGAACGTGTTTGTATGAACGTGTTTGTATACTCAGCATTGTATTTTACGACAAACTGTTCACTAAATGCCTCGTTTGTCGTACAATGAAATGCTGCGTACGCAAAAATTCGTAAACTAACGCAAATGCACGAAAACGGCTCGGATTTCCGACCGACCGGAATGGGAGCCTTAGTTTTAGTACGCAAACCCAACCTTTTTGGTTCCTCGTCCAGTCTTCCTTTCTGAGGAGTGCTCCCTTTTCGATTCCTCATTAATGTTTTAATAGGTCTTTTCCTCAAATTTTCCAGTGAGGCTCACTTCGAATTCTTTCAGCAATTGAAAAATACAATGGGTATGAACCGTTCGAAAAAAGTATGAAAACAAATAAGTACTACATCTATAACTTTCATAACGAGCAAACGAAACAGAAATGTTTAAAAATAACAATAAAGTTCTAAACCTAAAATATAAAGCTTCGTTCACTCTTCCTTCTTATCATCTGTGTTTTGATCCCGACTTCTCCACCTTCCTCGTCCACGACCTTCTTCTTTCTTTTCTGTTCCATCTGAGCCAACAGTTCCTTCACTCTTCACAACTTTCACAGAGTATTCGTCACTCAATTCGCCAAGAGGTCCTTCACTGCCACGAATGTTGCCCGAAGTGATTCGAACTCTTCTTTTGTCTACACGACCCAGTCGTTCTCTGAGCCCGAAATGCTTCTCGGCTTCATGTTCTGACTTCACTTTGCCCGTGGAAATAAATGCTTGTAAATCTCCGATTTGGTCTCGGAAGCGAGCGTTTTGTTTGATGAAATCTTTCACAATTTTCTCATCAGAATCTCCCTGAGCGATGGTTACTCTCCAATCTGGTCGTACTGCTTTTTGGAGTCGGACAAGATTAGCACAATCAGCTAAGCGTCCGAGGCCTCCGAAATAGTTCAGAAGTTTTGGAACATTGTCATTGAGGGCCAGGAAGAAGGTGAAAGGTCCGAAATGACGTGTTGAAGTGATCACATGGAATTTTCCTGATTCGTTGATACGATCAAATACAAGTTGACTCAGCCGAATGTAGGACGGATCGTCTGGCTCATAAAACCAGCACGCCCAGTCAAGAACAAACTCATGCTCGTTTTTATCAAGCGCATTCTGAAGATATGGATCGGTGAAAAGCGCTGGCGCATTCACTGGTCGGTTCGGTTTCTGATAATAAGTTCTGTTCATTCTATCGTGTTCTTCGGGGTTTGCGGTTCTCAGTGTTCCATCAGGCTCTCTAACGACAACGGTACGATCTTGATCAGTGGCATCGAAAGTGATATCAGTGAAGACGAATTTGCTTGTATCGAAATCTTTCAATTCTGAATCTTGGGCCAATATTTGAACACTTTCTACTCGGGGTTCCTTGACTGGAACAAATTGCAAAAACCGACGAGCCTCTTCCCGCATTCTTTCACGAGTCTGAAAAGTTCCATTCCTCTCGATTCACATTGTGAAAAAACAAACCTTTTCAAGTCGCTCCTCTGTCATCAAAGCGAAATGGGATCTTTGCTGAATGGAGGTTCTTCTTGGACGGAACACTTTGTACTCGAGATCGATTTCTGTTAAGTCGGTAAGAAGTTTTTGAACTTCTTGGTCCACAAAAAGTTTCTCCACATTGATATCTTCATTTGAGGAACTCCTGAAAATGAATTTATACAGGGAGGCCCACAAGAAATGCTCACCTTGCTTTTATCCATTGTGAAGAAAGCCTGATCTCGCTGGGAATTCGTGCCAGTGTCGGAATCTTCGGCTTGAATTTGAACATCTGAACAGAATAACCCAAATTAGAACGGAAAACAGCAAAAATACAGAAGCCTGAATACAACAGGCTAAAACAAGCTAAAACACAACCACATGACAGATGTATTGTCAGAGCTATTTATAAAAGTCTACAGAAAACCTAAAAAAAACAATAACAAACAAAAAAGTATAAATCAATTGAATGCACATAATCTCTCGTAGTAGTACGGATTGAATGCGCTGAGATGCATGAGTTGTTTTCTTCCCTCTTCGCTTCGAGCTAAAAAAACTGACAAGTTCAGAGATCCATGAATAGACGAGACTACTCACCTGCTTTTGACGCCAACCAGTTTTTGTTCACATAGTAGTTATAAAGTGCATCTGTCTCACTTTCTGTGTAATTCGTCGTTTCAATTGGAACAAACGGCTGTAATTACCGTGTCAAATATAGCGCTGTGACTTTTTAAAATTACCTCAACGAATTCGAATCCTTCTTCTCCGAACAACTCTAACGGTGTATGCCTTGAAACACCAAGCTCATCTCTTGCGTCGGCAACCTCTTTCTTATCAGCAACCATCAGAACGCATCCATTGGTCCAGTCATTGGAGATCATTCGACGGAAATGTACAACCAAAGTTAGATCTGATGGTGGCGCATAAGTTCTATCAGCTCTCTTCACCAATGTTTTTCCCCATAATGAATTCGCATCATCGATAGCAACAAGAACTTTGAGCTTGTCGTCTTTAGCATGTCGTCGAAGCTCCCGGAATAATGCTCCAACACAATCGCTAGCTAGGAACGGAGCCGAAATTCCCATTTCGATAATTTCCGTGATTGGTTTGCCTTTCAAGGTACGCTCGCTTTTTGACCATTCGTAATCCTTTTCAGTAAGAAGAACACCGAGTATTTTCCAGATGTGTTGGTTTTGTTGTTTAAAGTTCTGAAGAATAGCTACGGCGTTCGATGGGTCGTTGATGCGCCCCGAAACAAATGATGACATCTCAATCTCCTTTACTCTTCTCGTGAGTTCCATAGCACTACGAAGATGAACAATGGCCCACTTATTTGTGTATGCATGATGAACAGCTTGATTCAGTGTGACCGTTTTTCCTGTTCCAAATGCTCCCCAGAGTACAAGACGAAGATTGGGGAGGTTCTTATCAACGATACGCATACAACTAGCGATTTCAGCAATCGGTTCGCGGATCTGTGAATGATTCTTTTCAGTAGAAATGCTTTATTCACTTACAAGAGTGACTATTTCTCCTAGCGTATCCATTTGCTTTGAAAGCGGAGCTGGTAAATGTGATTTCATATTTAGTTGCTTGGCAACGGCCAATTCCATCTCACAAAGCGTTCCCACTTTGATATTATCATGAGCAGTTGCTTCAGAGCTGAACTGTCTACAAGATGAAACTTTTTGTTCACAAGAGCCCATTCTTCGAGCCATTTGAAGAACTAGTCTCCCACACGGCTTCATCCTGAAAGGAGATTTAGACGGAGGAATTGTGAAAGTTTAGCAATAGTTTTCCGAAGTAACGATTATGAAAATATCTTAATGACATGTGATCAACAGTCACCTTTATGATGACTAATAATGTAACGAAACAAAAAACATTGAAAAAAAAACAAGAACAAAACTATTAAAGAGAGGCATACTGCAAATCAGAGCTGTTTTCGTAGTCTACCATATCCAAAGCGACTTCACAGCTTTCACGAACTACCCGTTCCTCATCGTTCACATATTGTTTAAGAATCTCGGTGCACTCCTCATTGGCGATGGCACCAAGTGCCTCGGCACACTCATGACGGACCATACAGTTCTCTGTTGGCAGAAGAAGACGATCTTTCAATTCTTTGATTGCGACTGGAGACTGGACTTGACCGAGAACATAAGCAATTTCGTGGCGGAAAAGGGCACTATCTTCACAGTACAACCCTTGGGCAAGAGCTTTGATGGATTCGTCAGTGTTGATGTTTCTCAAACTAAACATTGCACGATATCTGTCGAAGAGTGGCAAAGACACGTTGACTAGTGTAGCGGCAAGTTCGGTGACATCGACTGTCGAGGCAGAAGGAGTGGGATCTGAGAAAAGTAAATTTGAACCTGAACCAGAAACAGTTTCTTACCAACACTATCGTAGGGACTGTTGGTGTCTTTTCCGCTCTTCTCCACCCATTCTACTCTGCCAAGAGCAATCTGGCATGTCTCCGAAACTTCAGGGCATGGATCCTGGGCATATTTCCGCAGAACCTCTTTCACGGAAGGATCAGCAATGGCTCCAAGAGCTTCCCCAGCCTCGTGACGGACCATCGGTTCTAAAAATTGAACGAATTGATACACTTTCTGTGAAGTGAATCACCTTGTTTCTCGTCTTGAAGAACATTAACCAAAGTTGGAATCGCGCTCTTGTTTTGCATCTGTCCCAAACAATATGCAAGCTCGTGTTTCAATAGTGCAGACTCGTCATTCAAACACTTGCCGATCCATTCAACAGAACGATCGCATCCTATGTTTCGGAGAATGAACAGTGCTCGGAAGCGAGACTTCAGGGGACGCCTGGAAAATTCTCAATAGATCGAAATTCTGTAACAGACTCGCTCACTTTGTATCGTTCAGAGCTTGCCCGATGTTGTCAATTTCAGCGTCACTGAAGGTTTTCGTCGCCACCATAGCTTTCCGGGAGTATTGGTGGATTACCTAAATTTTATTTTTTTTTCACAGAATTTTGTCAACAGAAGAAGAATATTAAGAGAAAAGAATATTGGGAAGAGTAATATAAAATTAAAAGCGAAAATGTGGAAAAAGAAAAGAAAGAGAGAAGGGTAAATATTGAACAGTAAAACTTGGAATGTAGACTTGTTCAGCTACCAATCTGCAAGTTGAAGTTGTTCGGTGGGCCAGTCCTCGTACGATCCGTCTGGAAGATATCGACGAATGATTATTGGAACGCGACGTTGCTTGAGTTCTTTTCTGGCAATCTCGAGTGGATCGGTCTCTCCTTCAAGCTCGACCATAACTGGGGCTCCCATAGCAATTTGGAGAGCACGAGTTCCGAGAACACGAGCACGCTCGTACTTTGTCATGAACGGAGTAGTTACATGTTCACTAGTTGGGACAGCTTTTCCTTGATCGAACAGCTCAAAGTTCTCATCAACGTTGTTGTCATCATCTTCCTCTTCATGATCCGGGCGCTGTTGTTCCTCTTCAATCACATCTTCCATTTCGTTATCGTCGACAAAATCATCATTGTCCATGTCTTGATAATCATCATCGTCCGCCATTTTTCTGAAAAACTTGCACTCAAAAACTGAGCTAAAGCAGGAATATATCAAATAAAGGATAGATTCTATAAAGAAAAAACGAGGCCTAAACAACAAAGGATTTTAAAAAGTGTCTATATGTTTAGGTAATTGTAGGCGAGCTTCGAATAAGAAACTAAATATTTTAGCGAATCAAAAAATGCTTTTTATCGGCACAAAATTCGGATTTTGGTAAAAACAGCGAAAGAAAACGATCAGCATTCGAAACAATTCCTGAGTGTGCGTTTACGCTAAACAGCGCGCAAGGTGTAAAAGCGGAGTGTCGTTGTCTGCGGCAATTTGAAACACAGATTTGTCTGAAACATTTTGAATCTATCGTCATTTTCATTCTTCTTTGGAACTTTCGTTTCACCTTCTCTTGCACGATTCGAGCTCTGTTTTTGTTCTGATCCAATACTTATTCAACCTCTTTGAGGGTACCCAAGTTCTGGCCTCAGGAAGCCTCATTAGTCGTTATACAGTTGGGTTGACCGGTCCGGCGGTAGTCTTTCGATTTCATCTATTTATCACTTTTCGAATAATATATTTCATTTACTACTAATTCTTCCTAGTCTCATTATCTATGCATGTTTGCATAGCTCCGCCAGCAAACCCTCCCAATTATTCATTTGCCTACATTCTATTGTTGTCCGTCTGCCAAATGTCACATCCAATGAAGCCGAGCACAGCCCAATTTTCTATTCGTTCTGCTGTTTCAGTCTCCCAATCACTTTTCATATTTGTTCGAACCAACTTTTCAAATACATGCCGTGTTGCTTGCCTTGCTAAACCTTATACTATTTGCAGTTCTAGTCAGTTGTTCTTCTGAGTGCTCTCATTTTTCTTGTTTCATATCTTTCTAAAATTTAACACCCTCATCACAGAATCTATTTTTTTCTAGATGTAGGCAGAGTATCTGCATTTTTCGTTCCCTCGTTCCTTTTGTCTCGTTGTCTGTGTATCCCTATTGGATAGCGTTTCTGTGTTCAGCGCTTGCGCAGCGGACGTGGCGGGCGACCAAACGATTTCATTCTTGTCTCTGCAGCTATTTACCCTTTTTCATCGATTTGTTCTCAATCACACTTTTACAGAAAGAGCAATGGTGGTCAACGTCTTCATCAGCGCTGTGACCACCGACACGCTCAGCCGCAAAGAAGCTGTCGCCTGGGTTAACAACTTGCTCAAGGTGTGAAGTCATTCGAAAGCATAAAAAAGGTTTTATTATTTCAGAGTCACTTCACGAAGGTCGAAGAAATGGCCTCCGGTGCTGCATACTGCCAGCTAACGCACCTTTTATTCGCAAACTCGATCAACTTGCGAAAAGTGAAGTTCAACCCAAGGAGTGAACCGGATATCCTGACAAACTGGAAAGTTCTCACAACAGCCTGGAAAGATTTAGGAATCGACAAGCCAGTGGATGTTGAAAAGATGAAAAAAGCAAAGTTCCAGGATAATATGGAGTTCCTGCAGTGGTTTTACAAAGTATGATATCTGTATCCCTAAACTCTATTTCTCTGTATCCCTAAACTCTATTTTATTTTATTCCAGTTCTTCAACGCTAATTTGGTGGGAGATGCCGAAGACTACGACGCTGTAGGAGCTCGTTTCAACGAAGATCTGCCTGCTCTGAAAGGGTCTTCGGGAGCTCGTCCAGCTGTCGCTGCTGTCCGTCCAACTGCTGCTCCTGTCGCCAAACCTAAGGCTGTGGCACCCGCTGCTGCACCGAATGCTGCTGCCAAGGCATCCGTTGCCCCAACGGTTCGCAATGGAACTCGTCCAGCTCCAGCGACATCCGCAGGCACTCGACGTTCCGAGCCATCACAAAACGAGGAGCTTCTGAAGCAGGGTGATTATAATTATTGAGTTTTTAAACCCAAGAAAATGTTCAGAAATCGAAAAGCAAAAGTCGTTGGCTACTGATTGGGAGACGATGGCGAAGGAAATGGAGTCGGAACGCGAGTTTTACTACTCGATGCTGCAGCGGGTCGAAGGACTCGTTCATGAAGCTGAAGAACTGAAGTCCACCACAATCGATGTCGAAGCTCTTAAGGCCGTTCTGTATCAATCAAATGAAGAAGGTGAGCACGAAGTGGAGGCCACAGAGAATGGCGCCGATAGTTCGCAACTCAGAGATGCTCTTCAAGCCAACCTCGACGACACAGACACTTTCTGAAGAATTGCACTCGTTAATCACGTTTCCACCCGTTTCCGTCTCCTATCCCATCGATTTTTCTGTGGTTTCTCGTCTGATCCGTCTCCCTTTGCTTTCATTGTGCCATGTACCGTTTCTAATTTATTACTATTTTCCTTCATAATTTTCTTGTGTAATACGCATATTTATTTGAGATAAACATGATTGATCTAAATACAAACTTTGTCTTGATGTTTTATTTTGAACAAGATCTGTTGATATCGAAGCAATACATAACGTATTCACACCGAATCGATTTTTGGCGACTTAGACATTCGCAACGACACTCCGCTGTTCCGAGAGTGTCCGTCAGATTCGGAGGCAATTGATTTCCGCAAAAAAATCCGAAAAATTGCGTGATAGTTTCAAGTTCTTGTTTCATCTCTTTTCAGATCTCAACAAAATCTCGGAAAAACTCCATGGAGACACTCTTCGGATATAAAGAGGAGGCGCTGGTTACCAGAGGTTTGTGAAAATTAAAAATCGATTCACGTGAATACCATGTACATGGTTCGACGTTTCAGAAAGCTGGGGTGTCGTCCAACAACCACAAGCTCCAGTGGATAATGAGTCTAAAAAACGGCGAAAAACAACATCGATTGCATCTAGAAAGAAAGCGAAAATGGCAAGAGGTGCAGAAGATAGTGAGTTTGCATCAGTGTTTAAAAAGTGAATTGAAAGAATACCTAATTTCTCAAAAGTGGTCACAAAAAATAATCATGATCACCAACCAAAGATATCCTAGCTTAAATGTTTTTTTTTGGTTAAACAACATTTTTACTTTGAACAGAATGAATTTCAAAATTTACAGTCGCCGACGAGCCTGCGAAGCAACTTGCAACAGAACTCTTGAATCAAATCGAGACTACACCTGGTCAAATTTCCTTGAACTTCTCATCGTAAGTTGGAAAAAATAGTCTTTCGTTTCTAAATGAATGAATTTGATTCAGAGCGAAGTCTTCCGAAGTATGCCCACTGCCACCAAGTTTCAATCAAAATGTGAAGTCAAACTGGTCGATTGATAAACTCAAAGAAGGACAATTGAGTAGTCTTCTTGATCCGAACAATAAGAGCTTCAAGCCATTAGGAATCAAGAAGATTCAAAAGGTGGAAACTAAAACAGAAGTTCGTTTTTAAATCGATTCTCTCGAAAAAAAAAACTCTACAGATTCTTCCAAGACAATTGGATCTGAAGCAAACAATCGCGAAACTAAAAAATGAAGATAAGAAGGATGATCAGTATATTGGATTCTCCGTTGCCATTGCCAACGTTCTCAGAAGATGCGAACCAGACATTGCGTTAGTTTTTTTTAAACTTGAATTAAATGAAATCCGGTATTATTTTCAGCGAAAAACTTGCTCAATCCATCGTTAGTCTTGTCGAAACCGAAGCTTCAAGCGTAGTCAGTAAGCTGTAATCAGAACTCCGCCAATTTGCACCATTCTTCCAAATCTCTAACACACATTATATGTATATCTATCGTCTTCCTATCTGTTTCTCTTTGAATAATTTATCAATCATTTAAAATAATTTTTAATAAGAGCTTTATGTAATAAAATACTTTGATAATCATGAATAAAAAAGGCCTGCGATATTTTATTAACTTTATGTTATCTACTGAAAGATAAATGAACATTTATTAATAAGAAAAAGGGAGCTGTGTACGCGTATACATACATACGGGGATACAAAAACATGGTTCGGGAAAGAGATTGAAGATGTAATTAAAATTAAAGAAAAATAGTAAGACGGACTGCAAGATTCTCAGTTATCAATCGAATGACGTCGGGCCTGGAGTGGGCTGAAAATATGGCAAATATATTCTTCTTCGACTTATTTCGAAAACCCAGAAAAATCTAAAAACGAACAACCACAGGAGAAGCGTATTGAGAGAACGATCTGTTGTTTGTTAGAGAGGAAAGATTACGGTAGAAGTTGACGACAATCGGAAAATTAAAAATGGCTGACATAACGAATTTTGTGAAGAAGAATATAATTGAATGTGCTTTGTACAAACCTGAAGACGAAGAAGAAGAAGGAGAAGGAGAAGAAGAAGGGGGAGATCTCAGAGAAGGAAAGAAGGAACCGGAATCTACCATTCGGATGCACCTTCTAACTCGCTACAATTCATTTGAGCGGTTTTATTTAATTAGAAACAATTTATTGTATTAATATGAGGTGAGTATGAGATCTAATGAGAAAAAATCCGAATTTTTGATTTTTAATAAATTGGTTGTTCGAAGAAAAAAGAACCTACTTGAGTTCAGAGAATCTGCGCAAATATTTCGTTTCCTCGAAGGATCTTTCATCGATTCTGTGCTGCTCTTCAGTGTCTTGACGACGAAGACGATTTCTGCAAAAACAAAAACTGATATTATACTGATACAATACAACCGGAGTTGTGGATGAGAATGGCAGGTGGAAGTGGGCGAAGGTCCCACAACGATAGCTTCAGTAACCTAAAAATATTGTTATTTTTTCGTTTTCTACCGCTTTTCGTTGCATGTTCTGTTATTTTTTCCCCAAACAAATTCGAAAATAAAAACTTTCGATTGTGAAAAAAATGACTGAAAACGCACGGCCCATACTCCAGAGGTACATCAAAAGAGGAACATCATGCTAAAGAGATTGACCCAGAGGGTACATAGTTTGAAGGAGTACATCTAGGTAGTTTTGTCACTATCAGGGAGTACATCTAGGCCAATCTAAGCCTAGATGTACCAATCTCTAGGCTTATCTATTTAGATGTACCTTTTCAGACTATATACCCTCTGAGTCAATGTACCCCTTGAGCATGATGTACCCTATTTCGAAGTACCATCGGAGTTTTCGCCAAAACGCACAAAAATCGAGATGATAAATTCGGAAAATAAAAACACTTTTAGGTTACGGTAGTTTTCGTTGTGGGACCTTCAGCCACTTCCACCGGCGTTTCTCTTCCGTAGCTCCAATTATTGGGTAGCAGGATAATAATAATACGATTGTATGCTAAAAAACTTTTTACAGCTGAATGGAACAATTCTAAAACCATTTTTCAAATTCTCTTCAATTTTCCAAAAATACCTACCTGTAATTTGGTCTGAACTCGAACAGCATCCACAATGCGCTCACGACGACGGCAATGATAACTACGGCGAATCTGAAGATTATTCCATCTGAATCAAGGAAATCCTGTGAAGAAACTTACGTAAAAATCAATAGATAAAGCCTAAAAATATATGACTCGCAGCAGCTGATCTCGGTACATTCCGTCGGCCATCCGCATAGTGTCATCCTACTACCAAACACTGGAAAGAATTATATACTCAAAAAAAAAAGATGAAAAAAGGAAAAATATGAGAAAAAAGAAGAAGAAGAAGTAATTATGATAGCTATGTCAGATTGACTGCATCACGGAAGCATGAAAACGGAGCAATTGGAAAAAAGAAAAGGAGAAGAAAAAGAGCATGTTCTTACTCAAATTACCCACTTCCCTTCTAGTCAAATAACCATCGGGGGGGGGGGGGGGGGGGCACGAGTTTTTGAGTTCAGAATCCAGAAGTTCCGAGACATCTTAAAAACGCGATGAGAAAATATCTTCTGGACTTATTGTGCGAAATTTTGTATGGTAATTTCTAAGTTAGATGCGTCCTGTGACTACATATAAAGGCTGCTTTGAAGCTTTTCAGACAGTTTGTTAAGTTAGCATATTTCGAAACTTTTCGACATAATAGAAAAATTCGTAAACTGTGAGTAATTCCAAATAAATGTATTGTCGAACAAGTCACTCAGATTTTGTTATAACTGTTTGAGGAACGGACTGAAAAACTTCAAAATCCAAAAATCATAAACATGAAGCTCACCCAAACCGTGAATTTCGAGGTCAATTATCTCCATTTCTATACAAGATATCAAAAATGTGTCAACTAGGAAAATGTTTATGATATTATGATAAACAATTTATCAGTTGACAAAATTTTGATATCTTTCCCAGGAATCGTGATAATCAAGCTCCAAATAGACGGGTTGGGTAGGCTGTATGTTTATGATATTTGGATTTATCATGGCTTAATTATCTCGATTCTTGTAAAAGATATCAAAAATGTGTCAACTAGGAAAGTGTTAATGATATTATGATAAACAATTCATCAGGTGACAGTATTTTTATATCTTTTACAGAAATGGAGATAATTGAGCTCATCATTGGCGGCTTAGGTGGGCTTCTATTAGAGAGAATACGGTATCTTTGATTTTGGCTGTAATTATAGAGCAAGACAAGTTAGAACTCGGAAACTTTTTTGATGCATAGGTTCCGCAGTATTCCTAAAAATCCTCCAAAATGGTTCGTTTAATTCTAAACACTTTGATGTTTCCAGAGGCCTACTTTACCCCCAAAATTGTTTCCCAAACTGTTAAGAGCTTTGATTTGCTCTAAAAATGAAGCATAACCCCTAACATAAAGTTTTCAATGGAGTTCCCGTTGATCGGGGTTATTTTCCGCCGATTTACAGATCATTCAGTGTGAAAGGAATATGCACTCAATGATCTATAGCTCTAAAAAATGAACAGGCACTCGCTGGAAACTTTTTTTTTAATTCTTAAACTCCATTGCAAGATAAATTTGAAATTCTGAAATACCTGAAAACATGGTTTTTGGACTTTAAATCTCTGAGATATAAAAAACCGAAATTTCAGAATCTCCTAAAATCAATGGGGTCTTTTAAGCAGGATTTCTTTTTTTAACGACTACCATTCTCACTAGAAAAGATGACAGCGAATACTATGAAGAAAGAAGATTCTCACTAAAAAACAAATAAGAGTTTCGAACGTCAAAACGGCACACCTTTCTCTTTTGAAAAACGATGAAGATGTGTGAGAGTAGTTAGGCAGCCTCCTGGGCGGATAACAGCTGTTAACCGTCTATTATTGTTGCCAATGAGTGGAGGATGTGAGTGGATGAAGAAGAAGAAAAAGAGCAGAAGGAAAGCAAAAAGTGAGGGTGTAAACCGCTTTTTGAGCTTCGTTTTCTGTTATCACAACCCAAGATATGATGATAAATGACGTAGAAGAATAGGAAGAAAAAGATGAACGAGGTGTCGTTAAAATCAGTAGTGATGAGAAGAAATGGAAGGCACTTAATAAATGAAAATCAAAAAAGTTTGAAGATTCGAACTTTCAACTTCTCTTTTTTCAGTTACGGAAATAGGAGAAAAAAATCAAGGATCTGAAAAAGTCAGAATAAAGAAAAAACAAACGTCTATAAATAAAAAATCGCCGGAGGGCCATTTTTTTGACTGCTCCATCCGTTTTTTTTTCTTCTGACAAATACACAAAAGTAAGGGCGGACAAAAAGCAGATGCACCACACTTTTCCTTCGTTTTCTCAGTTTTCTTTTCAGTTTTTATTATTGTTGTTGTTCATGTTGTTTGACAGATTGGAGTCCCACCAGAAAAGGAAACTGAGAAGGCCACTCTCCGTTGAAAAAAGAACGAATGGTCCTTTTCTTGTAAGTCGTTGATTTCCAAGTAACTTGTTAAAAATTGAGCAGAATTTTTGATTTACAGTAGCCACATGTCTAGTAAAACACCTCAAAGTCACAGAAAATCTGAAAAGTTTGACAATCTTGTATGAAGTTAAAAAGTTGAAATTTTAAGGGTGTCGAATACACATACCACTTTCGGCGAAACATTTATTTTGCTGGATTTTATACACTTGCCGAGTACTGTATATCTCATCTGAATGGTGGCCTACAATGACTAGGACTGATAAAAACTGGTATATCTTGAGACATAAGTATCTTGGAATCACGAAAGTTGGTAGAAATATACTTTTATCTTTTATTCAAAACTACTGAAATTTTCAAAGCGATTCCTCCAGTCTAGGTATTGATATGATTGTTCAAAAATGAAACGTAATGCTTCTTATTATGCTTGTCTGAGAAAAAAAGGTTAGAGAGTATTTTTTGCAGTCTGAATACGGTAGCGATATCGAACGCAGACGCTTTTTCTCTGCGTCTCAACCTTTTTTTTCTCAGACAAACATAATAAACACCGTTGAGATTTTCACGAGATGGTGCAACTTTGACAAGCAATAATTCAGAGCACAGTACAACGATTTACGTAAACATTATGCTAGTACAAACTTAAGACCAGGTAATTGTGCGCCACCCTGTAGGTCGTATCCCTTCACACCTCTATGCCAAACTTAAAGAATTGAACATTTTCCGGAAAATACTCCATATTTGTCAACAACACTTTCTTGAAAACAACCGAAAAAAATGTTGACTGGAAAAGGAAACACGAGATATATATCCATAAATCCATCTCTTATTACTTGTCATCTTGTCGCAGCCACAAGTCCCTTTTTTCCACACATATGATCTATGCCATTTGACACTTTTTGAGACAAATAAAAAACTAATGCATTATGATTTTTGAGGCGATTTTTGAAGAGAGATGCTCTGAGAAAAATGATAAAAAGGATGCGTTGTGATTGTTGAGAAAAATTGTGAGAATCTGACAGTTGAGTGGAAAATAAATTGGCTCTCAACAGATGTTGATTGTTTGAAAATGTGGATGAAAATCATAAATAAATGGAGAATCACAAATAATAAAGCCGAATGGATTGGAGAGCTGAAAACTGAGATAGGGATAGGTCTTGGTAGAAATAACGACGAAAATGTAATCCTTAAATTACAACTCTACTGTATTCGCCTACCCTATTAGCGCACTTTGAGCTCAATTACCTTGGTTCCTTCAAAAGATCTCTAAAAATTTCGATTGATAAGTTGTTTATCATAATATCAGCACTATTTTGTCAGCTGACAGATTTTTTATACCTTTCACCGGAATCAAGATAATTGATCAAATGCAGGGTGGGCTTCTCTTAGAGAAAATAGATAATTACGAATGGTTCAGTGTCTGAAAAATACTTCACAGTTATCAATTTTCCGGATGTTTCAGGGAATAACAATCAAATTCCTCACACTATGAAGTTTGAGCTCTATTATCTCAATTCTTATGAAAGATATAAAAATATGTCAACTAGTAAAATGTTTATGACATTATGATTAATCAGTTGACCACTTTTTGATATCTATCACAAAAATCGAGATAAATTGGCTTGAGTTTGAAACTTAGGGGCCCTTTTATTACAAGTTACGGTAGGTAAATTTTGGAAGTTTTGCTGTGATTCCTTTCTCAAATATGTGCCGTTACAGCAAACTGTAGTCCAAAAATATTGGCGAATACAAAATCAGAGTTTTAGTTTTTAATCACTGACAATTTCAGACTAATTTCAGACAATCAAATTTTCCATTTTTCGAGTCAACAGTATTCCAATTTAAGATTAATTTTTTGATCAGTACTGTAATTAACCTAACTGTCAGTAACAGTATCATCGTTCTCAGTAAACCAGTAAAACAAAAAAAATGTATTTTCTTAGAAAGGAAATTGACAGCAGGGAGGTGTCCAAAAGAAGAAAAGAAGGCAATAAAGAAGAAAAAGAAGAAGATTTCATTAAGACGAGCACACTAGAAAAAAAAACAACAGAAGGGCACATTTCGAGATGCAAAATGACAGGATTAGGCCATTTTTGGCGGTCCTCTTCGGTACTAAGCAAACCCTGTGAGGGCAGAAGAAAAATGAAAAATGTTGTCTCCGGGAAGAACAAGACAATTCAAGCGGATGAACTTGTCATTTTTTCAACTCCAGCCACATCAGTACATTCTTGAAACACAGATTTTGGACTGGTTTGAAAAGCGAGAATTGAAAAAAAGGAGGAAGTTGAGGAAAGGATGGAAAGAAGAGAAACACAGCCAAACGGAGATGTGTCTGTGTGTGGAGAGATTTTCAATCTAAATAAAAAAATGGAATGAGAATTCGATGCCGAATTTGAAGTATGTGTTTGTGCCCTCCGACTGCCGAAACTGCTGCTGCCGCCTTCTGAAGAAAACGATGAGAAGAGTCGATTTGGAGTCGTCGTTCTTCTTCTTCCTTTCTCCGGGAGCCGCCGCAAAAAACGGAGCGTTGGGAAATGAGATTCGGGTCGCTTCTTCGGACTCTCGGCGTTTCTTTTTTTTGTTGGGAAAACATACACAACTAGTTTCTGGGCTCCTTGGTTTTTTATTTATGTTTGGAGAGGACTTACAAGGAAAATGACACCAATTTAGATTTTAGTAATTGGTCGGGGGACTGGGAAGGTTACTGTAAGGTGAGACCAGTTCAAGGTGGTCTGCAGATCACCAAGATCTCGGAAATAGAAAAAAAGAAAATAATTCATAGGGAGCTATACATGCCTTTTGGAATCGGAAGACAGCATTTTGGGATCAGAAAGAGAAGAAAATTGGAAGTAAACAAAAAAGTTTATATAAACCAAATTCGAAGGGAATTCTTGCCAAGAGAAGTAAAGCAAAGGGTAGACATTGTAAGAAATTTATGAGCATCTTAAGAAAAAAGGAATTCCAACATGCTTCAAAAAACACAAATTGTTCGGAGATACGGACTAAAAATTCTGTATCTGGTTCAAGGAAAGTTAAACTTGTATTAGAAGGGTCGCTTTGATAGAAGGCCCCCTCTACTAGAAGGGCCCTTCGAGGGGGCTCAATTTTGCTCAATTTTGGTAAAATTGATACATTTTTATGGATTTTGGACGAGAATTCGTCAATTTTTTAGAAAAATGGCTGGAAAAATAGAAGGACCCCTCTGATTGGAGGGCCCCTGTAATAGAAGGGCCCTCCGGAGGTACCTTGGAACAATAGAAGGACCGGCCGTTCTAATACAGGTTTTATGGTACGTGAAATCTATCAATCAAACCCTGAAACTCTTTCTAATGACATGTGTTCTGTTAACAAACAGATTTTGCCAGTCATCTAGTCATCCTTCTAAATCTCCGCCTCTTCTTTCCCTTCCTCCTTACCCAACGCCATCAATGTATCCCAAAGAATTCCCATGTGTTGGGCAAATTTTGATGGAGCCGTGTGCCTGTGCACCACAAAGTTTGGAGGCATGTGCTCCGAGAGGACTCATCCCATTCACTTTGCATATAAATGACCAGACACCATGGAGAGGAGAACTAAACCCAACTCGAAAAATAAAGTTTCGAAGCAAGAAGAGTTTTTAGTTAAATTTGGATTACATTGGAAGGTTCAAACTCTGCAAAAAAGATCAGTGCAGAGGAAAGCGCTCAAAAGGCCACTTTAGTGTACGAGCTTTAAAAAAGAACCAAAATATTTTTTGGGCGGCTACAAAACGGATGCTCGTCTGTGTTGACATGAATACTAAACAAGTCAGAATTGAGACTGCCTGGAGCTTGTTTTTTTTCTCTTCCAGTTCAGTTTTTTTCGTCGTTCCGGTCTCTCCCACTAGGCCTTTTTCGCCTCCATGGGAAACAACACCAATAGACAATTGTTGCCATTTTTGTGGTTTTTTTTACTGAATTTAGTAAACTGGACAAGAACAACAAAAAAGAATGAAAGAGTAGATTCGTGAGAATCTGAAATGAAGTAATTCGAAAGATGAAGAAAGAAATGAGCTGGTTCTGAATGGAAACTACTCCAAACTGAGGATCTAAAATATTTTATCATTTAAAATAATTAGATAAATAAAGAACACATGAAATAGTTTAGCATTGAGCCTTGGATGGTTTTCTCTTGATTCCAAGAGCACGATTTTCCTCATCAATTCGAAGTTTCTGGAGAGAACGACGTTTGCGTCCTCCTCCACATCCACAGCACCCACATCCGCATCCTGTAAATTTTGAGATGAACTAAACAGAAAACTTTCGAAAAATGGTTTGAGAGGTTTGGACGGACGAACGACGAGCATGAGACGCTCGTAGAGGGGCCGGTAAACCGCTGACGGCTCATCGACAGCCCAAGAGAGCCTCAGCATATCGTTACCTCAGATTTTGATGACAATTTTAGAATAGGTAATGATAGCCTATTGTCGAATTAAAAAAAGTGACACCTGAGAATTTGAAAACTTTTGCTTTTTTTGATCTACGGTGCGGCAAAAACGGAATATTTCAGAATTTCGGCTCGTTCGAGCTACTTTCGCGTTTAAGTTTAGTTTTTTGCTGAAAAATAGATTCTAGAATTGCTAGCGATCATTTTCATACCAAGAAATCAATATTTTGTTCAGAAAATCCCACTAAATTCACATAAATAAATTTGTTATCTACAGTATCCGTTTTCGCTCCGCCCCCTCGTAAATCGACACGAGCGCCGTCTCCGAGATTTTCAGGTGTCACTTTTTTTAATCCGACAATATCTAGACACATCTGAAAATTTAAGAACACGCTCGCCAGTTTCAGCCGAGTTATTTCAGTGTAGCACGGCGAATAATTCACGAAAAGCGCACAAGGGAGATTGCTGGCGCTTTTCTCGTGTGTCGATAAAAAAGCAAGTTTCAAAAAGTTCAAAAGAGATTAATAGAACCGACATAGTGATGGATTTGAGACTCTAGGCATCACTTTTCCCCTCAATTTTCCCTCTTCATTACACGCCAATCCAAGTCAAAAATTCCACGCCAAATAAAAATGCAGAAAGTTTTGAACAAAAAAAAATAATTTTCCCTCAAATCTACAATAATCAGGCTGCTTCAAATCCTATCAGGGGTTTCAATTCTGAATTTTATGGCTTGGTTTTACTATCAAAAAATTTGTCGTAAAATTCTGGACAAATCCTACCTATTTTCGTTAAGAATGGTTCGACAGATTTTTGAAAACTTTGACAAACCTTCAAAAATGACAAAATTCAGTTGATTTTTTAGAAAATCTATCAGGGCTTTTATTTTTGGGCCAAACCAGACGTTTTTCGGATCATTTGATTTGTTTTCAAATTCTCTACAATCTCAACATATTTTGAAAAAAAATTTTAGACCCAGAATTTTTTTAATGCCATAAAATATGATTTTTCCCTGTATCAAGAAAAGCGCCAATAAATCAGAAAAAAAATCAGAAAAACTCGATTTCCAAAATTATTCGCAGTGTATAGTGTCAGTACCAAAAATCAGTGCGAAAGAAGCGATTTTCAAAAGCAATACAAAAAACTTTTTAACTATGAATAACAGTTTAAGAGGTTCGTACGGACGAACGACTTCTACGAGGCGTCCTACTAAAATCCTCTCACAAGGAAAGGTTTTTTAAACAACGGTTGAGAATTTGCTCAAAATTTGCATACTTATAGTTTAAGACATGCTCTATACGATGACGAAAAAATTTTTAGCCCGTTCTCACTCCCAAAATAATTGGAGTTATTTTTTCAAAAACAATACACAATCCACAGAAATTATTATATTAATAAAGAATTTCTATTGTTTATTACCTATTTAATGATGAACTGTCAAGAAGGCGCTATCATTTTAGACGGTCCGTCTTCGAGGCGCAAATCGTTGCAGACGGACCGTCGGCGGCGCGCGATTCGACTGCCGACTGTTCGCTTTTCGGCAGTCCGCGCCCGCCAGACGGCCCGTTTTCCGGCGGTCCCCCTCTACCTGTGACCACACAACCGATATTTTCATCTCACGCGGAATCGGTAGAGGAGGGAGGGGAAGCCGAAATCCCCAGCGCACCGAAATCGGCCCAAATTTTCAGACAAAGTTTTTCGGCCTGGGAGTGAGAACGGGCTAAAAATTTTTTCGTCATCGTATAGAGCATGTCTTAAACTATAAGTATGCAAATTTTGAGCAAATTCTCAACCGTTGTCTAAAAAACCTTCCCTTGGAGATTTTTTGAGCCCAAAGACAACATTGGGCTGAAAAAATTTGTCAGAATGCTATTTTTATCGTTTCTGAATAATTGGATAGTTTTTTCGCACTTTTCAAAAAATTTTCAAAAAATCATTTTCAAAGTGTGTTTTCAAAAAATTTTTTTGAAAATGTTTAAAAGTTACTTTAGAAGATAGAAAAATGTCCAAAAATGAGTTTCGCACTCAAGCAAATCATGAAAAACTAATTTTTAACCTCGAAAAAAACTAATTTTTAACCTAAAAATTTTTTTGGATTCGCAGCATGTTCGAAAGTACCTATGTACAAATTTTGAGCAAATTCTCAACCGTTGTCTGAAAACCCTTCCCTTGTCAGATTCAGATGAAACCAAAATCTCACCACATCCACAGCAGCATGGTCGGCAACACGTACAACATCTAGTACAGCAACAAGTTCTACAACAGGTACAACAACGACGACAACAGCACTTTGGTCTACAGCAACAACATCCACATCCTCCACCACCTCCACATGCACACCCACATCCACACCCACAACATCCACAACCACCGTTTCTTTTCACTCTCGAAGATCCAAGAGTGTCTATTGAAATTGTTTCAGATGATAAGACAGCTACTTCTGTATTTGTTACCGGAAGAACGGCGGATTGAATCTTAAAAAGTGAAGAATTGCAATTGATTCCCATAAATTTATAGCGAACTGAATTTATGAAACCATTTATTTAATGACCATTACTATCTAGGGTCCACACCAAAAACTACCAAACATACTTGAGAAATGGTAACGATGGCAAGAAGAGCAAAAAGTACCGTCTTTGTCATTATCTTCTTTGAATATATGAATGGTATGCCTCTCCTAGACTCCCAACATCTTTTATACCAATACGTGTTTGTCTTATCGCCGTTTGACAACTTGCCGGAAACTTTTTTGTAGGTCTCGGCTTGCAGCGTCATTTCAATCGGTGAAAAAACGATTAAAAAAGTAGTATCATGAAAACCATGAGCAAAAATGATTGGGTGGGTGGATGTATATAAAATGGTTGAACCTAATTTCATTAACAAAATGACCAAATTCCTTTCGACAGCTTTCCTCGCTATCTTGGCTTTTGGGACACTTTCAGAGGTATACTCAGTTCAATTTATAACAAGGTGTCTAGTTTCAGATTCAATCCGCCGTTCTTCCGGTAACAAATACAGAAGTAGCTGTCTTATCATCTGAAACAATTTCAATAGACACTCTTGGATCTTCGAGAGTGAAAAGAAACGGTGGTTGTGGATGTTGTGGGTGTGGATGTGGGTGTGCATGTGGAGGTGGTGGAGGATGTGGATGTTGTTGCTGTAGACCGAAGTGCTGTTGTCGTCGTTGTTGTACCTGTTGTAGAACTTGTTGCTGTACTAGATGTTGTACGTGTTGCCGACCATGCTGCTGTGGATGTGGTGAGATTTTGGTTTCATCTGAACTTGAGAACATTTTCGAAAATAAGTAGGCCGTCTCCTAGAAGTCGTTCGTCCGTACGAACCTCTTAAACTGCTATTCATAGTTTCAAAGTTGTTTGTATCGCTTTTGAAAATCACTTCTTTTCCTTTGGTACTGAACCTGAGCTATCATTGACCTATTCTAAAGTTTTCATCAGAACCTGAGGTGACAAGGTGCTGAGGCTGCCTTGGGCTGTCGATAAACCGTCAGCGGCTCACTGGCACACTTCCGGGCGTCTCCTAGCTGTCGTTCGTCCGTTCAAACCTCTCAAACCGTTTTTCACAAGTTCTATAAAAATGTCATTTTACAGGCTGCGGATGCGGATGCTGTGGATGTGGAAGAGGAGGACGGAAGCGTCGTTCTCTCCAGAAACTTCGAATTGATGAGGCCAATCGTGCTCTTGGAATCAAGAGAATATCATCCAAGGCTCAATGCTGAATTATGTGTTTCATGTATTTCATTTATTTAATTATTCTAAAATATAGAGTACTTTAGATATTTAGTTTTGAGTTCATTCAGTACCATCTTAATTCTTTCTTCATGATTCGTCGCCATTCTCTAGCTTCGCGTTAATAGAGTCACTGATACCCTCGAATTCAAAAGAACAACAACTGAATATCAATGTTAAACTGCTTCTTATATTCATCGTTTTTCTTATTATTAAAGGTGGTGTACGGTGAAATTTTTTATTGCATCAAAATGTGCAGAAATGCATGTAGATTGACATAAAAATAAAGAAAAAATTCAAAAAAAAAATTCCTTCATCGAGAAAAACGAGACTCCACCGATTCCGAGGAAATCGGGGCGGAGTTTACTTTGCAACTGCCGCACGGTTCAACGCATCGAAAAATACGCTGAAAGCCCTTAGGGACAAGGTTTTTTCTAGGCCGCCCGGTGAGTAAAAGCGCGCGAATTCAAACTTTTAAAATTTTTTCGCTCGTTTTCACTTTTTATTTCGGTTTTTTCAAGAGTTTTCTAGGTTTTTGTCAATTTTTCTTAAAGATACATCAGAAAATTTGAAAAAACAGTGAAAACGAGCGAAAAAATTTTAAAAGTTTGAATTCGCGCGCTTTTACTCACCGGGGAGGCCTAGAAAAAACCTCGTCCCTAAGGGCTTTCAGCGTATTTTTCGATGCGTTTTTCTCGATGAAGGAATTTTTTTGAATTTTTTCTTTATTTTTATGTCAATCTACATGCATTTCTGCACATTTTGATGCAATAAAAAATTTCACCGTACACCACCTTTAAGAAATTTAAATTTTTGAGTTGTTGAATTTCCTATTTTCCGTCGTCGTATTGTTTAACAAGATACAGTGCACATTCCGCGAAATTTTCTGTCATTGCGAACCATTACAAAAGTCAATAACGGATACACAGAAGACTTGATTGGTTCCCAGATAATTATCGGGATAATCAATAATGCGCCTAAAGTCAATAGTTTTCGTTTTGCAGTCATCATATTCAGCGCATTTTGCCGGTTTTGGTGGCGGCCTATATTCTTCTGTTCAGCATTATTCATTCTATCTTCCTTGCTATTAGATTCAGATTTAAATGAATTTGTTTAGTGAGCAGTAGTATTTACGGATTGGGTTTCTACTTATTTAATTGTTCTAATTCGTGCAAATTGTGACAATGCTCTGTTATCACGAAAATCCATTTTCTGACCCAATTTCGGACAAATTCCAGTTTTTTCAGCAATAACTTTTCATTCCCTCTCGGTGACAGCTGCTAAATAGCTATTTAAACTTCGCGCGATAAGTTAAAATGTAATCGCGCTCTGGCGCCAAAATCATCGTACACTTGGCGTACACTTGACAAGAATACGCTTCATAATTAGTGGATGATGACAAAATTCAAACATTTCAGGCAGAATCTGTTTAATCACACTTTTTTCTTCTTGAATTACTTGTTTGATTTCGCTCTAGTAATTTCTACTTCGCTTTTTCTTATAATTCTTCTTGATTTCTTTCAAATTGCATAGTTTAGGCCTTGTTGTGTACATAATGGCATCCGTTCCTACTCATCAAAGCGAGAAAGAAAAGAAAAACGACGAGCTGTCTACGGCCATTCTTAAAGATAAGGCGAAGCCAAATCGTTTAATTGTTGATCAGTCCGAACAAGATGACAACTCGGTTGTATCTGTGTCCCAAGCCAAAATGGACGAACTTGGATTATTCAGAGGAGACGCCGTAATTCTTAAGGTGAGGAACATGGGCTTTTTGGGGACAATGCACAATTTAAGAACTTGTAAAATTTGTTTCTCATAGAAAGCATCTAGGGACGTTTTGTCTCGACATGTTTTCGTGTAGTAACTGATGATTTTATGAGTGTCATAGTTGTGCTAGATAAATTGAGGAGAGAAGTGTTCACTAGTTCAAACTTCCAACGCTACGCCTAAGCGCTGGGTTTGAATTACTTCTATCTTCGCACAATATTCATAATGAATCACTTTTCCAGGGCAAAAAGCGGAAGGAATCTGTTGCCATCATCGTATCTGACGAGTCTTGTCCAAATGAGAAGGTTCGCATGAACCGTGTTGTTCGCAACAATCTTCGTATACGCCTCGGTGACGTTGTCAGCATCACCCCAGCTCCAAATCTCAGCTATGGAACCCGTATTCATGTTCTCCCAATTGATGATACCATCGAAGGACTCACTGGAAACCTGTTCGATGTGTTCCTCAAGCCATACTTTCTTGAAGCTTATCGTCCTCTACACAAAGGAGACATCTTTACTGTGCAGGCTGCAATGAGAACTGTCGAGTTCAAAGTCGTTGAAACTGATCCAGCACCAGCTTGCATAGTTTCTCCAGATACTATGATCCACTACGAGGGAGATCCAATCAAAAGAGAAGAGGAAGAAGAGAGCATGAATGACATTGGTTACGATGATTTGGGAGGAGTTCGTAAGCAACTCGCCCAAATTAAGGAGATGGTTGAGCTTCCTCTTCGTCACCCACAGCTGTTCAAGGCGATCGGTATCAAACCGCCACGTGGTATTCTTCTGTTCGGTCCACCAGGAACTGGAAAAACCTTGATAGCTCGAGCTGTCGCTAATGAGACAGGTTCATTCTTCTTCCTCATCAATGGACCAGAAGTAATGTCGAAGATGTCTGGAGAGTCCGAATCCAATCTTCGCAAAGCTTTTGAAGAATGCGAAAAGAATCAACCAGCTATCCTTTTCATCGATGAGATAGATGCAATTGCACCAAAACGCGAGAAAACTAATGGAGAGGTCGAGCGAGTATTGTTTCGCAACTTCTCACTCTCATGGACGGTGTTAAGGTAGAACCGGATGATCTAGAGTGTATTTCAAAAAATTGTGTTTCAGGGAAGATCTAACCTTGTCGTCATTGCTGCCACTAATCGTCCAAACTCAATTGATGGCGCTCTCCGTCGTTTCGGAAGATTCGATCGCGAAATCGACATCGGTATTCCAGATGCTGTTGGTCGGCTTGAGATCCTTCGTATTCACACTAAAAATATGAAACTTGCTGAAGATGTGGACCTGGAACAAATTGCTAATGAGTGTCACGGATTTGTTGGTGCCGATTTGGCATCTTTGTGTTCAGAGGCAGCTCTTCAGCAAATTCGTGAAAAGATGGAGCTAATCGATCTCGAAGATGATCAAATCGATGCCGAAGTTTTGAACTCGCTGGCTGTCACTATGGAAAACTTCCGTTTTGCTCAAGGAAAGTCGTCACCTTCTGCACTACGCGAAGCAGTGGTTGAGACACCAAACACGACTTGGGCTGATATCGGTGGTCTTCAAAATGTCAAACGCGAACTTCAGGAATTGGTGCAGTATCCAGTTGAGCATCCAGAGAAATATCTCAAGTTTGGCATGCAGCCGTCTCGCGGAGTTTTGTTCTATGGACCACCAGGATGTGGTAAAACTCTTCTTGCGAAAGCGATTGCAAATGAATGCCAAGCTAACTTCATCTCGATCAAAGGACCAGAACTGCTTACTATGTGGTTCGGAGAGTCTGAGGCAAATGTTCGTGATGTGTTCGACAAGGCTCGTGCCGCAGCTCCATGTGTACTTTTCTTTGACGAATTGGATTCGATCGCTAAAGCTAGAGGATCCGGAGCGGGAGGAGACGCCGGTGGTGCCTCAGATCGCGTTATCAACCAGGTTCTCACAGAAATGGATGGTATGAACGCAAAGAAGAATGTCTTCATCATCGGAGCCACCAATAGACCAGACATTATTGATCCGGCTGTTCTTCGTCCTGGACGTCTTGATCAATTGATCTATATCCCACTTCCGGATGAAGCGTCTCGTCTCCAAATTTTGAAGGCTTCTCTCCGCAAAACCCCGCTTTCAAAAGATCTTGACCTGACATTCCTAGCCAAAAATACTGTTGGATTCTCTGGAGCCGATTTGACTGAAATCTGCCAGCGGTGAGTAACTATTTCTATAGAGTTATAGTATAAATGCACAAATTAAGAACTTGCACAGTCGGCTTTCTCATTTTTATCTCTTGGCTGTGTTTTGCAGTCGCGTTTAAAATGAGCTCAGCTATTGATCATGCGAGTGTCATATTTATGCGAGACTATGTTCGTCTATGCATTTCTGTCGTAGTGAGGAATTCCGAAGCCACGCTACGGCTCTGAATATCTCATAATGTTCATAAACGAAAACATTTTCAGCGCTTGCAAGCTGGCTATTCGCGAATCGATTGAGAAGGAAATCCGAATTGAGAAAGAACGCCAAGATCGTCTCACTCGCGGAGAAGAGTTGATGGAAGACGATACTGTCGATCCGGTCCCAGAAATAACCCGTGCTCACTTTGAAGAGGCCATGAAGTTTGCCAGACGCTCTGTGACTGACAATGACATCAGAAAGTAAGATTGATTTGTAAAAATTTGCTTTCATTTACAAGAGAGGTGACAAACATTTTAACTGCTTTTTTTCAGATACGAGATGTTCGCTCAAACGCTTCAACAATCTCGTGGATTCGGAAACAACTTCAAGTTCCCAGGGGAACAGCGTGGAAACGATGCGCCAGCAGCTGCTGGCCAGCTCAGGATGATGATGACCTGTACAGTTAATTATTTCTCTTCATCGGATTCCTCAATGACTTGTATGATACTTGTTTTATTCCTCTTCCATACCCACATTTCTGCACCCCTTTTTACACTATTTTTCCCCCCAAACATTAAACCTATCAATATTTATTGTAAATGTAAAGCCAACCATTTCGCTTTAGAAACTAATGGTTACGGATGATCCTCGTGAACGAAAAACATGTAGATCCCCTCATCCCAGTTGATCAAGAAATTATGGCCCTGTCTTCATAACTATCATCACCCCCTCCCTTTTTGTATGTATTGAGTGATTTGCCGAAAATGAATGTATGATTTCTATTCAAAAATTGTTCATGTTCAAAGTGTGTCGCCCATTGCAAACTGATATTTGTGAGTAGGCGGTATGATCACGAGACTGGTTTTAAATATTTTTTTTGATAATGCCGAGCTAGAAACGTAGATAGCACTGAAAGTTTTATCGCATTTCGAATGTCTAAAAGCGTAGAAGCCATAAATTTTTGGTATAGTTACTGAACTCATTGTACCAATAGTGTTTGAGCACTTGCTGTTCTTTCAATGTGCTATCTGTCTTTTCTCATCAGTTTCTCCTATAATCAAGTGTCTCGCGTCTTCGAAGAGAGTGCACGCAATTCGTAAACAGTCATGAGTTGTTCTTGTAAACCAGACTTCCAGCGAGTTCTATGAATTCAACATTCCGAACCTTCGAGATCCGCATTTCCTCAATTTCGAATATATTTTACTTACCAGTACAATGTCACATGCCATTCTGCCCGTTTTGAAAACAGTTGGATTTCGATCTACAAAATTCAATTTCTGTTGTTGTCCTTCGAAATCGAGAAAAACAATTATTCGTGTTTCTCGTATGGAGGTGTTATTAAAGGGGGACTCCGACCAAAAATTTTTATTGCATTAAAATGTGTTAAAATTTATCTATTTTTCAAATATTATTGCGAAAAAATTCAAAGAAAATCCAAAATTCCCGAAAAACGGCGGTGAAAAGGGAGAAAATTCAAAAAAAGGTGCCGCCGGGGGACGAGGATTTTCAGTGAGAAACCTAGGCCACGGCACTTGACAGCCTTTTTTTCAAGTCGCCGACAGTGGTTTGTTACGTTTTTTACCTGCCGGACATGAAATTGAAAAAATCCGGAAAATTTGCCACGTAGGAAAGGCGCCCGCTGCCGTGGCCTAGGTTTCTCACTGAAAATCCTCGTCCCCCGGCGGCACCTTTTGTTGAATTTTCTTCCTTTTCAACGCCGAGATTTCGGATTTTCTTTAAATTTTTTCGTAATAATATTCGGGAAATAGATAACTTTTAACAAATTTTAATGCAATAAAAATTTTTGGTCGGAGTCCCCCTTTAATTGCCTCATATTTGATATGCCCTAGAATTTTATTGTGGCTAATAACACCCCTATAAATATTCCTCGCACATCTCCATTTTTTTAGTCTTCATACTGTAAGGGATTTTTTTTCGGAGCAGCAAAAACAAATTTGCCTACGATAATGTTTTCCAGTTGAAAAAAGTCCCTCTCCTCTCAATGGCAGACATGTCTCTGTTTTGTCGTTTTCTTCGAGTATTTCCTATCCCTAACAGGGAAACGTCTAGACCAACTCACCACTGAATAAGGTGGGTGCCTGGCTGATGGACATCCACGTGCCGCACTTTTTGTATGTATTTATGTATGTCTTATGACTTCCTCTAAATATATATGAGTTTTCGTTCGTCCTCGAAAGTGTATACCAGTGATCACTTGGTACTAATGGCAGTTTGGAAAAAAAACGGCTGTTTAGAATTAATGCAAAAAGAAACTATTATTTTTCATCCTACAAGCAGGCCCTGACACACGAGCGGTAAAGACCTACTGATATTTACGGGGACCTATTGATATTGTGCGGTAAACACAGTGTGAGCGAAACGACCAAAAAAAATTTTTCGAGAAAAATTTTTTTTAGGTATGGGGGGATCCTTATGTGATTTGGACCTACTGATATTATTGGAATTTTACCTACTGATATTTCGGTCGCGAAATTTTCAGTGCCGGGGCTTGTCCTACAAGACAAAGATGTGTCTAGTCCCATGGTATTTTTTTTTCTTAGCAGCAGTTCAAAAAGTAGCATGCGCTCGCATTTTTTCTGGGAACTCGTGACCATTCTTTTGGCACTGCGCTAGTGTTGGACGCAAATTGCATCTCCCTGCGGTCTACTCGATTCATGAGGTCTCTCCCGAATCGCATTGTCACGAGGTGACACTTGTCACATAAACGTACGCGTACATACATTCACGAGATCAAAGAGACAACGAGGCTTATGGAATACTTAATTGAACTCTTGACTTCAGTGTCTATGTTTGCACAAATATATTATGGCACAGTGTCAAAGATCTTCATTTTTGCCGGAAAGCTAACAAAAAGTTCAAAGAGATTCGTCAACTGATAGAGACATAGTTTACACAACGGTTTGAAGTCGCAGTTTGACGCTCTTTTGGTTCTGCACTTTTTTCCCTCGATTTTGAAAAGAAGTTGATGTTCCTGATCCTTCTCATCTCTCTTAGAGCCATTAAAAAGAGTCACGGGAGGAACTTGTGATCCGTGGAGATTTCAAAATAGCAGATGAAACTAATGCAGCAGTTGTTAGCACTGGTCTGGCATTCATCACTTATTTCTTTTCAAAAGATACGCAGAGAAACCACATGGCGGCACCCATGATCCCCGCCCATTTTTCATCTAGAGCCAGTGAAGTGCAAAATCAGTAGAAAGAGATGAAGCATCCTGCTATTTTCCATGATCAAAATTTGATCTGTTTTTTAGTTTTTTAACGGAGGATCAATGGTTTTTGCATCTGACCAACTTTTGTTGATTTGTTTTCTTTTCATGTAAAGGATCAGCTTCAAATTTTTGAAAATCATTCGCTTAGTTCTCATTCAGTTTCGATTAATGATGAGATACGGTAGGAGGGATACTGTAGATTACAAAAACTGTCGCCTTCGTGTTTGCAGACTCAGTAAAAATTACCAGTTTAGTTCTCACTATTTAGCTAAATAAACTCAGATCGTACATTTTTCAAAAAAAGACTACATTTATCTGTCAACTCTCTTCTGGAATCATACGACAGTTGTATGTACGTTTTTTTCGAGAACATCTTGTCACGTGGCTTTCAACGACCCATTTGAAAAATCGCGCCTCACACATTGCCTTGATCTTTCGATGAGACAAAATGGGGATTGAAAAGATGATAGAAACACACTTCAGTTTTGCAAAGAGTTGTCTAGCGTATCTAGCTGAGGTTTGTGTTTTAGACTGAACTATTGGCTTGAATGCTGATCTTAATTTTGGCTGTATACAACTGGTCAGCAAACCCTCCCCATTTTTATCATTCACCTGATTGACATGTAGATTATTTTTGAATTCGGCCGTAAAACTCATTTATCAAACTCTGCTCTCTTTTTTATCTGGAATTGTTGTTTTCTTGGTACGTAGTGATCGCTCAGCTTTTGCCGTTGTTTTTCAACGATCAATCATCAAACGCAAAAACGGCATCATTAAACCCTTTCCGAGTTTCGCTATCTGACCTACAGTATGATGCGCTCTGATCAGGAAAAGACTATGGATGGAAGCTTCTCGTCGCGGCTCTTATCGCTGTGAGTACACTCGTCTGGTTGGCTTCCTCCTCTACACAACTCTTTCTAGTCGGAGCACAAGCAAACTGTCCTCTCTCGTCGACCATTTGGTTTTTTTTTAACTTTACGCTTATGTGAGGCAATAGAAACAGACCAATGTTATGTTTTGTTTATTCTCGTTCCTCCATGCTTCATCATAAATTTATGTATATCGGTCATAGTTTTCGATATATAGAAGAATTTAGGAAAAAGATCAAACATTGTATGGAGCCATTCTCGAAGTTTAAATGTTTGCTCTCATGGCCTCGGTCGTCTGAAAGAAAAAAGGCCTCGTTCTTCTCACTCTAATTGAACTGTTTGGTCAAAGATTGCTGTTGCCCCGAGTCAGGTCTAAAATTGACATACTGTCGCGTGAATCTAGTGATTCGACAACAAGTGAAGATGTTGACCAATCGATCCTAATATTTGCTAGTACTTCCTGATGTTTCGATATTTTTGCGCCTATGTTTTGTTAATCATCAAAGACGGAACTCTTTAGTGATTCATTTTTTTCTGGTTAGGAGGCTCAGTTTTTTAGATGACGACCGATTCTTCTCGAAGTTTTTTTTGGTTCCCATTCAGATAGTATCATGCACGTATGACCTCGGCGCGAGAGAGGGAGCGGCGTTTGTCTGATTCATGTACTTCTAGTGGCGTCTCGGGAGCGACGTAATCGTCATTGTATTGTATCAGTTTCTCAACACAGTAGTCTCTTCTCTCTATTTCTCCACCATCTACTAAGATAATCTCATCTAAATTTTCATTTTCATTTTCGCACGATTGAGGGATGAAAAAAGAGAGAGGGAACGAAATTGATAGGATCGCACCCATCGCATGGCGGACAGACGTGGCCACTCTTTATTTTCATCTTCTTTTTCTCTTGTTCTCTCCACTTTCTTACACAGTTTCTCGTCAAAGACACTGTGCTTATTGGCGACGAGGCAGGCAGAGATGCAGAGTTTCTGAGTGGCAGTGCGATGGCGCCATTTTATCGTCCCTGCGCCGCGAGACAGGGGACCCTATTGTCTGTCGTTTATTTTACGCATTTTTACTCATCACACGTGATAGTTCTATCTACACTAAAAATGCACTCACGTGGGCTTCTTGTCTGTTACGTGATATAATTCGAGATTCATGTTGAGACATTGATTTCATACGAATTGTTCACTAGTTTCAACGGAAAATCTTTTTCATATTTTTCCTCCTTTGCTTCTTTCTATCTATGTTAATTTGCTTATTATCTTACCCTTTCCCAATATCTTTTTCTCTTCCCTACCGTACCCTATCCTTCAATTATTCGGCTCCGCGTCAATTCGAAACCGGTAATTTTGAAACGATGGGATGAATTTCAGACTAAAAAACCAATTTTAGGATTTTCGAATATGCTTTTTTTTCGAATACACAATCTGAAAATCGGAAAAATCCAAAATTGGATGTTCTCAAAAGAAGAAAAAATTCTTGAATTTTTCGATTTTCAGATTGTGTTTTATCGAAAAAGGCACATTGAAATCCCTATGATCCCCCGGTTTTCCTTATGTGCTTGATTCTATCTATGTTATTTTGTCTTATATCTTTCCTTTCCTCAATATCCTTTTTTCTTTTCTTCCGTACCCTATACTTCAATTATTCAATTAATCCATAGTTTCAGACTAGTTACAATCGTAGAAAGAAGACAAGGTGTTTGACGGTCGGTGATTGCGTCACACCTTTTACTGCAAGCAACACCCAGGTCCTTAGTCAGGTAAGCTGAAAACTAAAAAAAATGGAAGAGTTCTTTTTTAATGGGGCATTTGACAGTAGTAGTAAAGCTTTGGCCAATGACCCACCAGATGTGGAGAATGGGTTTAGCTGTCTTCTAGAAAGCTCTAGACGGATTAATGGGTCTTGCCACGAGTGGGGCAGCGGTTTTGCCTTCTAGGCGGATTCATCTCAAAAATGAAAGTTTCACATGTTTGCTCAAATGTAAAGTATTACTTTCTTTCTATTGAAACAATTTGTATAGATTCTCATTCTGTACAAATTTCCAATAACAAAATAGACCGATTGTTCACCATTTTGAATGAATACTGTCTTCTGACGTCTGAGAGCATTTGTTTCCATATAAAAGTGCGTTGAATTTCGTACAGTAATTCTTCGTACAAAAACCTGAAACATTTTCTCTAGAAAGGAAGATATTTTAGCAGGTTTTGAACCTCCGTGGATCTGTCATTCGAACCCATTCATTTATTTTGATGACATCATTTGCGGCTCAAATTATAAATGCAAGCACTGGCCACCTGTCCTCTCATGGTCCTATTATACCAACCATATGAATTAGCGTTTTGGCTTTTCTCGTGACTCCTCGTTCATTCAAAACGAGGTATCCTCCGGATGGTGTGCCTCTGAATGTCCTTGAATTTGTCCTGTTTTCTCCACCCATTCTGTCTCACCATCCTTTTCGCCATTCAATTTTTGGAAACCTGACAGCTTTCCCCCAGAATTCTGTTCTCAGATGAATATCAGCTTTTAGCTGCTGTTCAAAACGCTTTTAACAACCGAAAATTTCTAAAAAGTGAGCTTTTTTGTGATTTCGACACCGTGTTGCCGAAACATGAAGCCCATGGTTCATAAAAATTGTATGTCCTGTTTTTTTCATGAAAAACATTGCGAAATACGAAGGGCTTTCTGTTTCCTATAAATAGAAATGTGTTCGAACTCTTATGCTACATTCATTGTTGATGTATGGTCTGAAAGAATCTTTCTGTAGTTGGCTGATGTTGCCCCTGAATTTTAGCTGAAAAAAACAATACAAAACCTAGACACTTTATTCAACTAAATCTACTTTCAGACTTGAATTAAACCCACGATAAGAACCAAAATCTATCCACACCATCTACTCAACTCTCCATCATGTTCTTCCTGGAAAACAATGACTCGACATCCAGCCGTAGTATCGCCATGCCCAGCGTCAGGAACACTTCGAATGATGAGCTCGGCGGATTCTCACCCAGAAAAAATGGCATCCAACACAACTGTGAGTCGTTTTGTATACTTTGGGAAAGCATTAACTAAAAAAACTAAAGGATACGTTTGAGTAGTTATTATGCTCTAATGAGAGATGTTTGTTGAACAGCCGGCTCTCAGCTGTTGGCTTTTACTCTTTTTCTGTGTTTCTCTCGGCGCGGTTGTTCAGTGATGATCAGCCGAGGCGAAGGTGATGGATCTATAGGAACACGTCATTGGTCGTTGATTCGGGGGGAGATCAATGAAATAATAGGATAGGGCACTTATCCGAAATCTGAATCACAGTGGGAATATTTGGAAAGAAGATTATGAAATGTAGTTTGAGAGATGTACTGAGTATCAGGATCATTTCTTGATCTATTCGTTATCCCGAATCAGATACAAGTTTTAAAGATGCAGTTTCTAATGTATCACCCAGACTATTTCATTATTTCTCGAAAACGTTTTGCACTCTATTTTTCCTTCAAATTTCGAATTAACAAGTTGTTGTAAACATCAAACCGGTTGATCCATCCTTGATTGATAGTTTCTAATTTAGAATTGCCGATTTTCAGATTCAAAGAATACATTTCAACTTTTTTCAAGTTTCCCTGCCAGTTTTTTCTCGGAAATCTCATTTCCAGTTAGACATACTGACGACATATTCTCACATGAGATGCTCAGTATTGATAACTTATGATGCGAAGAAGTGGGAAGTAAATAATACTACCACGACAACTCTTCAACTTGTAAACAATCTCTCGAGCAAAAGCGAGAAAATCATAAAGAAACGAGAAAAAGAAGAAAAAGAAGACAAATAATAGGACGAACTGTTTTGTTGTGCTCGCTGAGCAACTTTTGTTGTTTTTCTCCTATCGCTTCACTCTCGATTTCATACAAATATTGACTTTTTTTTCACTCCACCATATGTGAGAAATCATAAACGAAAAGGAAACATGATAAGGCGAATCTTTTGATGATGATGATGTATGGATTTTTATGCGAATACACAGATCGGAGAAGATCAGAAAATCCCTGTCTCTAACACTTTGAAACATTCGTTGTGATTCTTGGTCCAACTCGGCAAAAACAAGACGATTCAAGCAGGAAAGAAATGGATGAAAAGTCACATGGTCCCTAAGTCCCTCTACACCTTTTTTGCATTTTCTTTTCGGTTTTTTTGCCTCCACTCGTCTTCTGGGAGTTGAAAGACGCAGACATTCCGAGTGTCCTCAATCTATCTATGCTTTCGTCTCTACATTTTCAATTGTCTGTTTCCCTTCGCTCTGACCACTCTGTTGTGTTCAACCATTAGAATCATGTGATGATAGGAGGAAAGATAGTCGATTTGAGACGACGCAGAGAAGCGAGAGGAGAAAAATAGAACAGTGTTTTCATTTCTGCAGTAGTCGTCGAAAAATAGATGAGGTGAATAAAATATGATCTTTATACGATTTGTGTTTCTTCTACTTTGACACGTTTCATCTGATCACATATCTCGTTTGGAGTTTTTTTTTTCGATTCAACCACTTCCATCGACGACATCGTTCTCTCCGTTTGCATCTTTGTTTTCTTGTTACATGATGGAAATGAAGGTTTCAAAAAATACATTATTATCAAGTTTTTGGCGGTGAGAAGGTGGAGATCGCGGAACTACGGTAACCAAGGCTGAAGACTTTTTGAGAACAGACATGGAAATCTGGGGAAAAAACAAGAAAAACAAGTAAGATCAAACTGAAAATGTTACACTGATGAATGTGTTGAAAAAGTAGTTTCAATATTATTAATCGGCATAATTTGAATAATCGGATCAAAAAGTGTTCCACTTCCCTTCCAGTCTTTTTCCACTTTGAGTACTATCTCTCTAAATAAACATCAGAACTACGTCGTCTACTACCGTATTTTTCACTATTCCACTTCTCCAAGCTTTTCCGTAATGGAAACAGGTGTGTGTTGTTGTCAAGCTCTGTTTCTTTTCTGAATTTAATAAGATTACGTGCCTCCCGCGCACTTCTTGTCCTTCTCCGATTTCGTCTTCCACTGGTCGCTTCGATTTTCCGATCTTCGTTTTCTTCTCCGCTTCAGTCCCGATTCCGAATAGTTTGAGGGGTGCAAACAATCATCCATCGTAACCTACAACAAATGCGGGCCCTTTTGTTCATTTCAGTATGTGTAAATACAGTTTTGCACCTCATGTTTCCCAGTCAAAGTTTGAATTCACGTCAATGATTGCTCTGAAATGGTCGTCTGACGTAACACTTTCCGAACTGTCTCTTCAGCGGAGTTCCACTGAAATTAACAGGACCACTGAAGATTCCTACTGTATGTGTCAAAAACAGTTAACTGATATCTGATCACTGTCACCAGCCTATGTTTCCACATCACCAGTTTTGGTCGGCTGACTTTCCGGTCGTTACTGCTAGTGTTTGTACGTGGGTGGAAAGAAGAGGTTTTTGATGATTATCTCGCTCGTCAGCCGTAGCACTAACCCATGCAAGTGGCTATATCCGGTTGTGTTTATGTGCCAGATTTAATATTTTTTATGCACCAAAATGACGAGAATAAATGCGGATTAATGTTAATACTAGATCCGGAAAATCACAAGATGTTGCGGATTACAAGGAAGACATCGGTTTTAAATCTAAATATAATGTTTGAAGCTGTCTCGAAATGCCAAATCAAAGTTATTGGGTACTAACATTGTTCTTCACTGGCTAGACCAGTAATACATAAACACTCTCCAAATGTGATCTCTGAACTAGACGTCCACAGACGATGGCCCATCGGTTCTGTCGGTTGGGGTTGTTAGTCACACTTGTTATTTTCCCCCGTCTTCACTTTGGTTATTCCTACGTGTTCTTTAGCTGTCGGAGCAGCTGGGCCCAGACAGACGCACCCTTAGAAGGAGAACCATAAAAGGAAGAAAAGTTGGAGAGCAAGAACCTCGGCATTTTGGAGAAAAATGTGAAAAATAGACACACATAGGACCTCGATTGCTCCCTAGCCATCCAGTTTCTCTCAACCCTCTATGCTCTGAAAACTCCTTCCTTTAGGACTCGAGGAGCCGAAGGAGGAGGGGGAGCAGGAAGCTCGTGTCCACATCCTCAAATGACAGCATTCTCGTCTTTTCATCGGTCGTTTCCTTTTGTCCAGATATTTTTGAGCAAAATACAATTGCCTCAGATTATCATCTATTAATGGTCTTCTCTATCTGAAAGTGTTTTTTGAAAACCGTGTCAACTATAAATATCGAGTGTGTATGCGTATGGAGGCGTCTTGTGTCCATTTTGTTCTACGAATCTTCGACCAACGGTCGCCTTCAACAGTGTGTTGTAGACGTCAAAAACATTGGGGCGAGAAGGGAGAGAGAGAGAAAGAGAAGAAGCTTCGAAGATGGAAGAAGGGGATTAGGCACGGAAAAAGAACGCCTCCTTACTCTTCTTTTCGTCGTATTTCTTTTTTAAATCTGTTTTTTTGTGGCTGTGTTTCGCAGTTTTTTGACGGAGATGGTGTGAATATAGATAATCTCCACTTTAGTGTTGGAGAAGCTCTGAAGTTTTGACACTGTCCAGTTCCAAAGTGATAGATCTTAAAAAAGGTTGAGACAGAACTACTGTATAAAGATATATCATAAGTACTTGAGTACATGACCTATAACTATCACCCTTATAAACATTTAGAGTATCAATTGGAATACGTTTATTTTTCACAAGCCTGTAGTTGGTTGTAGAGGGAAAGTTGCGCATGGTCCGTTTATTATGGTCCATCAGATATGAGGATGTTTCGTCACCTTTGTCATAAAAGTATCGAATGACAATAATATGAGTCGGCCTCTCTTCATGATTACACGACCTTCTGCGCACACCAGATCACCAGATGGCTTTTCACATATACACAAGCGTTCGTTTATTGTCATTGTGGTACGGTAGATTTGAATACGACACCACTCTTTTTTTCAGCGCTCCGAACAGTAAGGGTCACACTAGGTCAACACCCTTTCGAATGGTATTGTGAGTGAGCCCTTCATTGCACAAACAGAACTACCCATCAGTCAATCCTTGTGATTGTTGGGATTGTAGTGGGGATAGGTTCCCCAGTGTATATACAGGTTATAGTAAAAATGATGTCATCGTCATTTACCAAGTTGCACGCAAACCGCTAAGCCACACACATACTCATCATGAACATGTGGGAAGCAAAGACTGTAATGACGAATTTGTTTCAGAAAGTACACTGTTATCTTTAGGTGTTCTATACTACTACTACGGGAGGAGGAGAGAGTGGGTGTACATGGAAATTCCAGCGTGTTTGTTATTCGATGATGAATAACTTCGTGGATTTTTATCACTGATCATCGATTTCGGACCAGTTTTTACATATTTGAGATAAATATAGTGGATTTTTCACTATAGTTAGTTTCAGTTTGACCCCCTCACAATCTTTTTTTCTGGAAATGTCATGAAAATATTGACGAAAAATACCATATGGGTCGATCCTGTGTTGTGTATATCTCTAACCTTCTCGCCCTTTTCTCTCGTTAACTGTCCTCTGGCGGTAGGGGACGATGGAAAGCGCTCGAACATTTGGCCAGAGTGCAGACAGTTAGACATTGAAGAGACGCAGAGTTAACGGAGGGAGCGAGAGAGAAAACATGAATGCCCGTCCCTCGTGGTCTGATGTCTCCGCCTCCGACTCTCTCGCCCTACCTCCTCACAGTAGCTTGTCCGTTGTTCTGTGCTTGTGTCTCTGTCTGTGAGTGTGGAAGAGAAGTCGAAGAAGTCGAAGAGCTGACGATCTGAAAGGAGAATCTCTCCTTGATCTCTTCACAACTTCTTTTATCTCCTCCCTCTCTGGTATCGTTCCATCGAACCGGTACATTTTGTTCGGTGTCAACCATTTTGCCGTTCATTCAACACAACATGTCCATCCTTCATGCCGGGTACCCACAGTCTCCTATTGTCCACTTTGGACGCCATCATAATGTCAATATTAGCCAACTTGATCTGAATCATTTGGGACAAGTTGAGAATGTTCCGAGACAAGTCAATAGTAAGTTTTCTTCAGCTTTTATCTCTTCTGACCTCTTTTCTGCATTCGAATATCTTATTTTCTCGTTTCAACGCTTTAATGTTCCTGTTTTCATGGAAATCAGCCGTTAGCATAGATCAGAAACCAAGAATTTTTATCAGTCTGTGCTCTGATTAGAAAATGTTGAGTGAATCAGTGACCTAAATAACTTCATAAGCAGAAACGGAGCCAACTAGTCTGCTGACATTGTTATCTAGGTATTCACAGTTGTTGTTGATTCTCACTTGACACTTATACATATTTGTGTCTTTTAATTACTTTCATACAACTGCTGAATTGACTGATGCAAGACGATGACGAGCATACTGTAATTCAAATTTTTTTTTATTTCTCTGAGTTTAACGGTTATGTTCCATTAATGCGTAGGTGTTAATTATATTGAACCAAACATATAATTACGCCCCATTTAAGTAACCGGAATAACCAGCTGACAGGATTCGTGATTAGTTGTTGTTTTTGGCACCAACCAGTTGGAAAAATAAGAATTTGAATATTTCCCCATTCCCCCTTTTGCATAGTTTCCACATGATCTGTTTATATTGGAGAGAGAGAGATAGTCTCTGGGTGCACCCAACACCAACAGCCAGCCGGAGAAGAAAGACCACCCGCTGCTGCCACTGTTGGGGGGCACCCGGCTGACTGGTCTTGTGACATGTGTAGACGCGCTGGTGTCGTCCTCTTCGGAATTGCCACTGCCTCTTTTCCGATACATATGGGATGAGGTTATGACAATTCATGAGGAACGAAATGGATGTGGAGTGAGGAACAATTACAAGACTCCTCGAGGTTAGGCGGTGAATTGTGAAATAGGTTACGGTAGTTAAAAACATTTCGGACACTGAACTGATCTATGAAACAACATTCATTGTATATCTCTTTGTATCCTACCACTACATATTTATGTTCCATTCATATGTAGACCACAACAAAATAATGTGTATCTCTTTGCAGACTCGGCCGTCGGCAGCGGCGGTGCTGCTTTCCACCATCTGCACACTTCTGCTGCTCCGAGACACGTGGCCTCCTCGGAGTTCTACGACGACGACGAGGCAACGTCGCCGAGTGGAGGAATCGAGATTTGCGCCGGTGGCGGTAAGATGATGGCCAATCTGCGTCGACATCGTCAACGGGAACGCGAGGCGTACGAAGATGATTCATTTTCGTCGTCGGACGAATCGTCCGGACGTCCAATGCCGCGTTACGTCGGTCGTGACACCGACCACGTGTTCGGAGAGTTCGAGATGGACGATGAAGATGTGGAGATGAGAAGTGGAAGTGGTAGACGAGACGAGGGAAAATGCATATACGGAGAGGATACCGACGAAGATGATTACGAAGAAGAGGAATCAGTTTCGGAGTTGCTGCCGCTCGGGGGAGGAACTCGTCGGGTGCCGCGAACCCCGAGAAGAAAGAACTCGTCCAAGTGTGGATTCTTTGGTGAGTTTTCAATTCTTCTCTCCTTGTTTTTGTTTGTTTTCTGCGGTTTTGAGATACCGTTTTCCTTTTCCTTCTTCGGTGTCGCTTCATCTCCTCTGGTTGTTTGTTTGAACAACTTGATTTGGTTTTGACTAGGGAATTTGTTTCTAGCGAATTTTTCGCTGCGAAAACAGCTGCATTGGTACACTATTCTTATGCATAAATTTCAATGATTTTCTAGGGGTATACTCGGAAGCTATTCTCAAATCAGAAAACGAGAATGACACCATAAAAAAACATTTTGATATCCCGTTAGATACCGGAAGCCAGGGGATTGATGAATGTGAAATGACGGCGGCGGCACTTAAATTAGACACTGACTGACAACCTTCTCCTCTTTCTGACACAACCATAACTCGATTCTGATTGATGAACAAGACATTTATTTGGTGTTAATAGTAGTAGTAGTACCAGCAGTACTTCTTGTTATGCCAGTGATTTTGGTTTTTTGTGGTGAGACTGCTGGCCGAATTGAAGTACGGATAGTCAACACAATAATTAGTCTTTCTGAGGCAAAGAACGGAACTAAATAGGCCTGAATCAGTCTCCAGTTACGATAGATGACGATTTCTTAGCATTTTGTATTTATATGTGAATTTGTGGTGAAATTTCTTTTAAATTCTCATTTGAAAAATTTGTATTATAGAACAATTAAAAATTCTTTATTCAAAAAATATGTAAATGATGCAAAATGTGTTCGAGAAGCTTTTCAAATCCTCTCGAACACTCCAGAATGTTCTTGAAAGCGATGATGCAAACTTTTTCGAATTGTTTTGCTATTTCACGCTTTGCTTCACTATTTTGCAACAATTTGCAATACTCTGCAACGTTCACGTAGTAATAGGAATAGAAGATGGCTGTAGGAAAGAAATGCAACAGAAGAATCACTCGTTTTAGAAGACGTCTAGAAGGTAATGAGGAAGATGATATCGTCTATGGCTTTGTTCTTGAAGAAAGCTGTAACTATGACTTAAATTTCTTAATTTCAGACTACTACAAGTTAACGGATGAGCACTTGGGCTCCGGTGCTTACGGGTCTGTGACAACCTGCAAGTCGATCAAATCGGGTCAGGAGTTCGCTGTGAAGATCGTCGACAAGCAAGGCGAGACTCACTCCCGTAAACGCATCCTCCGCGAGGTCAACATCTTCAAGACTTGCAAAGGACACCCAAACATCGTTCAGCTTCTTGACTGGTTTGAAGATGACACCAATTTCTATCTTGTCATGGAGAAAATGCGCGGTGGTCCATTGCTCCAACACATTCTCCAGCGTGGCTACTTCACCGAAGAGGAGGCTCGTCGTGTTACCAAGGATATCGCATCGGCTCTCAAGTTTATGCATGATCGTGGAATAGCTCATCGCGATGTGAAGCCGGAGAACGTGCTGTGCACCGATCCCAATCATGTCTCGCCTGTCAAACTTTGTGATCTGGATTTGGCAAGCCAGCGTCGGCCACAACACGAACGTCATCCGTTGAGCCAAGTCGCTTCGGAGCCTGACCTTGCTTCTCCCGTCGGTTCGGCTGAGTTCATGGCACCGGAAGTTGTGGATGCTTACGTCGGAGATGCTCTCAAGTACGACAAAAAGTGTGACACGTGGAGTTTGGGAGTCATCCTATACATCATGCTCGCTGGTTACGCTCCATTCCAAGGGCAGTGCGACGATTCTGACTGCGGGTGAGAACTATCTTCTAGGTCACTATCTTCTAGTCGTTGAACTATCTTCTAGTCGTTTCATGAATCTTGTTTTAGTTGGTCTGAAGGAAAACCATGCGAAGACTGCCAACAAGATCTCTTCCATCGTATCCAAGACGGTTACTACGAGTTTCCTGAGGAAGAATGGGGAATGATTTCTGATGAGGCGAAGGATTTGGTCTCGAAGTTGCTGAAACGCGATCCGATTGACAGGTTCGTATGTGGTCACTATTTCTTGTCCCTCCGCCTTCGCGTCTTATGACTGCCTCTCTAGTGTGGGGAGAATGCCGCACAGATGGCGCAGGGGTGTACGCGCGCGCTTGTCATGCCGCAAGCCCTAGCTCGATTCCTTCATATCCTGCACGCAGTTATTCGATGGCTGTGGAGCCTGGAAACGGAGGATAGATAAGTTTAAATGAATACTAATGCTTGGTGTCTTCTGAAGACACCGAGATTGTGTGAATTTGAACATCAAATTTTTCGAAACATTGTATACGTTCTTTTTTCAGATTCAATGCCGATCAGATTCTTGCTCATCGCTGGCTCCAACAATCTGCCGCGTCCACTATTCTCCAAACACCATCTAACCTCATCTACCGCAAGGATTCTGCTCGTGACGTCCAGCAAATGTCGGAGCATTTCAACATGATGAATCGGCTCACGGATGCTCGTCTCTCAGCGAGATTCGACAAGATGACCATGAGTGATGCTGCGAGTGATTTGGGAACTGCCACTTTCCAGTGAGTTTTCAATCTTTGCTGATCAATTGTACGAAATTTCATTTTCAGCGGTGACGGCTCATTCTTGTCAATGGGCGGTGAACTGTTTGGTACTTTCCCACGAAAGAAATCTGTTGGAATTGCCATCGAAAAGTCTCGCAGCGGAGAATTCACTCCACCAATCAGCCGTGCTTCTCCAACAACTCCACCACCATCGATGCTCGACTTGAGCCAGGATTTGATGGATTCGCCAGTCAAGAGAAGATCTGCCGATGATTCCGGAACATACTCCCTCTTCTCCCCAGCATCCTCAAACGGGGATGACGACATTCGTTCTCCACCAATTCTCTTCCTCGACATGCCATCCATTCAACTGTTCGGAGCTGATTCAACAGTCCTCAATTCCGTTCAAATGACTCCTCGACATACCACCGAAGACGAGGCGTCATTGAATTCGTTCGAAGGAGAGCAGGAGGTTGGTTATCAATTCAAAGATCGAATTGATAGAAACCTATCTTCCTATTTCTTCCAGAATCCAATCCATCGTGTCGAGACTCAGGTCAACGTCTAGATCTCTCCTTGTTTTACAAAAACATTTCTCACGATTTCTCGGACTATCTAAACCAACTTTTTTTTTCTGTGTAAAACCATCCACCACCTGAATAATGTATGTAGTTTGTGCCTTAATTTTTCTTGCAATCAAATGCACTCTTGTTTTTTTTCATCGCTCTTGTCTTCATTTTCTCTTATGTTTGTTGTTTGTTTGGTTTTCGCAATTCCATACAAGCACCTCTAGAAGAAGTGCGTTTGTTGTTTTCTGTCTTCAAGTATGTCTAAAAATCCTGGAAGTTTTAGTTTTTTCGTTTAGATGCAATTCTGCTTTCTCGAACTTCCAGTATTTCTAGTCACTTGAAATCCACCCACCCACCACCACACACTTTTCAGCCCCTCGATTGCTCTAAATTGTAAATAGTAAGTAAGCTGACCTGCAAAATCACCACCCCCTATCACCATCACCCAAAATTTGTTTTTTTTTGCTTAAAAGCGTGTACATACGGTCTTGTCATTGTTTTAGTCTGAAAATGGCTGAAATTGTGACAAGTGCCGTCATTATTTTGCGTGTACAAATGCCCATCCATCCACTCTAAATTGCATTGCTGGTGTTGTTGCTGTTACGAGATCCCCTCCCCAAAATCCCACAGATTACTGGAATTCTTTGAAAGTATCCTCTTTTACTGTTTTCCCGTTCATACACTTTCTTGTTGATACGGCTTTTCGATTTGAAGAGCTCGCGTGTGTCTTCTTTCTCTTCAAACCGAAAAGTCTACTGCATTTATCATCTTTTTATCATTTTCTCCTCATATTCCCTTAAATCCCTGTAACACCACCACCACCTCCAACCCCACTTTTCTAAGATCTGACTCATCCATCTCGAGTTTTTTTTTCAGCCAAACCTCCGGTTATCTGAAAATTCCCATTGCAACCACGTTGCGTTTTTCCTGTCTATCCACCTATTCTATCCCCCTTTGTTTTAAGACCTGTAAAACACGTGTACAAAATCAGAGATAATGTCGAGTTTCTCAGTGGCTCATGATTTCTAGATTTTCAGTACTGAAAAGACTGGAAATCGAAGAAATCATGATCTACTTCCCCCATTCGGTGTACATACCCGCTTTTCAGCCGGAAAATTGTTGATTTATGGAAGAGAGTAGTAGATATCAAATCGAATAATTTCTTGATCAAAAATTTAATTCTATCTACTGTTCTCTTCTATTTCTTCCCTCGAGGATCGTTTGATAGCCAAGTTTGACAGTGACAGTGGTTTATGTGCCCCATTCTCCAGTCACCCAACTTTTTCTATGACTCTTCCATTTGTTGTACATTTTCCCCCTACAGTAACCATCTAGTTTCTCGCCCCTCCCCCAAAACTTCTCGGAAACTTTGAGCTGGATTATTAGAGAATCTCAACGCGGAAGCTGGAAAATTTCTCTAGTAGTTCAGTTCTTCTTTAAAATTAGGCCCTCTAGGCTCAGAACAAGAATAGAAAAAATCCAAAAAAAAGGAAGTAGTTTTTCTTAGTTTGTCATCAAACGGTATGGAATAGCCATTCCTATCATCCTTCTCCCTGTCTTGCAATACCATCCTGCTTGACAAATCACTGAAAAATCCCCCAAGAAGGAGCCCGTGTTCCCCCCGTCTCACCCACTCAATTGTTGTACGATCTCTTCCAGAAAAAAGTCGACAAAGTTAATAACTTTTTTTCTCGATTTTTCCGGTTTGTCACAAATCCTCCCACCTATCTCGCTGATGGAAAACACGGGCCCGGTTTTGATTTTTCTCTTTTCGAAATCGTTTTTTATAAACGGTTCCCCCGAATCACTGATTACAAATTATACCATCTGCCACAATCAGTGTTTCAACCTCCCCATTTACTCTCGTTCCATTCACTTTCTGTCTCCTTTCGTTACCATTTTACGCATTCATCCTGTTTTTATCTGCCTTGCCCCATAACTTATTTCCTTTGTCCCCCGTTTCTCTTTTCGTAATTCCTTGTGAAGAAATTTCAGTAGTAAATTAATATGCTGTATCCCCCTGTTTCAAATATTCGTTATATTTATTTTTATAGAAACCCTTCCTATCCTGGAAAGAATGATTTATGGTTTCGAAAGAAAGAGAATAAACTGTGAATAATATATATGATTGTTGTTCAAAAAAACAGTATACACGATGATAACGAGACTAAATTCCGATTTCCTTAAAATAATAAAACCTAAAATTAGACTGATATATCGAGAAAAATGATCTATCTTTTCACCTAAATTCTCAATTTCTCCTTTTGAAAAACCGCGTTTTAAAAAACTACGACGCTCCGAAATTCCGCACGTACGCGTTGTTTATGGTAAATCGACGGGATGATTGTTAGCGGTTTTCTAATACCACGGTGAGTTTTTCACTACCGCTGCTTCAACTTTGGAATTTTTTTCTCGAATTCTAGTCCATAACTTTTTTTCTGTTCCATAAATTTTTAGTAAATTTTATGAAGAATATATAGTGAAAAAATGAATCAGATTTTTTTTTTGTCCGTTATACTTTAAAACGTCGCAGACTGTTGCTCATCCGGTAGTGAAAAACTCACCGTGTAATACATAAAGTTTTTCATCGTTTTCGATTGAAACTTACATTTTTCTGAAAGATTTGACAACTGAACATTTACTTGTCGCCGCCCAGATTCTATACCATTAATAGATTCTCCTCACAATTTCGGAACTGTTCATTACTATTATTCTGTTGGCTTTTATCCTCTGTTTCGCTTTTGACATGCTTAAAAATACTCTTCAACGATCCTTCTTTATAAAAAAATTGAACAAAGCATTGTTTTTTTCCAGAACTACACATCATGGCTTACTTGGGAGTCGACACAAGTCGAATCGCCGGCACACAACCGCTTGAGGTTAGAAAGAATCAACATTTAATGCGAGAACGATTTTTGAATTTTCAGATGCTTCTGATCAGCAGCAGTAGTCCCGACCCTCATTCTACAATAATTATCGATCCCCGTACCGGAGTTTCGTCGTGGAGTTACAAAGGTGGAGAGTTGCAAGGAGCATCAACTGGACTCGTCGAACCTCTAGGTGAGTTTTTACTTTTATAGTTCCAACAATATTTGTATTGGTTAATATCGTTCAGGGAAGGATGGTGAACACATCGTAGTGACAACGAAAGATCGTCCACTCGTGCATGTGATTGCAGTTCACTCAAAAGATCGATTTCATCAAAAATGTGTGCTCCCTGGACCTGTTTCTGCCATTTGTAGCGATCGTTCTGGTCGTTTCGCATTTATGAGCATTAAACGACAACTTTACTGTTGGCTGCTGTCTACTGGGGAATTGCTTTCTGTCATTGACGCTCACTATCAAAATATCACAAAACTCGCTCTCTCCGATGACGATTCAATGGTTTTCACAGCCTCCAAAGATGGTGCTATTCATGGATATCTTGTTACTGAGTATGTTAAATGATTTTTGTTTATAACTTCAACCTGAATTGCAGACTGGTGTCAGCTGATCGAGACAGTACTGTAGCCCCATTCCGTAAATGGGCATCTCATACATTGGCCGTTTCTGATCTCAAAATTACTCATGGATCGAATCCACGTATTCTTACGACTGGAGCTGACCACATCGCTTGTCTTCATTCAATTTCTATGGACTCAGTGATCCTGAAAGCGTCGGCAGATCGTCCACTCACTTCATGTGCCATCGATTCAGCAGAGACTCGTATATTCATTGGAACCGAAGTTGGAAATATTGCACAAATCAACTTGTTCCAACTGGTAATCAAAAAAAAACTTCTGGTTCAACAGAAATATGATTTCAGGGTGCTGAAGAGAGAGATCTTCTGATTCAAGCTGGTGACGAACATAATACGAAATTCCGAGTTTTGAATGGTCACTCTGATGAAATCACTAGGCTTACAATTAACACAGATGGTACACTTCTAGCTTCCGGTGACGCATCTGGAAAATATTGCATTTGGGAGATTAGCAGTCATCAATGTCTCAAGGTGAGCAGCATATGACTTAACTTCATAACTTTCAATATTACCCATAGGTATCTACAATGAGATCTACAATTAGCACTCTCCGATTCATTCCATTCTGGCCCACGATCAGTGGTGGTGAGCACACAAAAAAGTTCCGTCCAGTCTGGGACCTCCGCAGAGAGCCGACAAAGTGTGAGCGTCTGGCAATCGAAGTCTCAAACGAGTTTAACGCTGACCAAAAGCATTGGAACGATGTAATTGAGGACTCGATCGACCAAATGCTCTTGGAGTCTGGAAGCACAACATCGGCCCAACTTCAATGGCAAGTTGAAGCTCCAATGAGGAAACAAGCTGAAGTTGAAAAGGCAGAAGCAGAAGCGATGGCACAGGTGATAACACTTGGAGATGATGAAGACGATGCTCCGGAAGTTGGAAATCAGAGAAGACAGAATAAAAAGAATAACAAAAAGAATAGAAAACTTCAGAAGAAGTTGGAAGCTGAGCAAGCGTTGAAAAATAAGGTTATTGAAGAAGAAGCTGAGCTGATCGTGATAGATGATGGAGAAGAATCAAACAAGAAAATTTTGGATCTCCAGGCAAGCATGACGGAGTTGAGAGAAGAGAATGAGAAGCTTAAAGAAATTAATAGGCAAATGTACGAATTTGTAGCCGCAGAAATTGTTGACAGGTGAAGATTCCATTTTCAGTCGAATTGTTATTATCACCGTTTTTTGTTTTTGTTGCTGTTGTTTTCACTGTTGACCTGATTTTTTAACTGATAAATATTGTTATTTTCAATTCTCATTTTAATATACATGATGTTCCGTCGGTTTTCTATCACATCCGTACTATATTTTCTAGTATCTTTGAAGCCCACGTTGCTTTATCCCGAAAACTCGTCGCAGATGACGTCAGCAAACATCGAAATGGCAGTTTACTGCTTTGACGTCATCTACGCACAACTCAACCGTCAGAAAGAACCGACGGTGCCAAGAGAAATATCTGATGTGAAGCTGTAAGGTTTATTAAAGTTAAATAAAATAAGATTTTGTTTTTCAGTCCGCTATTCGTGACATGGAAGAAAGGAGTGCATCATGATTTGAGAGGATGCATCGGCACCTTTTCTGATCTGAGGTTAGTGATTTATCGGAACACTGGATAAGGCTAAATCAACGTTTGTCAGATTGGGCGAAGGGTTAAACGAGTATGCCAAAACCAGCGCGTTCCATGACTCGAGATTCAAGCCTATAACGAAAGAAGAAGTTCCAAGTTTGCAATGTGGAGTGAGAAAAAGTTACACGGAATCTCATGGTTATAAAACTGACAATTTTTAGGTTTCTCTCCTGATCAACTTTGAAAATATTCACAATTATCGTGACTGGACCATCGGTCGTCATGGAGTCCGGATGAATTTCAGTGACGGTCGTCGCACTAGAAGTGCCGTTTTCTTGCCTGAAGTTGCTTCGGAACAAGGATGGAACCACGTGGAAACTATCGATCACTTAATTCGCAAGAGCGGATTTAATGATTACATCACCGAGGAGCTCCGCCAAAGTCTCAGAATCGTCCGCTTCCAAAGCTCGAAAATAGTTGTGGATTATAAGGTATTTTCGTCGGTTGCACTTCAGAAGTATTCAGATTTTGTTTCAGGACTACGTTCAATATAAGCAACATCACGGCCAGCCCATTCCACACTGAATTCGTTTGATCTTTATAACATCTCCTTCATGTAAATTCCCACTTTGATCTGTATCATAATATGTACAATGATAATCTGTAATATCTGTAACAATAACTAATAAATAAAATAAATATTGTGTCACTAATTATTCAAACATTTTTATTACTTTTTCTTTGCTTCTAAGTGTTTCTAACCACTCTAACCCAACTTACCTCTGCACAATTGTACTGTTTCGGTTTTTTCTCCCTCTCCCACCCTTTTAGGATGGCTGACGCAGTTGAACCCGCAGCCGCTCCGGAAGCAGTTCCTGAAGCCCAAGCTGGTGGATTTTGGCAGCTAATGAAGCAAGCAGTTACGATATACTTTATGGTTTCGATGGTTTCGGTATGACAGTCAATGGATTCTCTTCTTTCACCAATACTAACCGACTCAGAATTTCTTGCGACCATCCACACCGGGCACAAGCACCAATGGAACATCCACCACAGCGGCAGGAAACAAGGCGACAAACTTGTTCCCAAACCATCAACTATTCGATTTATATGTTTATATGGATGAAAATGTTTGTATATTTTTTTAATGGGGAAAACAATATTTCTACTGAACATTTATTCAGGAATTCCCGTTCAAACAATTCGATTCGGCTCCTGAGAAACTCGTTTGGATGCGAAGCGCGATGAGATACGACGACTGGACGAGCGGTGAAAACAACGACGGAAGCTTCACCTCCACAGAACGTTCCCGACTCCTGAAGTTTTGCTCCGAAACGAATCGTTATACCTTCACACGTTTATTGTGAAAACCGGACAATCTCCAAATCCCAAGGACAGAAACTACTTCAAAAATCAAGTTAGTTAGGAATGGTATTCTGAACTTATCCATAAGGTTTAGGTGGTTTACAAAATGCACCAATTGAACAAGTTCAAAAAGAAGTACTACAAAAAGACAGCGAATTTGTTGACTGGCGAAAGTGAGCAAAGCGAAGAAGATCTGGCAAAGGCCCAAGTTATGAAATTTGAGGTAATTCATAATTATCACGGTTTATCAACTAGATAACTTTTCAATACAATTTCAGGTACTCAACCACTGGCACCCAAACATTTCGATCTCTCTTGTCGTTGATCAATCCCCATGGGCACGTGGGTCAATTCCATCACCTCTCAGCGAAGATATCGAATTTAATGAAGACGGGGACGTCTACAAACCGATAATATTCTATAACAACTGGTGGAATCTTGGGGCAGATTATCAGCCGATCAATGAAACTGTCAAGGAGCTCAATTTGACGATCACCTACTATCCGATGTCAATTTTCAAATATCAAATGTATGCAAGTCAAAAGATGCAGTCTCAATGGCAGACTATGCTTTCCATGGATATGGGAGATACAGATGGCGATGAGCATGACTCAATGAAACAAGCTCTCCTGGAAACAAATCCTATTCTATTGGCAGTCACGATGGTTGTTTCCCTTCTCCACACTGTCTTCGAATTCCTCGCTTTCAAAAACGATATTCAGTTCTGGAACAATCGAAAGGATCTCGTTGGATTATCTGTTCGTTCGGTTCTTTTCAACATCTTCCAGTCTCTTATTGTTTTCTTGTACATTTGCGACAACGAGACGAACACAATGGTGAAGTTTACCGTTGGCATTGGATTGCTCATTGAATGCTGGAAGATTCCAAAAGTCATGAACGTCTCTGTCGATTGGCAAAACAAGTGGTTCGGATTGATTCCACGTGTGGTGATTGCTGACAAAGGATCGTACGTTGAGAGTGAGACCAAGGTATACGATCAAATGGCATTCAAATATCTTGGTTGGGCTCTCTTCCCATTGCTCGTTGGATATGCCATATATTCTGTGATATATGTGGAACAGAAAGGATGGTATTCGTGGGTCCTCAATATGCTTTACGGATTCCTCCTCACTTTTGGATTTATCACTATGACACCGCAACTGTTCATCAACTACAAGCTCAAATCGGTGGCTCATTTGCCATGGCGTATGCTGACATACAAATTCATCAACACTTTCATTGATGACTTGTTCGCCTTTGTCATTCGGATGCCACTTCTCTACCGTATCGGATGCTTCCGTGATGATATCATTTTCCTGGTTAGTTGTTTCTGACTCTATACAATTCACATTATAAATTTCCAGATCTATCTATACCAGCGTTGGGCTTATCGTGTCGATCCCACCCGACTCAACGAATTTGGAACTAGTCTCGAAAAGGAAGCAGGTGCCGAACCAGCGGCAGTGGAAGGATCTCAAAATGTGCAAGAAACGGCTCCAGAAGAAGAGGATAAGAAGACAAAGTAGACTTCTTCATTTCAATTTGTATAACGGACCTCTCTTTCTTTTTGGTTCACTTGTTAGTTAATATTCTACTTCTTTGCTTTGTGCTTTCGGTTTAGTTTCTGCATGTGGCCCGTTGTTGTTAATATAAACCGGTTTGAAAATTTATTGAATGAAATCCAAGAAAATAAAACAAACAACGAGATGATTCAATTATTTCCATAGGTATTACCATGTGAAGAAGAAGGGAAAAGGCGCTGAATTGGGGAGTTGAAAGTGTTGATGGGAGGCTACGAGAAGGAGAAATTATTGGGATAAAAATGTGTTTTACAGGTTTGGATGGGGGAGGAAGTGGCAAAATCAGAGGCAATCATTAATTATTAGAACAATCTTTGATGAATGAAAAAAATGACGGGGATAAAGTTGAAAATTTCCATGAAACTTAGAAGATGTGATCATTCAGAATGACCGGGACTGGGTAGGGAGGTTTTAAAAGTGAGCTTTATCGAAATAAAAGAATCCTACAAAATGCATTGAATGCGATATTTTGCAGGCGAAATCAAGAATAAAGTTTCCCAGTTCCCTTTGTTCACATTTGGTAACTTCATGCATCAGATTTCGTCACCACAGGGTTCAAACTGCAGCGGTATTCTGTTTTTATTGAGAATATTCCATGGCAAAGTTTTAAGTGGAAAATAAACTAAAATTGCGGAAAATTTTAATTTTAACGACCTAATCACTTTCTCGATAGAGTGAAACAGAGTGCTACAGCTATTCGAACCCTGTGCGTCACCAAGTCGACCACAGAGAGAAATCATGAAATTTTCAGTGCATTTGATGCGAGAGCAGAAAAAATTATGATTCTGGAAACTAATATTTTTGATTTCAACTTTTTTTTCAGCAAAACTCACTGAATAATCACCTTATTGAAAATATGGGAAAGAAAATAGTTTTCTAGGAAAAAAGGGTACGGGCCGTGGGCGTTGGTTTTGGAACCGAACATTGTGTTTATACTCCCATTAGATGAGAGTTTGGCAAAAGTTTTTGGAAAACTGCCAGAAAAATGGGGGACGATTTGTTTTTAGAAAACCTCAGAAAAATGATAAAAAGAAGAGAGAAAAAAGGAAAATAGAATAGAAAGAGAGCTTTTGAAGAGGGAGAGAGAATCAAAATGACAGAAAAACCGACCAGCGGGAGTTAAAGATCACGTTTTGAGAAACTGAACGGGTGATTGGAAAAGACTAGAAGATGCATCAGGCATCTGGAATTTCATCCTTCATCTTTTCAATTAGTGCTGCCCATGCTTCGGGTGGAATCGCCTGAAAACCGAAAGACTAGAAACTTGGTTTCCTAATAAGACTAATACCTTGTCATCCTCCTTAAGAAAACTTGACGAACTGGATGGTTGCTCATCAAATTCTGATTCATTTGGAGGCGGAGAATTGCTCGGAGAACTGATCGGACTATGTAGATCGGCAGGATCGCATGGCCGTTTTCTACTTTTCGCATAGTTATATCCAGCATCCTTGACGATTTGTCTGGCCAATGGAAACAATTCATCCCTTCTTGTCAGTAGAGATGGTACCAAAAGACACAGTTGAGCAGCTGCTTCATTCACAGTTGTTTCGTGAAGAGTCAGCACTTTATGAGGTTTTCTTTTGGTATCAAATCGGCCATATATAGCTGAATATTTTCGAAAAAGATGAATCATTGATGGTGTAGCTGGAGTTGATTTCAGAAGTTCAAGTACATCTCTGAAAATAGGAAATTAGAATAATCATTTGTCTGAAAATGGCTCACTTTGATACGCGTTTCTTATTCTGTATCAACCGAGGTGGAAGTGGTGGAAGATTTTTAGATGCCGCTAGAGCACATTCTCCAAGACGAGCAATTTGGGCAGACGATAAAACGGGGCTTTCAGTTTGTGATGGATTGTCTGAAAATGTTTTTGAAAGGTTAGTTCAAATTCTATTAAAATTTACTTGGATCAAAGTCTCCCAAAGAAACGAAATCATTGCCATAAGCTGATGAAAAATCAGCAGAAGAGCCTAAAAAAGGAGAGGACGACCCCTCTTTTTCTTGGCTGGAGATGGGCGGTCGTCCGAAAGATGTAGATGGAAAGGTAGGTGTGTTTGACCCGGATCCAGATGGTGGTGCGACGACGTAGCGAGCAACGCTTGGTGAACTAAAATTGGGGCCAATGCTGTTTCCGGAAAATACGTTGGCGGTGGCTCTTGATGATGGCACGACGACTCCAGAAGAGAACTCAGGGTTGGATGAGCTTGTGGAACAGACGACTGGAGTGGGGTTGGAGGTGGTGGTGGGGATAACGGGACGGAATTGCTGTTGTTGATCAGTGGCCAAAGATTCGAGTAGAGAATTGGAGAACTTGAGCGCTGAAAAAAGATTTGTGATGAATTAATAAGGTTTTGAAATTGTTTTGAATTTGACCTATTGATTTTTAAAATGAGGAATCGATGATAACGGTGGGAAGTGTAACCCTGAAATAGAAAAGCGTCCTAACTTTTAACTTTGAGTCAGTTTGTCTTGATTCCAATGAGACATATAAAAAATTGTCAATTGATACAATTTTTGTCATATTATCAGAAACTTTTTGTCAGTAGACACTTTTGATATCTTGCATTAAAATTGAGATAATTGAGCTCAAACTTGACAGTGTGGGGCTCTTCTATTACAGGTTTCACGGCATATTTGAACCTAGGTAAAGGAGAAATACGATTCAGAAAATTTTAGATCAGGCCGAGTGCTAGCTGCAAATGAAGTAATATTCGGAAAAGGTTTTAATCTGAAGACCGAAGAGCCCCACACTGTCAAGTTTGAGCTCAATTGAACATTTTATGAACATTTTATCAGTTGACAACTTTTTTATACCTCTTATTAGAATCGAGAAAAACTGGGTCAAAGTTAAAAGTTAGGGGACCCTGCTATTCCAGGTTTTACGTTAGATAAAAGTATTCTGTGCCAAATTTCGTTCTTTGAAATTTTCAGATTGAGTTGCATTAGTAAAACTTAAAGGAACATTCAACATTACAAAAATTAAAAATTCAGCTGGTTAATCTAAAAGTGATAAATGATAAAAAAGTTTTGTGAACGAACAACCAAAAAGTGCAGTCTACCATACATGCGTGCTACCATATGCCCGGTGACGAAGACTAACCCAACGGTACCGAATTTGACGACGTATTCAGATTGAGAGACGGTGACGATGATGATGTTTCAGCCGCTTCAGAAGACGTCGTTCCTTTTTCAGCGGCCGCTGATGACAGCTGACTTAGAAATCGAAGACTCGGAAAATTTGGAGACGTGGCAGCTGCGATTCCAGGTAGGAGAAGGGCTATCGGATCAGTTCCAGGTGGTGTATAATTCAGTGGAGGTGGTGGACCGATTTGTTGGAAAGCAGCAAGATTGAAAGCCGTCTGATCTTGACTGTATTCGGTTAGAGCTCTCTGCATTCGACGGACATGAAGAGGCTTCGAAAGCATCCCAACAAGATTCATAATCTCAAGGAATTCTCGTTCCTCACACGCCATTATCTGATTTATATCGTCTCCACCTAGAAATATGAAAAAATGGATTCTGAAGGATAATATTGGTGCTTACCTTGTGCTATGAAAATGTCATAGTACTGAACTAAATTCGCTTTACTCAAAACTGCCAAAAGTTGCCATTCGGATAGTGTCGTTGGTGTAGGCATCGGTTTGGGAGATCTAAAAACGTTCAGGTGACATTTGGTAAGAAGAATACAATTTTTTATCAATCAACGAAATTGTTAATCGATAAAAACAAAAGGATCACTTACGCTGGTCTATCTGCATTTGAATTCGAGGAAGAAGGTTGTCGTAAAGATGATAATGATGTTGTGGGTAATGAAGAAATCGCCGATGAAGATGCTTTCAAAGATGATAAAGGGGAAGATGAAGATGAAGATGGGTTAAGGATGGACTCCAAATGTTGATCTGGAAAAATCAAGATCCTCCAGAAGCACTGAAACATCGACTCACTTGCTGGTTTAGATGTTGTTGCCAATGACGACGTCGTCGTTGACACAGATGACGTTGACAACGACGACGACGACGGCATGGTGCCTTCTGAAGGCACACAAGTTGAGGTACGCTCCCAATCCAGACTGATGGATGAGTAGCGGCTATCGGATAGCCTCAGTATCCTGAAATTATGGGTTAAGTATGATGTGGATTAGAAAAATAAGAGCAATGGAATAGAAGATTTCAGATCATGTCAGGAAGAAGTTAGATGTGTTAGAAAAGTTGAAAAATTGAACATTGATCCGGTACAGAGCTAGATGTAATAGTGTTAATGCTGTTTTGAATGAAATTAGAATTATCCACTACAGTAGTCTTTGATATTCATTCAGGAATTCTCCAGCAGAGATGTCCGAATTTCGTATTTCAGATTCCGGATTCCGTTTCTCACAAAGTCATTCTGGACATCTCTGGGTTCCAGCGAGGGCTCAGCTGTATGATTTTTAAAAAATGCCATGGAAAATACAGTAACCCAAAATGTTTCCTGAATAGTTCAAAACAAGACAATTCTTGAAGTGGGACAGCCGAACAGATTTACACATGCCTGCTTCTTGTCGATTCTTTCGTTTTCTGGCCCCCGATCCTCATTGAAAAAACCAAAAAACCCCGCAGAGTGTGGTGGTGCGCCTTCTTTCTTTCTTTCCCCTTCTACATTTGTCCGCGCCTATCCATAGCAGAGAAATAGTGCACAACGCGAGGATAGTGCATGACATCCTAACTATAGGTCAAAAAAACTCAGCGGCGCCCGGACGAAACGATCGACAGAAGAAAAACCGGAGGCTAAATAGTAGATGAACCGTTGAGAGACAGACACAGCGATGCTACAGAAAAAAGTGTTCACTGGGCTTCTTCTTCATTTTCTTCTTCGTTTTCTGTCGGGAGACGAACCGGGAGGTGTGGAAGAAAAAAGGAGACAGTATGGAAGATCAGGAGATTCAGACAGGAAAAGAATCGCAAAAAACCAAAGAAGCGTCGATTCGATTATTATTTGAAATGTTCGGTTTACTATGCGAACGATTTCGGGGGGAGGAGAAAAAGGATGGACAAAAAGTGGAAAAGAGTGACTGTGTGTATACAGACAGACGGTGAAACGGGTTGAGGCAGAGGACGAACGAAGAAAAAAAAATAATGGAAATGCGGTATTGAAAACGAACAGTTGACCTCTATTGACTTGCTGTTTTTTTTAAATATCTGGGTGGATCGGAAATGAGAAGGTTTATGATTTTTGTAGGGAATGGCTTACGATTAGTGGGCTTTCAAGGTCTAGATTACGGTAGTTTCTTCTGCTAGGGGAGTATCATGCTGCATTTTTGAAACGAAAATTCAGAAGAAAAAGTTCAATATTCTAGTCGAAAAGTTTCGGAATGATTTGAATTTCAAGTGCCGTAAATAAGACCTGTAATATAAGGGCACTCTAAGTTTGAATTTTTCTCGGTTACTGTAAAAGATATCAAAAAGTGATCAACTGGTGAAATATATTTGATATTATGATAAAAATTTGTCAGCATACCACTTTTTGATATCTTTTACAGAAAATGAAATATATTCTCATTAGGGGTTGTCTAGAAAACCCCTACAAATATTACTAATACTACTTGACTACACATCCTACAATAAAAAATTCTAGCTTGATACGGAGCGTTGATGGCTCACTTTGAAAATTTTGTAGTCATTCTAAAATTTAATTTCACTTTAAGTACGGTAAACACTCTCTCATAGAACGCCGCCCTTAACGTTCAACTTTGAGCCCCGATATCTCGCTTCCTGAGAGTGATATCAAAAATAATCAACTGACATAATATGTTTGTTAAGATGATAAACAATCTGTCAGTTGGCCACTTTCTGATATCTTTCACAGAAAGCGAGATATATGGGCTCAAAGTTAGCAGTCTGGGTAGCGTTCTATTAGAACGCTAACGATATTTTATTGCTAGAACAGCATTTTTTCCAGGAATACGAAAGTGAAATGAATTATGAAAAAGTTGAAAGTTTTTCAAGCGGCTAGGATATGTTAAACTCAGAAGCAGTAGGCCGAGGAACACCAAAATCGGGTACCTACTGATGAAAAGGGATTATGAACAAGACGAAATGGGTGTATTCCGTTCTCCCCAGCTGTTCTTCATCCCATTTCGTACCATCTGGTTGTTCCTTCTTCTCTCTTCTTGACCTTTTTCGTTCTTCATCACCTCATTCTCCCACTTTTTTCAGTGGAAATTTCATTTCGTTCCACATCCCCCCAAAAAAAACTTCCCGAAAACGTCCTTTAAGGAGAATCGCGGAGTGCGCGTTTCCAAAAAAAAAGTTTCATGAAATCATCTGCACACGTTCCATATGGGCTGGCTGGATAGTATGGGAAGGTTTGAGAAGCGCAGAAGACTGTAAAAAATGGGGAAAGATGATGAAGGAAGATGGAAGGTCGAACAATGCGTCTGACGGATTGCCCGAGAGGAAAATAGGTTCGAGTAAACTAGAAAAAAGAAATGGAGGAACATAAAAAACACCGAGGTTAGGGGTCATTGGTTTCGAAAGAAAGTTCGAAAAAAAAAGAAGAGAAGGTGATGAAATATGTAACATAGAGGTACCGTAGTCTGAAAAAGCATTTGAACAATTTTCGGGATTCAGAATACTGTAAAATCTGTAATAGAAGGGCCATACTGTCAAGTTTGAGCTCAATTATCTGAACTCCTATTAGAGATATCGGAAATGCGTCAACTGATGAAATGTTCCTGATATTATGATTAATATTTTATCAGTTGACAACATTTTGTTATCTTTGACAAGAATCGAGAAAAATTGGCTCAAAGTTAAAAGTTTGAGGGCTCTTCTATTTCAGGTTTTACGGTAGATAAAATGAAAGGAGCTGAAGAGGCGGAGCTTGATACAAGTTCCATAAAATGAAAATGGGATTTAGCTTATCCGGAGTCTGGAAAACTTGAAATTAGTGATCTCAATAAGCTGAGGTCTTCAAAATACATAGATCCACGAGACTAATTGAATTATAGGTCCAAACTTTTTTTGGATCTGAAATTCTGAGAATACGGTAACTGAGATCAAGAATTGATCTCATAGATTATTAAAAAGTTCGAAATTCCTAAGGATTCTGCAGATCTAAACCTAAGCATCCGAGACACCTTCTCGACCACCCATATAAGTCCAACTGTAGGTCTAGGGAAAAAACGGTCCAGAATAACTTACCTGATACAATTCTAACTCCGCAGACGCCAAGGCTTGTGTGACGTGGCAAACCGAAACCATTCACGTCTACACATCCGTTTCTCCGAATATCATTCACGTCTGAGACGAGGCGTCCGGTAAAAAAAGAAGGCCAATCGGTCAGGGGGGTGGGGTGACTGAGGAGTCCGAGGCCGGGATCTATAAGAAAAAAGTGGTTGGATAGAAAAAGAGATAAGTGATAAAAATATGGAATAGTAGGTAACAAAGAGAAAGAAGGATGATGCTAAACATCGGTCAGTTCGGGAACACACACAAAAAAAAACGTTTCTGGGTAGCCATACATCGGAGGGCACAGAGAAGGAAGAGGGAGCCAGAATAGTGCAAACCCACTCGCTGGCGTCCATTTTGACACTGCGTTCTCAGCCCTGCACACACTATTTTTTCCCATTTGATATCAGCAGTGGCGCGGCGTCTGTGACCGGTACCGGGCGCGGACACCAGGACAGGAGGGCAGCAAAAAAGTGACCCCCAGACGGAGAGAACGAGAAAAAAACGGCTGGCACTGCCTGGGGACGCGGCGGCCATTTACTGCACAAAAAGTGCTTGTACCCTCTCTGCTTTGCTTGCTCTTTTTTCTTTTTTTTTCTGTGGGTGTGTTGCAGTCGGGGGAGAAGAAGAAGAAAAAAAGAGGAATGAATGTCTTGAGGGTGAGGACGGTGCTCTGGGGAGAACAAGGGCAGTACCAGGCATGGTGCCGACCCCCAGAGAGCAATGGCAATCCGCCACGGATTCCTCGCGGAGAGCATGATGATATGATCAGAAGTCAAGAATAGTAGGAAGTGGGGACTGATATGAAACAGAAGAAGGGAAATTATGTAGCTTTTCAGGTATCAAAGGGAATTGAGCTCTGCGAGAAGAACCAAAAGAAGTGTGTATCTCTGAATGAGTATAGAGTACTGGATGTTATAAAAATACGAGGAACTTTTACAAAGCAAAACACACTACAGTGGAAGGTTGTAAATTGGGGTTAGAGCATTGGGACGAGTCTCAGGATCTCAAAAAATCAGAATCTCAGAAAATAAGAATTTTAGAATCTAAGAAATTCAGGAACTCTGAATATCCGAATTTTAGAATTCCAGAATTCCAGAATTTCAGAATTTCCAAAATTAAGAATCTCAGAATCTCAGAATCTCAGATTCTCAAAAACCCCGTTTCTCAAAATAGAATTACAGAATTTCAGAATTTCCGAATTTCAGAATCTAAACAAAAATATTAGAATCTCAGAATCTCACAACTTCAGAATTTAAGAATTTCAGAATATCAGAGCAGAAAAAGAATAAGATATACAAATAATTATAAATTTCATTGAAAATATGAAAATCAAAATCAGTTCACAGTTCCACTTTCATTTGATTTTTGTTGTTGGTGTTTTATTCTTCTCCGTCTTTGTCTTCTCTTTTTGAATCTTCCCTCCTCGTTTTTTAAAGACCATTTTACTGAAGTTCGAGCCTTAAAATTATATTTTCAGTGCACTTACTGATAAATAGAACGGCAAGAGGTTTTCAACTGAATGAAGCAAGAGAATATAATAGCAAGCATCAAAAACACGAATGGTAGAAAGAAAGGCAAAGAAGGTAAAGAGGAAGAAGGCAATCTGAAAAATTGATATTCTGTAAAGTATGTAATAGAAGGACCTACAATTTTGACAGTGTGGATGTCCTTTTATTGCAGGTTTTACGGTTGTTTCAGAGAAAATTTGTTATAGGATTTTCAAAAATCACTCACCCTGACAAAGTTTTGCTACCATGTTCCTCTCTATACATACTTCCAGCTGCTCTTATCCCTTCAATTGCTCCTTCGACGTTTTCAAAAAACAGTGATCAATCGCCATCCCATTCAGAATTCACACTGATCTTTCTGAATCTCGCAGCTTTAACAAACGGATGAGCCATTTGAGATACTTGTTCTTTTAGTGAAACTAGAGTTACTGCTTCTTCGACTGACTCAATCATCTCATCAATTTCCCTTTCATCCGATTCCATCTTGCTTATTTCCCTAATGACCGCCAACCCATTATTCAGTTGCCATTATGTTTTCAAAGGTGTCTCCAGAAACCATTCTTGATGCTCATTCCGATATTCTAGACAATACTCCCGTAGAGAATGGATGTCATTGATCATTTCATCAATGTGGTCCTATGTTTTTTGAAGCATTTGTTTCATTTCTTTTATTTTTGATCTGTTGAACTTTGAAATGAACTCCGTAAGCTTCTGGATTGGTTTCAGATCTACATTGTTGACTTCATTCAAGTTCGTGATACTTGTCTGAACGAATTTTTTTAAATTTTCGTATTCTGCCTTCAAATCATCTAGCTTGAGTGACTTTGAACTTTCTTCTAAACTTTTCAAATTAGTTGATAACGATTGGAGGATACCCAACAATTTTAATTTCTCCAATTGTTTCTTGAATTCTTGAGATTGATCTACATTTGTGATATCCAAATCACTCAACGATTTATTGAAACTTATCAATTTCTCTTGTACATTATCGATTTCGAAAACCACATTTTTTCGTAAAGTTGTAATATTATTCATGGTGTTTTGTAACTTTGAAATCGCCTTGATTAGACTTTCTGGAGCTTCTGGAGTCTTCCAGTTTTTCACAACATGTTTATTAATTTTCGACCCAATTCCACTTCGTTCTTGATATTTCTTATCTTTGCAGAATCTGAAAAACTCAACAAGATCTGGTAAATTTGCATTTACTGAGCTTCTCGCTGCTTCTGTTTTCTGGGATGAGTTGAATATCATCATTTGCATATTTTCCATTGCTCCCGTTTCAAAGAAAATTTATTGATCGGAGTGATGGAGAAATCCATTTATAAGGCTGATTTCAGTTCGCTTCGATTGATGCAGGTGTTTCAAAAATTGTCGAACGATTTCATAGTAAGCAGTATTCAATTCAAAATCACCGTTTTCAAAAGCCAGTCGTTTATAGGATTATGTGTTCTCCAATTCGAGTTCAAGTGTTCCACAATTCCGTAGAAAAAATCCTTTCCTCCAACTTTTTCAATGACACCTGTGACTTTCTGAGCCGAATATAACAGTCTTCTGAAGTCGTAGGAAATGTGATTACTTAAGTTTCCAGTCTGGAGAGTTTGCCATTCTGCTATTTCACTTGAGAGTTCTTGAACTGCAGTTTGTAACTGTGATGATTGACATAGTTTTCAAGGAATGTTTCAAACGCTTTCAGCAGCTTATAAGCTTGCGTTGATCCGATTGGAAAGCTTGTCAGTTCATGATTCTTCACTAACTCAGTGTACGTCTGATTCCATTCATCCAATTGATTGCCTATTTGTTTCTGAGAATCGGGATGCTGAGATTCTTTTAACGTTTCAATTTCAATGTGAAAATTGTAATCTTCTATTATCAGATCTTTCGTAGCTTCTAACAGTTTATCGATTTGCTCATTCAGCGAACTTGCATTGACTTGAACGAAACTTTCCAGATCGAATTCATCGGGCATCCATGACACTTTTTACGATCGCGGACCCATTAATTTGGTTCTCATTAAGCAGGGTATTCAATGCAATGAAGTTCACATGGAGTGCCCAATTGTCAGGTTTGAAATGAAAATTTCTATGGAGGCTTCAATAGACATTCCTGAAGTTGTTGAAATCATGAGAAAATTATTAGAAAACAATTTTCCCACCAGAATCAACGGATCTTCCAGAACGTACTTCATGGATCAATTTGGCATAGTTGAAATCTGAAATTGATAACTGCAGCATTGCCTGACTTCAACAATTCAACAAACCTTTGCCAAAAACGAAAAGGAAGACAAAAATAAAATATGCGATAAAATTCATAATTACTCAACGATCATAAATGTTAGTATAATTGAGAGAAATCCAAAATAAAGTTAGTTTGACTGTTTCAGATCACGGAGAAACGTTTTTTTGGAGTATGGTTACCATTAATAAAGTTTCGGTTAGTTTTACAGGTTTCAGAAACCAAGTCGACAAGTTGAAGGGGGACTCAGATCAAAATTTTGAACTTTTTTGCAATAAAATGTTCCCAAAGTTATGTATTTTCATAATATTACAACGAAAAATTTCGGAAAAACTAGAAATATCTGCAATCTTGTCGAAGTTGTTTTCATGCAATTTGAAGCCATTTGTGATGTCAACGAGACTTTTTGGTTCTCTTCATCGAATTTTATAATAAATTAAATAATTCATTTTTTTCTGAAAATACAGAAGAAACGGCCGAAAACATCATCAAAGTCTGAAAAAAAATGCATGAAAAAACAGTGGCCTTGGACGAGGATTTCCGCGACCCTATAGGACGAGAAGAACTTTTGACGGCGTTTTCAGGAATTCTGATTTTTCTGAACCTTTTTCAAGTAATATTATGAAAGTACATGATTTCGGGAACAATTCATCAAAACCGAAAAAAAAACTTACCGGATTCCCCCTTTGAAAACAGTCAGATTTATCTTTCATTCGATTCAAAGTATCAGACACAGTTGCTATTGATTCTGGAATTCTTGGTTGGTGAGATAGGAAACATCTTGAAGGACTCAGTAAACATTCAACACTTCACAAAAACTATACAACAAAACTGTTCCATGTATACTGAATCTCTGTTCACACATTAAAAAACTAACAATTATTGAATTCATACCTCTGAAAATAGCTCATTTCTCGGAAAATCTTGACCACATGATTTCAATTTCCTTCTAGAACTTTCATAGTTCTAATCTCTTTCATTTTCCCAGCCAAATAAAGCAACAAAAAATCCCATAAAATGCTCTTTGGTAAGTACCAATAAACTGTTCATTTCACCACCAAAATACGAGCCGCGCCCATTTATCCATTTCCATTCTCTCCCTCTCTCCTTTTTTCACCACTATATAATTAGAATGTCCGGGATTCATTCTCATTTTTATTCTTCCCTTTTCACTTTCTTCTTTTTGCTCCAAGCTATTCATAAATGGATTTTTGATCATTTCGGAAAGTCGAATCAATCAGATGTTCCAATTTGGAAAAAAAACAGAGGAGTAGGAGGAAACCGCACCCATCCATTTATATTTTCTTTTTTCACCTTTTTTCTTTCCCATTTAAGTGATTAGAGAGACAGAAAAAGAGACACAATACCGATGAGAAAAGAAATACACAAATTGTCATCCGACCGGTCTTCTGGAAGTAGTGTGTGAGACGAAGAGACGCAGAGAAATATGGCCTTCGAAACGTCTTCTAAGTCGAAAAGATAGGAAAATGGGCAAGAATGATGTTGGAATTTGAATGAAGACATACTCTCCTTTCGGTTATTTTTTTAGGATTTTAAATTTCTTAGTCAGAATGCAGAATTCCGGAATCTGCTGTTTTCAGAAGGTACCCTGAGATTACTGTATGAAGTGATCTTGTACTTTAGAGTATGTATACACCATCACGTCAAAATGAATAAGTTTCCGGAAACTTCTAAAAAATTGGATTCGTATCTTCTAAAAAGTTAAGAGGGCAATAGTAACATGACACCCATTTTCTACTTGTCGTTTCCTTCCAAAATGGCACCCTCTCCCAATTTCTAATTTCTCTTATTTTTTTTTCGAATGTTTGTCTATTTTCTCTTTTTTCACCGCAATGTGCTGGCTTTTTCTTTGCTTTTTGCTCAATTGCGCGGGCGGGTCATCTCTCAAAACTTACTCTAAAAACTCTTACTCAAAGAAACCCATCTCTTCGGTCTCAATGATCGTTTATCGTAAACTATACTTTGAGGAGCATGTGAAGATGACAGAAAAACCAGCGATTGATATGCTATTCGATGAAGTTTCTCAGGTTTTTTGGATTATTCTCATCTGCTATCTGTTTGCTTCATGTCTTTGGATTATATATTGCTGTTACATACATAAAGTGTGAGTTAAAATTTTTCGGGAACTACCGTAAACACTCTAGGTGACCCTACACTAGCACGTTGAGCCTGGAATATTTGCATCAGAAAAATTTACACAGTATCTATCACTTTGAAAAATTGAAAAAATCTAAAACCAATTTTTTGAATACCGTAAAACTCTTATAGAAACCCAATCTCTAAACCGCAAACTTTGAGCCTATGTATCTCGGTTCCTGTGAAAGATATCGAAAAATGGCTAACTGATAAAATGTTTATCATATTATCACAAATGCTTTGTCAGTTAACTAACTCTCCCTTCAAAACCTACGTACAAAAAGTTTGGAGCCATAAACGTGAACCGGAAACGAGAAACCGGAAAAATTCCAAAAATCACGTTTTGGCCGATCCACAAAATGATGCTTCCACTCTGAAAACGTGAGATTTTGAAGGTTTTTGAGCTCTGTGGCCACCTTTTGAAGACCTGAATTTTAAGAATTTTAAGATTCTGACCCCCATACACTGAGACTCTCATACAGAGTTACTGGATTCCGTATTCCCCATGTCGGATTTCCGGATTTCCGAAATCCGGAATCTGAAATTCCGGATCCCGGTTTTTAGATTTTGGATTATGTGTACTGAATTGTGTGTACTTAATTTTGGAATATGCACTCCGGATTCTGCATTCCGGAATCCGAATTTCCGATTCCGGTTTTCCGGATCAGCTTTTTGAATGAATTCAAGTGTTCAGAGAATCTGATTTTCAAGTTCTCTTGACGAGTAAGAATTTCAGGAAGTTTCCAGTAGGCTACGAGAGTCTCTGAGATTCTGAGGGATTCTGAAATAACTTGGGATTTTGAAAGATTCTCTAGGATTCTGAGAGACTGTCCCGGACTCCGATCTGACTACCACGAACTCCGGAAAGATCATCGTTCATGAAGACGAATCACCGATTCCTGCTTCTTCTCCAGAAAGTCAAAATTCTGCGACGAAGAGAGTCTGTTCATCTTCTTGAAAACGAAGTTCTGTTTGATCGGACTTTCCGAAAAAGTTGCCGCTCATATCATCACGTTTTCTCCTTTGAAATCTCTTTTGGACAATCTTAAATTTTGTTTATGAAATAAAATTCATGTTAGTCAGATCGGAAGCCGGGACAGTCTCTCAGAATCCTAGAGAATCTTTCAAAATCCCAAGTTATTTCAGAATCCCTCAGAATCTCAGAAACTCTCGTAGCCTTCTGGAAACTTCCTGAAATTCTTACTCGTCAAGAGAACTTGAAAATCAGATTTGAAAAAAATGTTTCCAGAGAACTCAACCTCGTCGAGAAAAAAATCGAAGAAAATGCAATGGCACGATCACGAGAACTACTGTAAGTCTTCTTGTTGTTCTTCCTCTTTTTGTTTATATTTTTGTTTTTTTTCTTCCTCCTTCTTTCCCTTTTTTCTGATTTCTGTCTCTTCTTCTTAATTCCCAATGTGACCCATCAACACAACACATAAACATAAGTTCTTGGGACAAATATGACCTATGACCACATTTTGTCAGAAAAGCGATTACCAGGGAACGCCCATTAAAACTTTTTTTTGACAGTGAAATTCTGTTTTATCTACATAGTCCGAATGTTATGATCCGATTATATTTGACATAGAAGATAACATTGATAAAAAATTCTGTACCATTCCAATGACTCTGTTGTGTTCCCAAACTCTCGTCTTATAAAATTCCCTATTTTCAGGAGACTTCTCAACGCTTACAACAAAATAACGAAATCAGAAGAGGATCCTTCAGATCATCCACCTTCTCAATCCATCATTATCCCAGAACAAGTCTGACCGACTTTTTGCTGCTTCATCCATTTCTTCCTTTTTTCTCTCCAAATCGTGTTTCCACTTGACCATCTGACCTCATTCACCCGCCCTTTCGATTTTCTTCGTTTTCTCCTCATTCCATCGTCATTTTTCATCTGCATTCCTCCGGAACATTCATTCCCAAACACCATGCGTCCTCTGATTCTTCTTCTGGCTCTTTTCATGATTGTTGCCGCTTTCGACAAGTTTTCGATGAGCAAGGACAAGGGAGTCAGGGCTAATTTGAAAGTGAGTCGTTGAAAATAAATTACATTTTGATCTGAAATTTGTGTTTACAGCATCCGATCTCCAGAAGAGTTCTCCGATACGAGCGCTCTGTCGCCTATGAAGACTTTCCAACACCAGGAGAGATGGCTCCAAAATATGTGCCAATTATGGATTTTGCAAAAGTCAGACCGTAAGTTTTGGTCATCATTTTTTTTAAACTAAAATAGGTTTTTGAAATAGAATACGACATACAGCATTATAAGATACACAAAAACGCATTTTTTCAGTAAATGTTCGAAAATTTTGACAAGGCTCACTTGGGTTCAAGCCAATGGGTCAGAAATCGCGCCCCAGTAAACGTGAGATTTTAGAAAAAAAATCGCTACTGAATTATGTGGCTGAGGATCAAACTTTCAAACGTTGGACGAAAAAATAACGCGTTGCAACTCGTTGATTGAAACTAATTAGGTCAAATCCACGTCAACTTTGAAATTATTAAATTTCTTCTGGCCTAAAAGTTATTTGGGGCGCATTTTTCGACCCGTTGGCTTGAACCCAAGTGAAGGCTATCAAGTTTCCGATTACATTGAAAATTTTGGAGGATGTTAAACAGACCTAGATTGTGAGCTTTGCATTCACATAATTTTTCGAAAGTATCCAGTCTCTCAGACATTTGCCGATTTTTGATGAACAGCCCTTTTTGGCCCGTTGAACTGAAACGTGAAAAAAACAAGCGTCTTTCAGAAATCGGCCAATTGCTGGAAAACTAGGGATTTTCACAAAATACTGTGAATACAAAGTTTTCAATCTAATAGTAAGTCTGTTATATACCCTCGAAAACTTTCAAACTTAATTAATTTATTTTTTGATAAATAAGTGTAATAGTAATGAGAAATGGGACAATTCAGCCGAATTGTATATCTCGCAATACTTTTGACGATATAAAATTTCAGAGAAATTCCATCAAAAACAAAGCACAATTCTGAATTCGCCGACGCCGAGTACCAACCAGATCTCGATTTTTAATCGTTGACACGTTCCTTCTTTCCCTACTGATTTCTCTGTTATGTTTCAGTTGTTTTTTCCGGGTTTTTCTCTCTTCCCCCAGTACTATTTTTTAACCCTCCCCAACTCAATTTCCGTGTTTTCCAGATACTTACTACCCGTTGTGAGATCAACACATTGTACATATTCATATCGGGTAACATGATAATAATAAAAATAATAATTTCCATATATTGTCTGCACGAGAACAGAGCACCGCGGGTATATAAAGTTGCAGTGTTTTTGTCTGAAATTCAGAAAAATACTGATTCAGCTATATTCAAGCTGAATCATTCTCCAACTAGAATCGAGTCGAAAAATGGCAATGATGTTCCCAATTGTGAGTTTAAAAGGGAGAGAATAAGAGAAGATAGAATACAGAGAACAGTTTGATACTACGAATAGTTTCTGTTTTACGGAAGAAAGAAAATTTGAATAGGATTTAGTAGTCGAGTATTGACCGATTCTTTTGACGTCATCAGAAATTTATGACGTGGAGATGAGATCTAAAAAGGACCAAAGCTGGTAAATCTGAATTCCGGAAAATTTTCTCAGGCCACCTTTAATAGAAAGGCTTTTCAATAATAAGGCTCTTCAATTTCCGTTTTTTCTTGTCTAAACACTCTTTTTTGCTTAAAAACTTGCTCAATTTTGGTGCAATTGTTAGGTTTTCATCAATTTTGAGCAAGAATACATTGAATTTTTTGATAAAATTTTAGGAAAAAAGCTCAGAAACGTAGAAAGGTCCCCTTTAATTGAAGTGCCCTTCGGAGGTACCTGGAAACAAGTAGAAGGACCTGTCCTTCTAATACTGGTTTTACGGTAAATTTTGTGCTTTACACCACATGGAGGAGCACCCCTCAAAAAATTGAAACTCTGAAATCCTCATTCCTGAATTCTCTAATCATACTTTTTCTTTTAAATGTGGTTGTTTTGAAATATATGGTTTTAATTTGAGCATCTACAATTTAAGAAGGATCTCTCGAAAATTACATGGAGATTTTCCGAGTTTTCAAATTCGAAATTTTTGTTTTGAGAAATCGGTAATGTTATTTCAGATTTTCAATCATTTTCATTCCGCAGTGACCGATCATAGAAGTTAATCCTGAGATTACTAGATTAAATAAAACTCACATATGATCTAAAAGTCCAATGAGTATTAACAAAAACCCATTCACTATAACCCATAAACCATTTCTATTTTGAATTTTCAATGATTACAATACGTGCAGAATAAGAATATATCTGAAAAAGGCAAGTCTGAAAAATGTACGAAGAGGTTTAAGTTTTCTGAAAACTTTCTGGTCCAATCAGAGGTTGGTGGGAACCTGTAGAATGGTTTTTCGATCGCATTTCCTTCAAGCAGAAACCCATAAATTCAAAGTACGCACATCATTTTCCAATTACTTTTCATTGACTTTAAATTCATAGAACTATCCGATCAAAGTTTGTATGATATCATCCTCACGTCTTCTTCAGTTTTCCATGTTCTCCGTCTTCTCTGGTAACTTCTTCCTAGAATTTCGAAACTATTGGTAATTACGCGTCTAGTTAGTCAACTTGGAACGGATCTTCTTTCCAGTTTTTAACGATAAAGTATCACATTTTCTGATTTGTTTCTTTTCAGAGAATGCTTTTGTTTGTTGTTTATTGTTCTTCAAAAAAATTGTAATTTCGATTATCAAACATCACTCGGTCGGTCAGTCATTTGGCCCTTATTTGGATTATGCTTATCCCCCCACATGACAAATTCAGTTTAGTTTTGATTTTACTAAAGCCGAACAAACTTTACACAGTTTTTTTGTTCCGGCAAATGCAATAATATCGAGAGTAGACTTACTATTTCTGTAACTGATCAATCTCCAACTTGTTTGACAAAACGACGTCACTCACATGACTCAATATCTTGAAGACGATCAATTTTTACATATAAACATACGAAAACTTTCTGATTTTTGAAAAATACGAGAATCGCAACAAAAAAACCATGATGATTACCATGGCCAACTACCATCTAATGGTTCCAAATTCGTCAAGAAATGCTCAAATTCCAAATGACACTCAACGACCGGTATGACTTTTTAAAAGTTTTCTTCTTTGTACTGTTGATTATACTATACACTCTGTATGAGATCTTCTTCTATTTGTATGCAAATTAGATGGGATTCTGTGTCTTGTTGGCAGAATTCATGGCCAGTGATCTTCTTCGTTTTGAATTGATTCTTGAAGATTCATCCATTGAGTGCAAACATGAGCGCATAGGCAAAATTAACGCATACCTGAAAAGTCCAGTTTTCGATAGGTACCTCAAAATTTGTTTTGCCATCCCGAGTGACTGGAAACGTCACTCAATCAGACTAAAAGGGTCTAAAGATTTTTTTGAAATCCTTCTTATGCTATTTTTTTTGGCAATGAAATAGTGTATATAGGTTTTCGTAAGCGAAAACAAAACAATGTTGTTGACAATGAACTTTTGGAAACTAGAATCACAGAAATTCCAGTTGGTCAGTTGTGAAAATTGAGAATTTAGTAAATCAGTTGAAAGGGAATTCGTGCAAGAAATTATTTGTATTTTTTGGATTAAAATTCTTTCAAAGTTATGTATTTTATCATATTTCTCTGAACTATTTCAGGAAAAATTCGAAATCCCTGAAAAACGCAGTCGAAAGTGCAAGCACTCTCAGATAGGGTCCGAGTTGCTTTCATGCAATTTTTCAGCAATTTGTGAAGTCAACGAGACTTTTTTGTTTCCTTCATCGAGTTTTCTATAAACCTTTTTATACAAATACAGAAAAGTCCGATTGTAAAAACATGGCACACAATGGACTAGGATTCCCATGACCCTCTTGGACGATAAATTTGACTGTGTTTTCAGGGATTTCGAAATTTTTTCAGAGTAAAACTATGAGAACACATAACTTTGAGAACATTTTAAAACGAAAAATTACGAAAAAATTGCTGGTCCATAACCCTGCTCGTTCCAAACTCTACGAAATTGAGAAAACCGCACAAGGATCTCAAATCGTGATCCTTGAAGAATTTCAACTTTTGAAAACTTTTACCAGTCTAGTCTTTATTTGTCTCCGATTCTTTTGAACTCTCTACAAACTATTGAAATAGTTCAAATCCATATAATATTGACAGAGCGTTTCCATAAACTGTTTCTTCTTCTATTTTTGTCCAATTTTTCCTACTTCTTCTTTTCCTCCAGTCTTCTTTTTTTCTTCTTTTACTTCTTTTTCATTTTTAACACGTTCCGGTCACACGTACACTCTAATAATCGGATCCACACCCGGTTATGTAAACTGCGTTTTGTTCAGGAGAGTGTCAAACTCTAATATATTCAAAAACCGGGGTGTTTCCCCATGTTTTTGTGCGTTATTTTGTCAAATCGAATCACGTGTCGATGTCATAATTCCGGAGAATCGTATAAAAAGAAAAGTGGGAGGGATCCATAATGGGGGAATCCCATAGTTTTGAATATTCTGAATTTAAAGTCTTTAGTCTCGACCTTTTCGAATTAGATAAATATAGAAAGTACATTTCTGATTGACAATGAATCAAAGAAAAAAGACCGCCCACTCTTTACGAAGTTCGAACGGAACTCATTTCAAATTCATAGACTCGGGTTTTGGTCTCAATTTTTTTTGAAGTGTCAGAAAGACACCTTATTTGTCCGCTGAACCGAAACAATATTCTTCAGTTTTGACTGATTTTCTTGTTCTCCTTTAAAATTTTTGAAATTTCAAAAATTTCAGATGTATGGAAGCGAGCCGCACCCAAGCCTATTTGCAAATATGACCAACAGGAAGGTTGGTGGAACTTTAAATTTGAAAAAAAATCCCGTCTGAAACTATCGTAAAACCCGTAATAGAAGGGTCTCCAGACTTTCAAGCTTGAGCTTACATAATCTCAAATTAGAAAATTCAAGGATTCGAAAATTTTGGATTTCAGAAAAGTCGGAGAATCTGAAGAATTCCAATTGCGAAAATATTCAGAAGTTCACGACATTCAGAATTTCAGAAATTCACAAACTACTAAAAATTCAAAACATGGCAAAATTTCAGAAATTCTAGAAATCCAAAGAAAAATCTTCAGAAACTTTTGAGAAAGTTTTTTTTCGGAATCATAAAAACTAACTTAATAACTGGGAGTTCCAAAAAATTAGAACTTCCAGAAAATTCTAATTTTCTTTAAAAACCCTGGATACCTTTATTCGAACGGCAAAAATTTCTCAAATTTTTGATTCTACAAATCCCTGAGTTTCAGAGATATATTTGATCAAAGCTAAAAGTTAGGGACCCCTTCTATTACAGGTTTTACGGCCATTCATGTTTCAATATAAATTTTTTTGAAAATTGATTCCTCGGTATCCTCAAAGTTGAGGAATAAATGCAAGGAACTTTTGTCAACAAGCATTCCGCATGATCTTTCTGACTTTTTAAAATACTATGAGCAAGCTGAGCAATAATTTCGCTTCCCCAAATGATCCGAAAAAAACTAGACTAGGAATTTCGAATTTATCAGTGATCACAATCATGAAAAAGAACAAAGATTATCAGGGAGTGTGTTTTGACAGAAAATACAATATTTTGAAAGTTTTAGAAGGGCCCACCCTGCAATATGAAAAACGAAATAGGTCCACTCCCGAAGAAATTATTTTTATCTGATCATACGAAAAGGTGACCACTGCATTGGAAAGTAAGTAAGAAGAAAAAATGGGTTGGGAAACAAACGGAAGAAATTGAGGACAAAAACAAAAGCAACAGCAACAACACAATAGTAAAAATCACGTTTTAAGTGTCTCTATTTCTTCTTCGTTTTTCTCCAATTCCTCAGTCTTTTATCTCTTTTTCTTTTCCACTCTCTCAACTTGTGATCTGGAAGAAATTGATGAAAAAAGAAGAAGAAAGACAATCGCCTGAAATCATTTGCAAAGTTATTACTTTTCTCCTCTCTTTCTTATTTCTGACTGACTGGTCATCATGATTTTCTTGACCTATACTCCTGTAAATCAACAATACGACTCGGTAAGGGATACTCTATTTGATTTGCAAGATATATGAAATTTGATTTGCAAGATATATCAAAATTCATTAATTTTACAAAATAAACAAGTCAGGGTATTGGATTCTTAGATTTCCCAAGTCTTTCGTTTTCTAATTTTTTTCCCTTATCAGTACATTTTTCAATATTTTAATTCACTTTTAACGGTCAATCCCAAATAGTCACAGGGTCCACGGGTACATCGAAAAAAGATAAATGATACAGCAAGTTCTTAAGGCATAATGGTTCCGAGGGTACGTGGAATCATGGGTTGTAGGGCGTTTTAGTCTAAGTCTATGATTTTGAGAAAAATGTGAAACTTCTATCGATGAAAACCTTTTTTCGCTTTCCCAAATGATCCGAAAATACCTATGTACCCTTAGAACAATGTATTCGAAGAACTAGATGTACCCTTGAACACTAGGCCTCCCAAATAGTATACTAAAAATGTACCTAAATTCAACCACCTAATCTGAAAAATCGGGTCCAATCACTACCGACATCATAAATCTTTCATCATCTTTCTATTTTCAAAAACATATGTTTCGATTGTTTTCAAAAACTCATTTGTCATTGACAAAGGTCAATATTCTGCCTTCCTTATCTTCTTCTTTCTCTTACCGGTTGATCAAAAATAGATCATTTATTGTACTTCTGTTTTGCACGCAAGAATAGAAGTACATTGGAACGATTGAGAAATGTTGGAGAAAAAAGAAAGTACCCAATTTTCTAGATAAAAAAATTAGAACTCAAAAATTGAAATTCTCTAGCAAATGTTTAACTTTTTCAGGTTGTCGTTGCTGCAGCATGCACCCTCCCAGCAGATTCCCTGTTTGCTGTGATGCTCTATTTGATATATCCCGACTCATTCCTTCCATCCACCCTGTTCATTGTCAATTTCTCGCTGGTTCTTCTTGCTCTTCTAGGAATCAATTCAAAAGTTTCGTCGATGATTCTTCCGGCATTAGTATGGAAGTGTGTGCTCTTGTTGTTCCTTTTGTTTTTGGGATGCATTTCGGTCGACGCTTATCAAGTTCCGGCCTCAGAGCTAGAAGAAGCTCATGTGTCACAGCAACAGGTACACTTGTGTCTTAAAAAAATGAAAACAATATTGATCCCATTTTCTAGGAACCAACCTCCCCGCATCGATCCATGATGGTTTGGAAGGATCTGGCGGCGAAGTATCCAATGCTTCCATTTATTGCAGTCGCATGCACAATAGTTCTTGCAGTTGAAGCAAGGTAATCAGAATCACAAAAGCTTATAGTCTCAGAATCTCAGAATCTCCGAATCTCGGAATCTCAGAATCTCAGATTTGCGGAATCTCAGAATTTCAGAACCTCAGAATCTCAGAATCTGAGAATCCCGAAACCTTCGAATCGAGATTAGAGTATTTAAAAAATCATTTTATTTTCAGAGTTTTTTTCTCGGCATGGCAGAAGATCTGCTGTCCGGCGGTGGTGAATGATGATGCGAATTTGGAGAAAGTGAGTTTTCAACTCGGTTCACAAAGTCTAAAATTCAACATTTTTCAGTCGCCTCCATCGTACAACGCTTGCGTCCGTGCCACAGCCAGCGAAAAAGATCTTCCGAGTTACGAAGATGCGCTGAAAACGTGCTCGAATTCTTCATCACAACAGCCGTCATCATCTTCAACGTCTTCTTCTTCGTCTTCGCCCTCTCAACGACCACCCCACTCCGTATACACGATACCAGACGTCAAAGTGCATAAATCACCAAACACTCAGAATTGTCGTAGTTCCCCATCGTCTTCTTCAAAAATGACAGTAATCAGTCTTTGATATATTTTTTCTGATGACGTGGCAATTCTTGCCGAAACTTCTTTGTCTCTGTACATTTTCTTTTTCAGTCGGTGTTTCGGTGATTTTTTTGACGGTAACGAGTTCTGCATCTTGCGGGGAAATTGTGATCCGGACTCGGTGTTTTTTCTCAATTGATCTCACTTTATTATTGTTTTCTTGTTATTGCAATATGTAAATTCTGTATCTGACGACGAAGACTAACGAAATAAATTTGTTTCGTTTTTTACTTTTTTACTTTTTTGTGTCATAAAATAATTTAAAGGTAATTTTTTAACGAATTGTTTATACTCATGTGGATTTGAGCTATTTAAGTAGGATTTTTCGTTCATCTCTATTATCCTGGTACAAAGAATCAGAGAAAAAAAAACAAAAATACAAACACTCTTAGATTACGGTAGTTGTCGTTGTGTGACCTTCGGCCACAACTCTCTTCCACAGTTCCTAACTTCTGTACGAGAATACTGTGAAGCCTGACTATTAAACGGGATTCTGCTCCCGCTCACAACACAAAAATCGTTCAGCCATGGCGCACTGCCAATTTTTCACGATCCAATATGTCTGGTCACCCTCCTCGCCGGACACACTTGGGTCCAATGCAACGGGTCAGAAATCGCGCCCCAGTAAACGTGAGATTTTTTGAAAATTCGCTTCTGAATTATTTGGCTGAGAATCAAACTTTTAAAAGTTGGGCAAAAAAACCACGAGTTGCAAATCGTAGATTAGAATTAACTAGGTCAAATCCACGTCAACCTTGAAATTCTTAAATTTCTTCTGGCCTAAAAGCTATTTGGTCGCGTTTTTTGACCCGTTGCCTTGGACCCAAGTGCGGATATGATTTGGTTTGACTATTCCGCAAATGGAACTTTTCCGTCGAGAGCCCCCAAAGAACCCCAATTTAGGGTCATTGGAAACAAGTTTGGGCCCAATACGAACCCAGATACCCCCAAAATACCCCTGTGTCAGAGTATAGATGTTTCTAAAGAGTATCATGGATCCAGAAACTACACAACATCGATTTCAGATCTTCAAAGAACAATCGTGAATTTAGGAAACTTTCAGTTTCTGAAATTTCTGAGTTTTCAAGTTTCAGAATTCCAATTTTGAAATTAAAATTAGAAACATCTGGTATCATTAAGAATTTTAACTTTCAGAGTTTGGGATTCCAGAAAACTGAAAATTCAACATTTAAATTTCAAATTTTTTGAAAATTTCTGAAATTCTAATTATTCTAAATCCTTGGAATAAAAATTAAATTTTAAAATTTTTCAAAATTGTAAAATTTTCGGAAAAAAAAACAAATTCTCGAATTTTCGCAAGGCACAAAGGAATTCATTTTTTAGATGTTCACATCTTTATATTTGAGATTTGGGATTCCGACAAAAATTTAATTTTCAAAATCTAAATTCCAGAATTTTCCCTACTGAACTGTCAACCAAAAAAGAAAATAACACAGATAATCAAAGGATTCATAATCTTCTTTCCTCCAACTGCTCGAATTCCATGTTCCAATGTTCCAGCCAGTTCAGGTAAGTTCGTAATTTCAAATCTCCATAACTAGGTCAGGATGGTGTTAACCCTTGCTGTTCTAATACCAACTTCAAACTCTTGTTCATAGTTAATGAGTATAGCCAGGAAAGAGGCAACAACGCGATTTACCAGGCTCTTCTGTCAATCTGACGCTTACATCAAATAAAGTGTCAATACAACTGACGAACCAGGACTCAGCTCGTAACAAGGCACAAGTAATGTTAGTTGTTACGACAGTGTACGCACATGAACATATTGTCAGTTATATCGTACCCATCTGAAGCAGCCATCAAATTAACTGAACCCTACAGTCTACCTGTTGCTGTCATCAACACATACGCCCCCTACTCAAAAAGACTAAACTCGGACGAAACGGTAAATAGCTAATTGGGCTAATTAGTCGACACCTAATCCAATAAACTCACAAACTGAACATGTGACTGGAACGATTTGCTCAACGAGTGCCGTCGGAAGTCGATTGAAATGCCAATAGGATTCCGAAGTAGATGAAACATCGAGTGTGAGAAAAAATCTAGTTGGGGAGTCACCAGTGTGGCATACGTGGAAATAGGTCAGGAAATTATTGAGCTCGAGGTCACACTTTTTTTTCAAATAAAAATTATTTTCCCGTGAAATAAGCTTTAAAAATTCTGTATTCGAAACGTACGCGTTATAACCTAAAAGCACGAAAATTGAAAAAAAATAAATTGCCACCCAAATTTTCTGAATATGGCGCCAGAGAAACAAAGATAAATTGGCTCAAAATTAAAAGTTATGGGGCCCTTCTATTACAGGTTTTACGGTTATTGCTGGTGAACATCATGATTTGTTTCTTCAAGAATAGATTCTGAAACAAAAATTTGAAAATTCAGAATTTGTTTTTTTTTAATTAAAAATATGCTGAAATGTTACATTTCCTCTTATTCTACAAGAATAATACAGTAAAACCTGGTAATAACGAGTTTCGTATCGATTTAGATGTTAATTGATTTTCTTAATTGACTTTCTCGACGTTACTGTAGGTGTGCGCGGGGAGATTCAAAGTGTAACTTCTGAGAGAAATCAATAAGGAATAGAAATCGATAGTCCCCACTCATCCCCGCTCATCATCCTCCATCCTTCCAATTTCTCCATTCATTAGTTCATCCCAATGTTGACCGATTTAACTGGTTTCCGTTTTCTGGAGTTACCGGTTCTAGTAACCGAATGTGTTTTAAGCACAATGCACCCAATAGAAATGTAAGTTTCAGTGAAATTTCTCATTTAACTTTTTTCCATTTTCAGTATCAACTTTGCAAAATCCCATCCAACCTGCGATAAAATTACATACTCGTTGTTCAAAAGACATAGATATTTCATCAGTCTCGAAATAGGGAAAATACCACGAATTTGGTTTCGCCGACCTGGCTTCCACTACGTTTCTGAAGCACAGAATAGCGAACCAAATCAAACACCTATTCAATGTTTGAAGATAATACAAGAACTGTTCGATGATTCGACTTGTATTCTCAACTCAAAACTCACAAATGTCGTGTTTTCTATAGATAGTTTCTGTAGTACTGATAACAAAAACACTATTGATTGGCTGAAGTCAAGATCGTCTGGTACTATGATTTTGGCCTGTATTGAAGGAGAAAACGTGGAAGAGGATTTGAACTACTTCTTGCAAGAAATCAAAATCACCAAAGCTCTCGCTATTCATGTTTCTGGCTTAAAGAACTTGCTTCCGGGAATTCCAAGAGATCTGGAATACTTGGAAATACTACATGGGCAATGGATCACATTGGATATACTTTTAAGTTTCAATTTTGCCGAACTTCAAATGCAAAACTTAGTGCTTACCAACCAAGACTGGAACATGTTCTTCCAAAAATGGATGAAATCAGAATGTCATTTGAAACTGAAATCTGTCAAAGCTCAACTCAATGAAGAAGGAGTTCTGGAGAATATTTTGGAGGGAATCGATTTCACATATATTAACAGTCCTAAAGAATTTTCAAAACAGTACGTTTGAAATTACAATACATTTTTTTGGAAAATGTTTTTCAGGGAAGGAAATGTCGTTTTATTGCATTCTGGAGTCAAAATAGTTCGTAACGATGAAGTTGTAGCCTCAATATTCCAACTTTTAATAGAAGGCAGTTTGGCAATTTTGATGGAAGTTCTAAGGAAGTAATAATGAATTGAAATTTCAACAAGAGGTTTGGATGTTGAACATTCTAAATCATCTTTTGAGTTTTAATCAACTGGCCTTGCACCTCTTTCACTGTTTCTTTTTTCGTCTGACCTCTCCGTTATCCAATAAAAAATAAGTTGGCTCTAGTTATTTTGGATTAAAAAGATGTTAAAGTGATGAAAAGTTTTAGGTTTGAAAAAACTTGAAACACATTCAAACCCGGAAATTTCGTGTAGTCGAAATCTTATTATAAATTTATTGAGCCTTGTGTTTATCATGGCTTTACTTTGCTGTAATAAGTATTTGAAAAAGTGTTTTCAGCTGGTTTTCAGAAGTTTCCCTGAGTTTTTACAAAGCGATGTTCTTCATCAGGATGCCCAAAGGGTCTTTAATAACGACTTCTTTAAATTTAAAAAAGGGGAGCTCCTTATATCTGTAAATATATTTTTTTTTCTAACTGTTTTCAAAGTTCTAGAATTTTATGTAAAGACTTTACTTGAATTTTTATGAATGTAGAAGGTTTCGAGTTTCTGATTTTTGCCGAAATTCGGAATTTTTTCTGGAATTTCGTCTTCTCTTGAGAAATCTGAATTGTATAATTTTTGATTGTTCGGATTGGAACTTTTGAAATCAATCTTTTTTGGGGTCTTTAAAATCCAAAAAATTTTTGAACCTCCTCTAAAATTCAAAAATTTTATTGAAAATCCAAACTTTTCAATCCAAAAATTTCTCAAAAACCCGAAATAACCAACTAGAGCCAATAAATTGATACCTTGAAACGTTCACTGATAACTTTGATCTTTCAAAATGATCAACTTCAACCCGGTTCCTGTGCACACAGCCTACTTGACAACATATCAAAAGGCAAGCCAACTATTTGTTAATCAGTACATTTCTAGTTTTCCGGAGCTAATTTCTGATCTCCTGATTCTGATCTACTACCACGACCGTGTCCGTTTATTAGTCAAATTGTGGATGGTAACCGATTTTGCTCCTGTTGAGAAAATAAACGAATATGTACACGATTCACCCATTTAGAAGAGGGGTCATTTTTGTTTGTTTTTGGTCAATTTCATTTTCAAACATGTTCAAAAATGAGTGAGATTGAGAGAGAGAGAGAGACACACAGGTTTTATAGAAATTTATTAATATAAATCGTGTCATCCACCATTATGAATAAACATGAATTGAGGGGTGAAAACACAACGGTTAAAAAAAACAGTTTGAGCAAATATTTACAGAAAAATTTTGGATGTTTTTGGGGGTGAATAAAAATAAGCGGCGCTGAAAAATTAGGATCTACAAGTTGAAAAAAAAACATAGGGAAGTTAACAAAAAGTCAAGCAAGATTGTTGTTTTTTGGGGTTCATAAAAATTGAAAAGAGTGATTTAGTATCGGTAGTTATCACGGTCTCTGGCTGGATCGTATGAATATTGTTCGGCTGGGAAATGAGTCGGAGTCGGTTGTGGAGTTGGAAGCTGAAAAAATGTCTGTCTGTGTATCAGTGAATCCAACGAGAAATACTTTAGTTATTTACATTTAAAGATTCACAAGAAAGTTTCGTGTGTGAAGTCAGAAAACTGGCAAATATTTAGCCTGTGACCTCGTTTTTGTAGAAGCAAACCGGATTGCTCTCTCCAAGAAAAGTTTGTCTCCATGAATCAACAAATAGAACGAAAGGAGATACTTTTCTGGGGGAGATGGAGTAAATTTAGGTTTTTCTGATTTTGAGGAATGTCATAGAAGTTTGAAATCTAGTAGCAAAGGTTCCTCTAATAGAAGCCCACCCAGACCATTTGAGCTCAACTATCTCGATTCCTCCTGATGATATTAAAAATTTGTCAACTGATAAAGTATTGGTGATATTATGGTTAAAAATTAATTAATTGACAAATTTTTGTTATCTTCCACAGGAACTGAGATAATTGAGCTCAAAGTTGACGGTTTATGTGGGCTTCTGTTAGAGAAAATACGGTATTTCATCAGAAATGAAAATTCTGAATCGAAAATTTTTATAATTATTTGAAAATGGATATTTTTGTATACTGTCAATACTGTTTGAAATTAAAGATTCCTATGCAAACTTCTGGTTTATTAAATCAAACTACAAAGCTGATCCTTTCAGCTGATGTTACCGTAAACACTCTAATTCAACGCCTTCCTCCTTCCCCAAACTGTGAGCCCATATATCTTATTTCCTGGAAAACATACCAAAAAGTGGCTAACTGACAAAATGTTTATCGTAATATTGAAAATTTTTTGTTGGTTGACCACTTTTTTGATATCCTTCCCAGTAACCGAAATAAATTGGTTCAAACTTAAAAGTTAAGGTGGTGTTTTTTTAGTGTTTACGATATTCTTTACTACTGAACTCATAAAGTTCAGTGTTATGTAAACTCTATTTTGACAGCGAATTACTTTTTTACAAAAAAAAAACAAAAAGATACACACACTCTGTTGTTTAATCTGATCGTCAAAGAGGAAGTGACTCAATTCTTCCTCCCCGTCTTCCGCATAACTTTTATTTGCTCGTTTGAGAAAAAGTTGACGCGGACAAAAAAAAAATAGGTTGGGGAAGGAGATGAGAGATCTCTTACTGATATTGTTTTTCAAAAATTGAACTCACTCCAGAATAGTTGTTCTCCTCATAATGCTCATAGAGTTCGCGTTTTTGTTGCTTGTCCTTGGAGCGGTTGAAGAGCCACACGACAAGCCAGATGACGAAGGCAACGATGACAAGAATACAGAAGATGACGATCAGAGCGACAGCCCATCCGTAGCGGTTATGCCTAGAATAAGAGAATAGTCAGATATGCAATTTGGTTCGATATATATTCTAAAACCTAAACTAATGTAAAAGATATTATAAAAGATATTATACAATATTTGAGCACTCCGTATTTTCAATGGGTGTGTCTTCCTATCAAAAATATATCAAATCTGGCTCACCAATATCCATTCTTGCAGCATCCATCGGCGCAGCATCCGATGTCTTTGTAACATCTCTCGATGACCGTGTTCGCACTGTTCGCAACTCCATAAATGCAGTCATAGAACGACGGGTCGATAGCTGAAAATGTTTGAAATTTAAGCATAATTGAAAAAAAAAACCAACTATTGATTTGTTGTCCAACGAGTCCGCTTCGGACGAAGCTGTCGGCTGCGAGGAAGTTTGATTGAGTGTCAAACTGACGGTTCAGAGCTGGCGCCTGAGTGGCTTGTTCTGGAAAAGGAAGATGAGATAAGAAAAGAATATGAGATTTTGATCTAAAAGTGGCTTTCTAAACTATTTGAAAAAAAGGCTAATATTCATATATTCTAATAGAACTTTTTTTAAAGGTCACGTGAATCTATATTTTATTTTCAAGCTTTTCAAAATTCGCGGACAAACTGACAGAGAAACAAAGAGACGCAACTTCATTTATTTATTATAAGAATGATTTTAAAATTCGGAAATTTCAAAAAACGTACGATATCCATCCCATCTGGAGTTTGACATGGTGATAAGTTGATAAGAACGGAACGTGTGAACACAATTGAATGTAAATGACGACTCAGAAATAAAGAAAATGTGAAAGTGACGGAAACAAGTGGAGCGAATATAGGGAGGCGCCGCCGGCTGACTCTCCTCCGAAAAAAACCTCCGCCTCCTCTTCTTTGTACTACAGTACTCTCTGCGTCTCTCTCATCCGAATGCTCTCTCGGCGGAGCAATGACAAAACTGGCCCATTGTTGACATTTACACGTCTCTCTTCCCCCTCTTCCGCACCCTTGTGCCGCGCGGCATATTCTCCATGAGGGTTCGAGAGACAGTGAAAAAGTGAGCTCGTACACGTTTTACAGAGGATTATGAGAGTGCTTCAGGCGGCTGACTTGTACATAGAAGAGCAAGCAAATTCATTACGAAATTTTTTACGAGACTGTGAAACAAAAGAATGGGGAAAAAGTGGGGCGAACTGGATAGGGAGACATGTTCCAGTGAGCATTGGAATTGCGGAAATTTTCGAAATAGTTGTTTGTAGGAGACATTGAAACAGGATTATAGGGTAATCGGTTTGAGAAGGGAGACGAACTGTTTTGATGTTTTTTCTTCGAATTATGATTACTATTAAACCTCTAATAGAAGGGTTCATAATTTTTAAACTTTGAGCTGACTTTTCATGGTTCCTGTCAAAGGTATTAAAAAGTTGTAAACTGATAAATTGTTTATCATAATATCAGAAGAGTTTCGTTAGTTGACAAGTTTTCGATGTCTTGCATTCGAATTGAGATAACTGAGCTCAATGTTGACTGTGTGAGGACCCTTATATTACAGGTGTTACGGTACCTGCCAAATAAACAAATTGTTGAAATGTGACACACATTTTTCTGTTCCCAAAGTGAATAAAGCCAGTAACTTTTATGATGAAAAACATACAGGAATGGTCCTAAATCAATGAAATCTGTTAACTAGCTCAAACCGAATTTTCTTTGAATTTCACAAGTTTTTTGCATTATCTGAATTCCCTGATTTTTAAAAATATGTTTTTTTTATTCTCGGATTCTCAAATCTTCCTTATAAATAAAACGCTAGAGGCGTCTGTCCGTCCCGGTGTCAGTCTGTAAACTTTTGAAAAGAACTTAATATAAATTTACGTGACCCTTTAAGAATAATTGAGGAGCTGAGCCACGAATCAGTAAAAAACAAGATTGATTCGCGCCGAAGGCGCACCAGCTTGCTGGTATTTGAATACTTTTCATTCTAATTTTGCAATTAATCATTTTACAAAAAAAGGAACTTCCCAATGGAGAAGAATATTTTTATTGACTTTCTGGTTTTAATGATTTGATGGATTACTGTAAAAATATGGCAAGAATATTTACGACTACTGTAGGATCTGTGAATTTTGAAATTTTTTGGAGTTTGTAATTTGAAATTTTGTTATAACGAAAATTTTGTATAAGGGAAATTTCGATTTTAGGAGACGAATTATTGAAATCTCTTTTTCCTTTTTGTCATGTTTCTATACTCCTATATCTGCAATCCCATTTTTCTCTATCCTTTCCTTCCACCCTCCCATTAAAATTCTTCAAACGAAACGAAGGAACACCATGTTTCTCCTCCGTATCCATGGTGACGTCGTCCCTTCCATTTCCTTTCTCTCAATTCGTTTTCCTCTTCTTCTTCTTTTTTCTCTCTCCTCCTCAAAACATGCGTCCCTCATCTGCATCTACTCCTTTATCATCTTCAGCATTGGTGAGTTTGATTGTTTTGGGAAGCAACCTGATATCATCCAATCTCACAGAACTATCTTGAATCTCTCGAGAGGAACTCCAAAGCGTTGCGTGGCAACAATAATAATCGAGCGGCGAAGGATGAAACCAGTTTCAGCAGCAAAACAAAGTATGCATTCTTTTTTTTGTCTTGAACAAGTTTTCGAGTTTTAAAGTGCATGAGATCAAGCGAACTAAATGCTTGCCCTTTTGAAACAGAACTTTTCTTCAAAAGTCAGCATTCTGAGAAACACCTGATTCGATTTCTCACGCTTCTAACTTCATTCTAAACGTCATCTATTTCAGTTCCTCATCTGGAAAAAGAAGAGAGTCTCTTTCGGATATTATTAGTCAAGTTCGTCGGCAATCGTCATTATCAAGAACAGATTCTGAAGATTATGACTTTTTGAAGTAATTAAGGCTTCTTATTTCGTTTCATCGATCTGTTCTTTTTTTTTCAGTGAATCCTTAAAGTCTTCAGTGTTTGATGAAAGTGATTCTAGTGAGGCTGAAAGTAAGGAGAGCCCTGAACAACCGGAAGAAAAACGAATCCTGCCATTAGGAACACCAGGTTGGTTATATTTTTTATTTTTGCTAATCGTCCAAAAATTGTTGAATTTCTATTCTGAAAATATAGAAAACTTCAAATCAAAACCATTGTAATACATGTGAATGGATCAATTTCAAACTTCAGGAACAATTTTAGGATTTTCAAATTACCTAGAACCTGTAATAGAAGGGCCTTTCAACTTTGAGCCGGTTTATCTCTGTTCCTGTGAAAAATATTAAAAAATTGTCAACTTATAAACTATGAAAAATGTTTTGTCAGTTGACACATTTTTGGTATCTTGCACAGGAATTGAGATAATTGAGATCAAGCATAACAGTTTGCGGATCCTTCTATCACAGATTTTATGGTATGCTTTTTCTGATAGAACACATTATGAAATCCGAAAAAAGCCCAAATTAAATTTTTTTCAAAAAAATGTGTTTCGAATTTTTCTAGTTTCAGCAAATGTTCTATCATAGAAAGCAAATTTGAAACCCAAAAATTGTTTTTGTACTCTGAAGCTTATCAACCCGCTTGTATTACCACGGTTAACCGATTTCGAAATGACTGTTTTCGAAATGTCGCAGTTTCAAAATGACGAGGAGCCTCTTTTTAGGTGTGCAAGTCGGTCGAAAAAGTCTGAAAGACATCCGAGCTCTGCGTAACTCAATTGATCAATCTCTGGTCAAAACTCCCGAACTCAAAACTCTCCGAAACAAGGCTGCAGTGGATGAGGGGAAAAAACTAACGGTAGTTTCCTATTTCTCTCTACTCAATGTCCTTATTTTCCTAGTTTTCAGCACTTCGAAAGCATTCAAGAAGAAGAATTATCCGAGGAGATCCCAAAAACTAAAATGCTCGCCAAGAGTCCGTTCAAAAAGGCAATTCAAAGTGGAAGTGACAGTTCAGATGGAGATTCAATTGTTTTTGATGAAGTCTTCGAAGAGGTTCTTCCGTCTCCTCCAAGGAAGCCTCCAGTGAGAGCACAACCAGCTCCAGAATCTAAAGTTCAGAAGACGAAAAAAGAGGAATTAAAAAGGAGAGTGAAGACACCAGCATCATCCGAATCTTCAACTTCGCCATCCTCTTCTTCTGAAACGGAATCTAGCACCGATTCTAGCTCTTCATCATCATCAGAATCTTCCACTTCTAAATTAAGTTCCAAGTATGGATCAGACTTTGAATCAGTGAAGTCTTCTTCTTCTTCTTCCTCCTCAACGTCGTCTGAAGCTTCAACACCAAAAGCATCACCAGAGAAGAAGCTATCTACGGAAAAACCGCGGAAATCAAAAGAAAAACCAAAAGAAGATAGAAAGGAATCTTCTCCAAGTCCTTTTGAAGATGCCATACCAAAACTCAACTCGTCGTCTGAATCTTCTAAATCGACAGTCAGAGAAACCAATCGAACGTTTGAAGAGACATTAAATGTAGATAACAAAAAAGAAGATGAGAAGAGAAAGAAGTCCAAGGAAAGAATTATTGAAAGAAGGAATTATTTGGAGAAGGGGATAATTGAAAGATTGAAGTCTCGAAGTTCCTCATCTTCGTCTTCCTCGAATGTTGGTGAAACTGAAAGAGAAATTGAAATTTCAAAAAGAAGAGATAGACGATTCAGAAGTCGAAGAAGAAACTCTGAAGGTACTTACTATGACTCAAAATGTTTTTCTGCAACCACAAATTGTTTCAGAACCCCACACATGCCAAACCAATGTTCACAATATGGTTGAATCCGTTATAGACACTCATGTTCAAATGTTGGACGACTTCAATCGAATGGAGTATGCAGCAGTTTGTGAATGGACTCGAGTGCTTCGACAGTTCGATCGACACGATGGACCCACATCACAACGTCTTCGAGAAATCGTGGAACGTCGGCTGAACAGAAAATATTGAGCAGATGACATTTACTGCTGATTTTTTATGTTTTGTGATCTGCATAAATATTTGTATTTCAAGAACTTTTAAACTCCGCGTTTTGAAAAATTGTGTTCTGTGAAGGTTCCTGTGACAGTGTAAAAGGTGGTGTCAGCTTACAATTAGAAGCTATTGGAGATCTAGTTTCGAACGTTCTGCGAGCAATTAATGCATTTGCGTGAATCCATACAAACATAGATTTTTGTGTTAACCTAAAGCCACCGCTTCAGTATTCTTACAGTCTTTAATTAAACTGACAGTCAACCGAAATGGATCCACAAACCATCCAACCATCGCAAAATGAAAATCAAGCTGAGGAGAATCAGAAAGCAATACCAACTGGCGAAGTAGAACAAAAAAAATCAACCCATATCAAGAAAAAAGGAGAAGCCTAAGCCAAAAGGGCGTTACGTACTTTGTAAACCGAAGAAAGAAGTTGAGGATCCAACGAAGGAACTTCCTTTCTCACCTCCACAATCTCTGAAAGCTTTGCACAAACCTTTCCATCTAAATGAAGAAGACGATTGGAATGAACATTATCGAGTTCCTGATCCGAGTTTATTTTATCTTGTTTCCAAAAAACCAACTGATCCCATCAAGAAAATACAGTATCCATTCAAATTTGATCGCAGATGCGTTAGTTTTGTTTTGAATTCTGAGAGGTAACCGAAAATAATTCACAGATCACATTCGTTGGGAGGGTTGGTCTAGATCCTCTTGTCACTCTTTTCTATGTTCGGAATCCGTCAATGTTCCCTTATATGTTCAAAGTAAAGTGCTCCAACAACACGTTGTTTAGAATCGAACCGGCTTCCGGATACATTAATGGAATGTGTGAAGCTTCGATTACGGTGAGTCATAGTGAAAAGTCTATTTGAAAAAAAATCTGAAATTAAGTTGACATACATAGGAACTCATGTTCCACAACTCAACGAAGAGTACTTTTCGATTCACGCACTGGCTCCAGACCCGTATTGCATGGTAAGCGAACTTTGCATTTTTTCTATCCAAATGGTGTTTCAGGATATCCGTGAGGCATTCAAATTTCGATGCCATTTTAAAACGCGCAAGAAGATCTATGTCGACTTTGCATATGTAAGTTAGTATGATTTATTTCTAGCTCTATTATTATGATTTTAGCACGACAACGTTGATCATTTGTTTTCTGAAAATGCCGACGAGATGATCTACGCTCGACACAGAAGATATGTTAATCATTTTGTGAGCCCTGCAATTCTTTACCGAAAAGTCAGCGAACAGAAGAAGAGAGATGAAACGTTCGGTGTGACACCAAGAAGAACGGTTAAGACGGCAGAGGATAGATATAAAACGTTCGTTATAGAGAAAAGAACGAAGAACAAAAAGTTTTCCATCGAGAAGCCATCAGTAGTTTATAAATGGGGGGACGGAAAAGATGCGAATGAAAATGAGGAAAACAAGAAGAAAAGAAGGAAAAAAAGAATGAGAGAAAAGGGAAGAAAGAAGCTAAAAAGGATTCTGAGCAGAAAAACGGTCTGAAAGAAAAGAAGAATGAGGTTCAGAAAAATGATGTTAATAAGAAAACCGTAGAAAATAAGAAACAAGAGCCGATTGTTGAAACGAAGAATATAGACGAAAAGAAGGATGAAGAGCCAAATGTTGAACCCAAGAAAGATCGCACTGGAGAAAACAATCAAGTGCAGAATACTGAAGCAAAGGCCGAAGTAAAAACTGAAGCGAAGACTGAAGCAAAGACGGAAGCAATGACCGACGTAAAAACTGAAGCACAGACAGAAGGAAATAAGGGAACTGAAGAAAATCATGGCCCCGATAAGGTGGAAGAGAATCAGTAGGCGGCGAATCATCGATCTTACCTATCATTGAACTTGTTTTGTAAAATACACTTTTAAACATCCTTCCAAATAAAATTTTAGATCTGAAAATACTGGGCAGGGACCATATTTTATGGACACTGTTATCTTGAAAACGTTTTTTCTTGTCAGAAAAATCGTCCATTTTTTTTCTGTTGACCCCAATAATAATTTTGAAAGACAGAAAAAATTATTCCGAAAATCTGGGCCGAGACGGGCCGGGCCCTGAAAAATCTGAAAAAAGCCCGGCACGGCACGTTGCAAGTATGGTAATTAGTCACGTGATTTTTGCCGATAGTTTGCTGAAGGCATTTAACCAGTGTTTTCAACAGTCGCGAGATTCACCAAAATGTCTGAATCTTTTCATTTTTCAAATGAACGATAGTACGGTTTTCGTGGCGATGCACTATAAATAATTTCTGACTGTGCGCCTTTAATAATTTTGTAGAAAACGACTTGGTTTTTTTTTCACATTTTCTCGCTTTTTTCTTCGACAAAATATAATCGAAACCAACTAAACATTTTATCGTTACAATTTTTCAAATCAACAATACACCCTTAATCTCGCAATTTTCGTTTCGTATCGTCTGAAATGTTTCTGTTTTTGAGTGAAAAATATGTCCGCAAGTGATTAACGAAAGAATGAAAACATTTTCAGCATGTTGTTAAGCGAGTCCCCTTTGGGAACACCTTCGACACCAGTACGCTCAGCACTTCCGAACACATTCGGTACATGCTCAACTCCACAACGGGCAAATCGGGTCATGAGTCGACTCCAAGTGAGTTATTTATCTGTTTATCTCCAGTCGTTGATTATTAATTTTAGATAGACGTGAATCCTTTCGTTACGACATCTCCAACTGAAGCAACAGTTTCTGCGCCTTTCCGTACAACTGTTTTGCAGAGAGCTCCGGTTAGTTGGTTTTAAAAATTGGCTTGCTGTGAAATCAGATTCCTCGAATTTCATTCTGCATATTTCAGTTTCGTCACTTGAGATCGCTTTCGAAGTCAAATGATGCACCTTCACCGAAACGAGCTCACAGTACAGCCTCAAACGATACAAACGGAATTATTGAAAAACTGTTCCATGGTGAAACTATGCAGTCTCTCAGCACGAACGAATCGATTTGGAACTTTAATAATCGAAATCCCCCAATCAAGCAAAACTTCATAGCTTGCTCTTCTCAATTCCAAAAGGAAAATGGTTCGAAGCCGATATTGCAAGAATCGAATATGTTCAAAGTATTTTATGAGACGGAACCGATGGATTGTGAAGTAAACAACGATGAAATTGCGTTCAGAAATTTTATGAATGGTAAGTTTACAGAGATGATATACTCAAAATTCTATGTTTTAGATTCGATGGAAATCGACATTGACGACGATATATGCAAAATGGAAGTAGACTCCATTGCTGATGTGGATAGTCTAATGGATTACATTCCTATACATTGATTGAATTTATCCCTGAACAATGTTTAATATACTTTCAAAGTTAACCATTTCTGTAATTAGAAGATCGACTAGCCCCTTTATAACTGCCCGGCTCCCTTTGTAATTATGTCTATACTCCCCTCGCTGTTTGTTTTTTTTTCCCTTAACCTAAATCTTTGTGAATAATTACTAACTCATTGGGTCCTCTGATGATCTCGTTTATCACTCCCCCGTTCTATATGAAGTTTTCTTGTACTACCCTCCATTCATCAGAACAAATCTTCGAATCGTTTCAGGTATCATCACATAATTCTCTTGCTGCCAATTTTCTCGTTTTACCTTTCGATCTCGGAAGAAAGTGTTCCGATGGCATCGTCTATGTCGCTTCCAAAGGTTTTGAATGTAAGAGATACCGGACTTTCAGGTCTGGCGCTCATCTAAGTACGTTGTACTAAAGAGTGCCAACTAAAGAACAAAAGAGAGATTTCATGAAATCCTAAAGATGATTCAAATTGCCATGAGGAAATTCCTATAATTAGTAATATCAGCAAGCTTTATAAAATATTTTTTAAACTGCGGATTACACTCGATTTTCCATCCCTTTTCGTAATTATTTCACTTATAAGGCCGCAGTCTTTCATATTCAGATATTTGGGAACTCGGTAATCCGAAGGATCAGTAATTCATTCTAGCTTTTCGATTAAAATCTCCCTTTCCATCCCTCTAATCTTTCCATTTTTGGAGTGGAAACGCTCCAAGAAAAGCTATTTCCCTGATTGTTTACCAACTGCCACCATGTTTTCTATTAGAGACTCGTAAAAAAATCTCCATGGATACCCACTTCTTTTCTATTCTCGGTCAGTGAAAAACCAACAAAAACTTGGTCATCGGACTTCTTTTGCGATAAAGTAATCGGTGAAAATATGCAGGTCACCGAAAGGTTTTTTATCAGAACATGGAATCTTTTAACGGAAAGTGTTCTTTTCAAGGTTTTTGATGACCTCTCTTTGATTTTTTGTCTGAAGATTTGGAAAAGAGATACAGCCGTGATGGTGGTCGTTGTAAAAAGTGATGTCTTTGAAATAGATTTCGGTTACGCAATTCCCAGATGTGATTTTTCTGGAGGATACCAGTTCAGGTTGTCTCGTTTTTTATTCCGGACAAGAAGAAAAGGTTTTGTACTTATCATTCCATTGATTATGAAAAATTAACTACATTGTAAAGTTTGTTCTCAACATGATATAATAGTCGGATCTTCCTGTCCTCATGCTCAAAACAACTCCTGCAGTTCATTTTAATTGTTATTGACACATGAAATTACTATAACCTTATTCTTTGCATCAATTAAATCGAGAGTCCGAATATATCCATCTCACTAAAACATACACAAATAATGCATCCATTATTTCCATCTTCTTCCACTAATCGCCATTGCCACCCATACGAGTTGACCTCGACCGAGAATACGAATTGAGATAGAGAAACGGGGGCGAACGAAAAAAATGGGGAGATTCTGCTGCAGGAAATTCGAGCGGCGCCCCCGTCCGACGGCCGTCTCTCGACTCTCAAGGTTACTACCATTCCACCGTCTTCTTTTCCTTTTTTGCTATCCCGACAATCATCCTCATCGTCACCGATTTTTTATTAGGAACCCCGGCCCTTTATGTCATTCCATCCAGTCCAAATCCTCTCAGTACGAATCAAGCGTTAAATTTCAAATTTGTAGTCACAAATTTGTAGTCATAAAATTTGTAGTCCGAAAAGCATCGCAGTGCATAAAGCCATCTTGTGAATGATAAACTTTATTTGAGTCCAGTATAGGATAAGAAATATTGTATATTCAGAAGTGTTCATAAATTCATGAACTAGAAATGACATGGAAAGGTGGTATAGGACATCTTCTCTTTCATTTTCTCTAATTCAGAGGTTTTTTATTGAAGAAACTATGATGATGAACATGCGCTTACCGTATTTCCTCTAATAGAATACCACCCAACATTGAGCTCAAATATCACCATTCCTGCGAAAGATATCAAAAGTCTATTAACTGATAAATTATTTATCTTAATATCACCAAATTTTTATCAGTTGGCAAGTTTTTGATATCTTTCATAAGACCCGAGATAATTGAGTTCAAAGTTGACCGATTAGCTGGGCTTCTAGGATGCGATCTTCAAACATAAAAGTTTCAAAAAAGGTTGCTAACCTGGACTTCAAAATATCCGTTAAATATTCAGAAATGTCAAATCCTCAGTTTCCAATTAAAGCTGATTTCATAGCTTTCAGCTAAAAAGGGCAGTTGAAATTTCGGTTCAACCACAAGGTTATGTCATTCCAAATTCATTTCAAGCATGATAAAAATTTACATTTCTGCTTCTGAAAAGTACAAATTCTAACTTGCAAACATTTACAATTATCGTAAACACTCTAAAAGAGTGCTACCCCGACCGTCAATTTTGAACCCATTTGTCTCATTACCTGTAAAGGATATTCAAAAAAATACCAATTGCCAAAATTTTCATCATAATTTTAAAAATATTTTGTTAGTAAATCACTTTTTGATATCTTCACAGGAAATGAGATATATGGGCTCAAATTTGATGAACACTCTATAAAAGTGTTTACGGTATACTGACGTCATCTCATTTACAGCTCTTTAAGCCAAAAACCTTCTAAATACGAATTTCTTATCTGTTTCTTTTGATTCAATGATCTCAGAAAGCTACAACTTGCGCAATCCTCCAAAGACCGATGCTTGACCAGACGTAATCATCCGATCTTCTAGGTCAATATGACATTTCACAATATGACACAGTCATATTTTCGTTACAACCAGGTCATCATTATTCATTGCTTCCGACCATTTCCTTCCCATCCATCGAAATTACTCCAGAACCATTCGCCATTTCCAAAATCAATCTTCCTCCCCCCATGCCAGGCCAACTGTCCTCAATTTTTCATGAACCAAGTGTGTCCGCATGTGTTTCATTTCCTTTGTCCTCTGGAGGCATTTGCCCTCCTAGAATGAATTCAAATTCAAATTCAAATACTATCCGACTTCCTCTCATTACAATAAAACCAAAGAATGGCCCCCGGAAAAAAATAGTCATATTCCATCCCCGTATGTCCACATGAGGGAACGTTTTTCGGGTTTTTCGACTCATAATCGGCCGGAAGAGAGTGTATGAAGCATGAGGAGGATGCAGACAACCATCTGGCTCTTTCTACCTCTTCCTTCCTCGCACTTTTTTATTCTATTTATTGTATTTATGAACGGACTAGGAGGAGAAGTGCGCTCTTTTCTTCTTTCTCTTCTCCTCCTTCTTCTTCTTCCTCTTCCCGTGTCCTCGGTACTCTACAGTTAGTAGAGACGAGAATAGAGACGATTGTAGGTCAAGGGAGGTCATTGTTGGTTTACGAGTTCGCCCTCTCCTGATTTTTCTCTCTTTTTCTAAAATTATCTTCTACTGATGATTCATTATCAACCTATATACCCCTTTAACCTTATTAACCTATTTGTTAATGATAATTTCTGATTGCTCAGTTTTAAAGGTTAAATTAGGGTTAGGGTTCGCACCAGCTACTATGATGACTATACGAAATGTTGCGAAAGCTTTAGCTCCGCCCATTTTTCTATCCCAGGGCTCTCATGAAACATCTCAACCCGCCAATTTCCTCCAATTTCATTCCCATAATTTCAAAAGTTTTTGTTATCAGTTTTCGTAGTGTCAGCAGGTGCTGGTCACTCTTTAAATGTTGTGTATTCTCTCTTCTCTGATAGCAAAGAAAACGTCTGCTGTGTTCGCGCCGTTCTTCACTCCGTCGTCCCCACCCAACCGATTATATTTTCCATTTCCTCTTCCTGAGTCTCCGCGCTCATCGTCAACAAAATATTTTTATTAGTTGAACAACTATTTTCTCTGCCCATCATCTGCGAATTGTGTCAACTGGTACTGGTGAGCCAAGAACATCTGGAATAGAGCGAGATATAGGTCCCGCCCATGAGGCCATTTTTGTTCTAAAAAGGAACGTGGGAGTCAGATGAAACCTGAGCCGTGTTTGTCAGTGCTTTTGGGAAAAGGATGCCAAAATTCCTTGACTCTCAATGCCCGGACTGAATGTCAATTAGTTTTATAAATCTGGTCAACTTTAAAATTATCACAATCCCAACTTTTCTGATTGAATATTCATAGGAATCACAAGACCCAAAACAATCGAGGTTTTCTAAAATCCAGATAGATAGAGCTTACTGCAAGTAACCCACTAACTTGTTCTAATATCCTATAGATACCGTAGACACTCCAATAGATTGCCACCCAGAGCTTCAACTTTGAGGTCATGTATCTCATTTCCTGTGAAAGATATGAAAATGTGGTCAACTGAAGAAATGTTTATCAAAATACCACCAAAATTATATCAGTGGACAACTTTTTGATATCTTTCACAGGTACCGAGATAAATTGGCTCAAAGTTGAAAGTTACTGGTGGTGTTCTATTAGAGTGTTTACGGTATTCTAAAAAACATTCTCGGCATTTTCAATCTTACTGTAGTTTTCCACTTCTCCTTCTTCTTCTTCTTACCAAAAATTTGTTAGTTCTCTAACTTTTCCCTTATTGTTCCCTTCCTCACCGAAAAACCTCTTATTGTGCTTCCTCCGTTCCTAGTTGTGATACCATGTTTGCTCATACGCAAGGTGGCATTCGTTTCCTCTTTTCCCACTTCGTTTTTCTCCTAAAAAATGTCTTCTTGTTCCCTATGCCGCGCGCCATAACGCAAGCATCGTAGTAAGGGAGAAACATTTAAAAAATTGAGAGAGCGAACTGAGCGCTCTCTTCTCCCTGGTTTTTCGGCGTCCGTCATCGTCGTCCCACATTTCGGAGACGCAGACACATTGGCGTGGCTAGCGGTGCCAGGCTGGACCCCGCTCGGGTGCCGACCCCCCACCTAACACCCGACTCTGCCGTCTCTACATCCTCCATAATGTCTTCCGACGTTCTCTCGTTTCTCGGCGAGTACGAGACAAGCGTTGAGCGACACAGACATAGACTGAGCGTTTTTTTGCTGCTGACGCTGGCTGCAGCCGTGGAGGCCATCTTGCTCCGCGTATGAGGAGTGTGTCTACTACCCCGCTAACCTACTTTTAACTTTTTGGCCTAAATTTAGATTTTTTGAATTTCTCTGAAATTATCTCTGAAATATTCTATCTGAACCTTTTATGAATCTTTTTTTTTTGAACCTGCACCATCTGAATCCTAAATCGCAATATTTTCAGAAACCTTACAATACCAGAGAACAGAAAGCAGTTGGAATCAAGCCAAGTTGTACGCGCTTCCAACTGCGATAATGTCAAACTCGGACCTCTTGAAAAGTAAGTTCTTAAAATAACTATTCTCGTATTCTTTACTTCACTACCGTAATCATAGTTTTATAATGTATAGATCCCACAGTTCTAATCTCGGATCAGCTGACTTGGTGCCCTAGATTATCAATGTCTAGTTGACGAGATTCCCAGACCAGAGACCATTATTTTTGGGAGTGGGATTGTCGTGCTTTGAGTCCTAGAGCAATTGTTGTGAAATCGTGAAATCCTTTCTACAATTTAGGCTATATCTTTCGTTACTAATGGACATATATAAATTCCTCATATTGGTTCAAAATTCATCAAATTATTGCACTTTTAATCTCAACGTCTTTGATAAGGTTATCTAGGTTACTGTAACTTTTGTCAATACACTTTCATGGTTCCCTGTAGGATGTATACATCTACAAAATAGGTTTGTCTTGGTCATTCAAAGATAGAAACTTGCCATTTCAAGTCCGCCATCATCAGAAAATGTCCACTCTCTCTTCGTCTTGTCCTTCGTTTCATTTTTCTTCTGATTCCTATCTTCTTCCCTCAATCATCTTGTCTATGCCTCTTCGTCTTATATACTCTCTTTGCCTCCTATCTACTCCCGCTCTCTTAAAAAGTGCATCTTTTTTGCTTACTCTCCTTCTTCCTCCTTCCACATTCTCCCAGCATCAACTAAGTTTTCCCTTTTCCTCCGCCCTCTTTTTTCCTGTTCTGATAATCCTTAGTCTTAGTTTTTTGGAGCATTCTAGATGACGTGATCCATTCTGAATCTCAACCATTTTTTAATATTTTTAGGCGAGTTTGACCTGCCCAGCAGTGACAACTTCAATCTGATGCAGTACCTGGGAGCCACGGAGGCCGGGTACGATACGAACGAAGAGGATGGGTCGATGGTGTCGCCGACTTCTTCCGCCGGAAGCATGAACCAACAACAGATGCATCGTCAGAATCCAAACTTTCAAGTGAGTTTCAAAAAAAAAGAAGATAGAAGAGGAACAAACGTTCTTGTTACGTAATTGACAAATTGATAGATGATTTGATTGAAGATGAAGAAAGAAAAAGAGAAAGGAAGGAAGATAAAGAGAACTAACAGAAATCAAAAAGCCTTGAGAATTGAATAGAAAGACGGAAAAGAAAATCTAACCTTGAAGACAAGATTTCACTTCATAATGTCTAGGTATTTCTTTGCACAAGATGACAGAGTATATTCTCGATTCCTATTTAAACCAAACTGAAAAAAAAATTCAGAACCGACGACTTCCGGACTCTCCACCAATGACCGATCTTTGTGGTAATGCTTCCACAACATCCTCCTCATCCCATCACTCTGATCCAATGTTCTCTCCAAACGAATTCAACAACTACAGTGGAGCGAACAACAATAACAATCCATCAATGATTCTGGGTGTTCATGATATGGCTCAGCAGCAACAACGTGGCAACATGATGACATCTCAACAAGTGCTTCAACAACAACGACAACAGCAACAACAACAGCAAAATGGACAGAACTACTGGAATCAGAACAATGGACAGCAAACTCCGTTACCCCAATTGACACTGTTCAATATTCTTCAAGACAGTGGAATGTCGAGTCCAGCTTTGGATATGCCACGAAAGAGAGTCGAATGGATACGCCATGTGAGACTCCACGGAATATAACAAGCTTCTCTGGATTGGATGGATTCCCGGATGAGAACTACAGTCACCAACAAGCGATTCGATTCTCAAAGTTCCAAGAAGAGCAATGGAATCCACTCTATGACATCAATGGAGTCGTTTTGCAACAACTCCAAGTCCACGTAGTTGCTGATAAAGGATTCAACTACAGTAATACTGATAATTGTTTCGTCAATCAGAAGAAGAACCACTTCCAGGTACTGTTTTTAGTTTCACTAGTCTCTTTTCAAAAATACGATTTCAGGTATCTGTCAATGTTGAAGCCTCTGACATCATGCCGCCACACTATGTATTCTTCAACAACCGCCACGTCAGGATTCGTGACTTTAAGTTGGCCTTCAGTGGTGTCAAAGCTGAGATGACGACTTCTGAAATCACAATTCGCCAATCTCGTGCCGACCGTAAACCACATCCACATACTCCTGTTCTCTTCGAGATCCAGGAACGACGAATGACCAAAGTCTGTGTGCCACGTCTTCATTTCTCGGAGACCACACTCAACAATCAACGAAAGAACTTCCGTCCAAACCCAGAGCAGAGATACTTCTTGCTGGTTGTTCGGTTATTTGCCAGCATTGATGATGACAATAGTGTGCTCATTCAGTCATATGCATCTGAGAAGGTCATCGTGCGAGCAACGAATCCAGGAAGTTTCGATCCTCCAGATTCGGATGTTGCCTGGCAGAGAAACGGACACACCCTCTGTACTCCAGGAAATGTCGCCATTGGAACTGATCGTCAAGCTGAGACTGCTCGTTTGACTGTTGCTGGAGACATCTACTGCAGTGGACGAGTGATCAATCCATCTGATATTCGTCTGAAGGAAGGAATATCCGAGAAGGAAACCGCCGAGGCTATTGAGAATCTTCTGAAGCTTCGCGTCGTTGATTATAGATACAAAGATGAAGTTGCCAATGTTTGGGGGCTCGATGAGCAACAAAGACAACGTACCGGATTGATTGCTCAAGAACTCCAAGCAGTTCTTCCGGATGCCGTCCGCGATATTGGAGATTATTTGACGATCGACGAAGGGCGAGTCTTCTACGAAACAGTTATGGCTACCCAACAATTGTGCCGAATGACAGGAGACTTGGATAACAAGATCGACGAGAAAGTAGCTGAGATCAGTAAGCGGCTATCTGAATATGCAATCCGCAAGAAACTTGCTAGTTCAATGGGATCCAATTTGAATGGAGACAACAAGAGTCTCTCGTATTCAAGATGCTCACTGACCTCAACAGCAACCAATGCCACGTCACAACAATCCAGGAGACAGCGAAACAAGAAGAGCAAACTCATGAAACAAGCCGAATCCTGTGGAAACCGTTTGAGCCAAGGAACCGTTGTCACTTTGGTTTCCATCATGGCCGCATGCCTTCTTGCAATGTCTGCTCTCTATATTCTCGACTGGCACAACAGAAACTATGGATACCATCAACATCATGACCCAACCTCCTCCAAGAGTGAAGTTGCCAACCTCGTCGTACCTTGTAAGTCAATTGAAGTAACAATTAAGATTTTGAAAAAATTGATTAAAGCTGTCTACATGCAACCAGATGCCTTAATATTACTCGAAAAATGCTACACTCCCTCTTGTAAAACGTATTGCTGTACTGATGCGCCGCCGATTGTTGAAGACACTGGAGCCATTGCAACACATGTAAGTCTCTTGAGCTATTTTTCGAAAATCAAATTAATCCATTTCCAGGGCCTTCATGATGACGCAGCAGTAGCACCTTCTGAGCCAGTAAACAGAACGAATGCCATCTCAAAAATGCCTGTACCCGATCATATTTCGTTTGGAACTGGAGTTGAAATCAAGATTCCAATGTTGAATGTGACTCTCGATCAACGCTATTGTATCGATAAGAGCTGCAACAAGAAGCGAGGAGTCTTCAATATCTATGTTCCAGTCTCCAAGTTCATGTCAGATGCTTCTCTAGAAATTGAGATAAAGTTTGTTTTAGAAGAACAGAACATATTTAAAATATAAAAATTCCAGCATTCCAAAAAATAAAGTCATCGGAAACTGTGGAGCTCTTCACCAATCAGATTTCAACCACAAGTATTGTCCATTCAGCAAGAAACAACAAACCGAGTCCCCGGTTCCGACTTCAAAAAGAGTAAGTTTCTGAAGAGCTAGCCAGAAATTCTAAAACAAAAAATTTCAGCTCTTCGATAATATTTATGAAATCTCCGCTGGCTCGTACGTTCAATCCGCCTACCGGTATCGTGTCGGATATTCGACTGAAAGCTGCTTTACTGATGAGGCAAATGGATCTTACGAGGAGTACAATTTGATCTTCTACCGTACCTGTAAGTTGATTTTTCATAGGGTTTTAGAAACCAAATTTTTCCATTTTCAGGCATACTATCATCTTCATAAACCTCTATCATTTCCTTTTTTCTTCTTTTTTTCCTTTTTTTCCAAGTCCATGGCAGTTGCAATTCCCAATTTTTTTCAAAGATGTCCCCCCTTCCCAAATGGTCTTTTCGTTTCTTTCAAATTGATTTTCTCTTGTCTTTTTCTTCAATTTTTTCTCACCACCATCTCTGATAATTAAGTTCCCTCCTCAAAACAATCTCATCCACACCTTCAGCATTTTATATGAATTCTCTTCTCTGTCTTAACAACCCGGTCATCTCGTGTATACTTCTGTTTCCCGTTAAGCCAAAAATCCCGTTCCGTTCCCGAATTTTGTCAAGTTTTAAATTTAAAATCTGTATTTATTTCTTCCATCTCCACCAACCACTATACCCAGTTTTACCTCACCCATCCGTTTGTTGTTCTCTTCTTCTCATGGATTCCATCAACCCCCCCCCCTTCCCCGCCAATATGTAAAAATGTTGAGTAATCAGGACAAACCTCCGTATAAATCTACGTCGACAACCCAATTCTTTCTGCTCTGGAATCTTCTGAAAACTATGAACTTGTACCCCTGTGAAAATCCATCAAAATCGCAGCTTCCAAACCACAAAAACCACCCAAAGACCTCTCGTAACAATTCATGAAAGATATCGATAGGTACATTTTTTCATGTTCATACTTATATATATATATATACACATTTCTTCTCTTTTTCTGTCCACAAAAAGCCCCTTTCTCCCTATTTATTTCGTTGATCCGAATCCAGAGTTTTTCCCGTTTGCAAGATTTTTCCGAAAATCTTTTCTTGTCTCCACCCCGTTTAATAAACTGATTCAAATCATTTCAAACAAGGATATGCATGTGAAAAAAAACAGAATCAGAATTCATGAAATATCAGATACAATTTAAAAAAAATTATAGAAAAATGTGGTATTGTTTTCTGGTAAGAACTTGGAATTTAGACAAAACAATCAGAAGGGAAAATGGCGCGAATTCAGCAAAATTTCAAAAGTGTGTTAGTTGAAAAAGTCCCTACAAAAGTACTTCAAAACGTTGTAATTTTAGTGAAATTTTCAGAATTTAATCAGCAAGACTAGAACTTTATTTTTGTAGCTGTCAACTTTTTGAAAAAATTTGGTCCTGTGGAGATATGAACTTGTTTTAAAAATTGAAAATTTGAGATTTTAAAGCGAGTTTTCGAGACAACAAACAAACATTTTTAGACCTTTTTAGGTATTTCAACTGTGTTTGAAGATCCTTTTTCGATTCTTCCGGATTTTCCGTCTTAAATCAAACGGAACAGTGTTTGTAAAGGTTACTGTAGATTACTGTAGAAAACCAATTTAATTGTATTTTTGTTGAAAACGCAATCACGTCAAAGTGCAGATAAAAGTTTGTTGGCAAAAACTACAGTATACAAGGAATACAACAATCTACAGTAATCCTCACGAACATCGTCCCGTCGAATTTCAGACAAATACCGGGAAAATCAAAAAAGAATCTTTTATTATAGCTGAAAAAACCAAAACAGGTCTAAGAAATTTGCAAAAAAATCTAAGAAAATTTCAGTTCTTCCTTCGAAAATTCGCGGAATAAAATCGCGATTTTCAAGACTACAAACTACAAAAATCCTCCACGAAAAAGTTTTCAACTGTAGTGCATTCTAAAAATTTCAGATAAATGGAATACTGTACTGGTTTTTCATACTATTAAACCTAATCTTCTTTCCCTCTCTAAAGCAAAAATAGGCTGTAAATCGAATGTCAAAATAATGAATTCTAACTTCTGCTCGAAATGAAAATCCAGCCAAACATCGGTGACTTCCGAGTGTAATGTACTTCAGAATTGAAATCAATCAAATTAAAATGAAACGATGACCCCTACTCGTTTTTCTCTAATTTTTTTTAGATGTCTCTTTCCCGAAGAAAAACAAGTCATATGTCTCTTTTTCAGACTGTTAACGCCCCATGTATCTGCAATTTTTTTTCATAACTATTTTTAAGTTTTAATTTTATGTGTTTTCAATTTTTCGGTAGTTAGAATAAAAGCCTAGAATCATGAAAACAGAGTAGGAAATGTTACCATCTGATTCGATAATTCGTATAATAAGGAAGTGACAGTCATCTGTCTACACTCTGTCTAATTGTTCCGAATTTGATTTTTAGTCTATCGTTCTGATTTATATACTTAACAAGCGATCTATTTTCTAGGTCTATTTCTCAAGTTATACTGAAAATGGGAAAGATTTCTTTGGTTCAGCCTCTCCCAGTAAGTCTATTAGATTCTCATTGTGACTGACTTCATTTTCCTAATCATAGAATCGAGTATTTTGCTCAACTTTGCTTACAAGGTGGCGAATTCTGAAATCTCTTTTTTTCAGATTTACAATACCGAAGAAAAAATGAAGAAAATGGCAATATCTCCAATATCTCCCGCTGAAATGTGCGCTGATTTAGAAGAGCAAATGGAGATAAAAGAAGAGGAAGAGGAGGACAAAAAAGCAGAAAAAGAATCGAGTCGGGTACCAAAAATAGTGTTGGTTATCACTATCCCTTATCTGGTGATTCTTCCATTATTCTCCAAGAATCTTCATGATTGGTACACAACTTCTCTTCTATGTCTCTTCATTTGTTTCACTTTGGATCTTGTGGCAATCGCTGTCAAGTTCTACGCCGTTCTTCGACCGTTGTCTTCTCTAGAAGCTACATCACTCACAGCTATGCTTCTTTTTTATGCCAAGTATATTTTTCTGAAATATCAGTCTCCATTGTCTTATTCTCTATTTTCCATATTCTTTTTAATCATTTTACCTGCGTATTACCGTTGTTTCTTATTGTTAAAACTGAAAACTCCCCACAAGAAGATGTTTAAGGCTATGGTAGAAGACGACTTCTATTGAGAAAAATAAATTATTTAATGTTTTTTTTTATTCAACAAATGATTCATTTAAACAGGTCCCACATCGTAATACAATCCAAGATTCTAATTGTGATGAATTATTTCAGTCAAATATATCTCTTCACTGATTTGTTGTAGGTACTTGGAGATGGGGAACATAGTAAAAATTCTGAGCATTGAGACACTTGCTAGATAGTAGAGATACCAAGTCTGAGCGGGGATCTTATCCATCAATGGGTAAGAGGATACAATATGATAGGCGATGTAATTGTAACTGAAGCCCCAGATCATACACTCGGCAACCAGCATTGTTCGGACAAGTCTGATCGATTTGTGAAAAATAGCGTAGAAAGACATCATTTGGACAGAATGGAAAACAAGGAAGAAAATGATGGTGTTCAATTCTTTGAAGTCAATGATTGGAATGTAGAGGATGGATGCGATCGCAGTAAGAAGGTAGAAAACATTTATCACACGGAAGCAGCAATATCTTGGCTCGGCAACCGGGTTATGTGGGTAGATCTCGATGCCACACGATACTAAAAAGATAATTAGTATTAATTAGTTCATCACAAAAATAATGAGAATCACAGGGTTCGAACTACTGTGGCACGCTGTTGCACTCTAATGAGAAGGAGCGTGGCAGATTTCAGGCTGATGGAACAAATAAACTTCCAGCGGACACTCTCCTTCTTATTAGAGCGCATCCTCACACCACAGTATCGAACTCTGTTACCACCAGCTCTATTTGAATTATTTAATTACGTTTCCAACTTACCAGTGTTCACTTCATACTTGTCCAGTATTTCCGGTTGAACGTGTACATGGCTGAACTCGTGAAGAGTCGCCATCTCCGATTCCAGTAGATAGAAATAAGACTGACTGAATGCTTGTCGTTCCTCTTTTATCGCTTTTGGTCTTTATGCGAATTGTGCGAATCCCACCTGGCGAAAAATGGAGAGAAATCAGGCCAAGAGCAGAGACTGTAGAGAACAACCAAAAAAAGAATAGAGGAACGAAAGGGGAGAGAACGGAATAATAAATATTCCAGCAAGAAAAAAGGAAATGGTTTATGATACCTGGTCTTTTACCAAGAAATGTATAAATGTATGAATGGTTTTCTGTTGGTTGGGAAGGAAGTTCAATAGATATTTTTTAATGAACAAAGCGTTTGAAAAGAATGTTAGGTAACGTAGAGCCTCGATGAAGGAAGGTATCAGCAGAGCAGTTCATTGTTCCTGGAGCCTGTAATCGTTGTGATAATAGTTAAAACCATCATTTTAAGAATATCAGTATTTCAAACTTCATTACTTGGCATATTGATAATTCCTTCAGAAAGCCTGACATGTATTGAGCTGGTACGGTACAAAGTGAACCTGTTTGAAACAACCAGAAGCAAATACCGTAAAACCTGTATCAGAAGGGCCCCTTTAATAGAGGGGCAGCCTCAGAATTGTGTTGTTTAAAATTAACAATTTTTGTACTTTTTCGATGAAAAATATTCCTGGAATTGTATAATATTACAGAAATATGTTGAACCACTGTGTTTTGCAAATAAAATTGCCCAATTTTTATGAAATTTATAAGTTTTAGCGAATTTCGAACGAGAATTTACCGTACTTTTTAACGAAAAACTTCGGCAAAATGGCAGGAAAAGTAGAAGGGCCCTCGGGAGGTACCCTCGACCAATAGAAGGACCAGCCCTTCTAGTAAAGGTGTTACGGTACATACTAGAATAGAAGGATGAGTCATACTGACCAAAACTCCCATACTTGTTCATGACTCTCTACATTTTTTGATTTTTGCGGAATTTCGATTTCCCACATTTAAAGAGAAATTTTCGAAATAAGAGTATAATCGCCTGGGGCGTCACTTCTTCCTGACCCACCGGTTTATGTGTGCATCTTCGTCTTGAAATGATAACGAAAATGCGTAAAAGAATTCAACAATAATACATTAACGTAATTTGTTTGTGACAACCAGTACCTTCTTCAAAATGACCTCAAAAAAGTTTTTGCTCTCTTTCCTCATTGGATTCATTTGTAAGTAACGGCAACTTGAAAAAAAGGTATAGCGAACCGTAAAATTTACAGTATGCCTCGGGATCCCAGTGATTCAAGCATCAAGCTGCAAAGATTCATATGTGGATCGTGTATGTGGAGAGGATCAGACAAATCTATGGTTGGATATTGTCTGTGTTGTGGATAATTCAGTTGGAATGACCAATGCCGGTCTTGCATCTGTAAGTTGTTGGTAACGTTGGTGTATTTTTTCTATCTTTTCTTGGTTATCTTTTCTAGCTAAAAAGTAATTTGACATAATGTTTCTTAATCTGTTTTCTTGATTCATTACTCTTCTCATTGGCTCTGAAATATGTTTTTTTCAGTTAAAGAGAGGAAGATTGAATTTTTTCAAATACAAAAAAAACAGGAATGCTTTTAGGTGGCCGCCTCGATTTCATCACTGTTTGTTGATGGCCAACAACTGGGAATTCAACCAAACAATCCTAGAACCACAAGAATAGGAATCGTAACTTATAACCAAGAAGCACAGGTCGTTGCCGATTTAAACAACTTCACTTCGGTTGACGAACTCACGAACAAAGTATACAGTATCCTGAATAAAGTATCGACTTCACAAGATTCCTACTTGCATTCTGGATTAGAAGCAGCGAATGACCTTCTGGAACAACAAAGTTTCAATACTGCAAGAGGACATTATCAAAAATTGGTTATTGTATACACATCTGAATACAAGTTAGTTCATTTTAGCGAACTAAAATAATTTGTCCTTTTTTAGAGGGACCGGACCACAGGATCCACTTCCATTGGCTATGCGTATGAAGCAAACCGTTTCAATTGCTACAGTCGCTTACGGTCAAGATGATATTCTTGGATTTCTTGCTGAACTTACGAAAATAGCCACACCCGGATACAACTTCACCAATGAAAACGGAGAGAACACTATTTCCGAATTGAGATCAACCATGCTCCAAGTCAATTGTTACTGTCCAAATGGGTGGTTTCAAATGCGGCAGAGCTATGCAAATGAGAATTCCTTCGAGTACGGTGTCTGCCTGCTTCCAGTCACAATTCAAGCCACGTGGCTTGCATCGAAATTCTCATGCAGAAACCACTGGAACAAAGCATATCTGGTAAACGAATATACTCAGACGAAACATGATTATGTTCTCCGTGAGTACGAGTTTTCCTATTTTAGAAATCATGTTGCATTATTTCAGAAGTAGTTAGGAATAACACTGCATTCAAACAGCCATACACATACTTCATCGGACTATCGTATGTGAATGGAAACTGGCAATGGGAACAGCCGGATGGAATGGATCCAATTGTGGTATTTTCTACTGGTAGATAATGAATAAATACTTTTTTTATTCAGGTTCAAAACTGGAATGACTGGAATCCCGGATTCCCTACTGCTTCATCCACAGCGACGGTTGGAGTGAATGTCCAAACATCACCATCGTCAATGTCGACAGGATGGCAAAATACGAGAAAAGATTTGGCGAGTATGTATGTCTGTGAAGTTGCTTCGTGTGATTCCACGAATTATTGTACTGCTGAAGACATTTAGAAAATATTATTCATGTATGTACACTTATATGCACCTAAAATAAACATTGATATGCTTTGATTTGATTTTTTAAATTGAATTTTGAAACAGGAATCAAAACATAACACCTCACAGGAGACGATAAAAGCGCCGACAAGAGTGTTCCTTCCGATTCAATTATTGTTTTTTTTGTTCATGTTTTTTCCGTTCAGAATGCTTCTCACTTTTTATGCCAAGTTTACAAAACCAGCAGAACCCAAGACTTCAGTAACTTTTTACAGTTCTTCAAAATAGTTTTAACCTCAGGCGTCGCCGGTTACTTTTGGCCGGAGCTTGGTCAGATTCCGGCAAAGACATTGTGGGAAGCCGACCAAGATCCGACAAATTACCGGCCAACTTTCGACCTCTTAACACGCAGCGCCTTCAAATTCCGGCCAAAATCTGGCCATTGTCCGTCACACTGCTGTCAGTGGGCAGCTTCTGACCAAAATTTGACCAAAATCCGTCCAAAAGCCGAACCCCCTCTCAACTTCCGTCCAGAAGTTGCAAGCCGACAGCCGAGACTATCAATTTGCTAGTGTATCGAAACAGGAACATTTTTACAAGGGGCGGTAAAAATATTATCAGAAAAATTACAGTATCCCACGAGTTTCACAGTTTTTCAGACGTAAGGAGTCTCCCTTCTATGACAGTACACCTGCCTGTTTTTTTTTAATTTGTTACCTTTTCTCTCAACCATTCCCGATTCATCATTTGGATTCATTTTCTTTCAGAAGTGGTAAAAAACTAAGATCAAATGTCTAACTACAATACAACTGACTATCGGAACAAATAATCCGAGTGCAAAGGTTTCTTATCATTCAAAATTTGATTTACGACTTCCGAACAGGAGGTACTTATGCATGTTGCTTTTCAATTCTTTTCCTTTTTTGTGGTTTTCCGATTGGAAATTTTTGAACTAGTTTCTTGAAAGTTTACCTGTTTTCAGATTCGTTTTGATTACTTTAGAGTATTTTTGTTCTGTCAAAACCCTTGGAAGGACAGAATGCCGTTTTTTAACCTGTACCATTCAAATATGTTTAACTATGTGATATAATTGTTTCCAGTCAATTAATCAGATCTACTAGCAAAATGGATTCCGATTCAATACCAGAACTATCTTATATAGTCTGCCGGAATCTCCATTTCTTCATTCCAGCGTTTTCATTGTTCATAATCGAAATCGGAATATCCAGTTATCAGATACAGTATCAAGAAGCCCTCACTTTAAGTAGGTACCAGTTGGCTTTAAGTAGGCGCCCGTTCATTTTGATATTTCCAGATTATTCCACACTTATTCTCATTTTGTTATTAGTCTCCATGCCATTATCTGTTTTCAATCCTCCAGTATGGTTCACATTATACATGACAACTTTTATCCACATGCTTTATTTCAAAGGTGGGACACATTATCTTTTTTTTGGTCGTTCAAATATTTTTCAGAGCTTTATATGTTTTCTTTGGGTGCAACAATGATGATGTTCATGTCAATTTTTTATCACGAGGCGACAAGAATCAGGACAAAAACAAAAGGTTCGAATAACCAAAAAAATGGGCCAAAATTGAAAACCTCCTAGATCGACTTCTATCTTCAATCACCGACATTTGAATTCGCTTGCTACTGGTTTCCTTCAATACTTGCTGCAAATACCGTATGCCAACTAATGGAGTGCCCCGCAAACCGTCAACTTCGAGCCCAAATATATCATTTTCTGTGAAAGATATCAAAAAGTAGTCAACAGACAAAATCTTTACTAAAATATCTAAAAAGTTTTGTCAGTTAATAACTTTCTGATAACTTTCACAAAAACAGAAATAAATTGGCTCAACGTTTAAAGTTAGGCGGTCATCCTATTAGAGGGTGTACGGTATTAAAACTTTGGTGTTTAAATTGAACAGTTCCTTGTGGTGCACATGTAATTTTCAACTAATGAAAATGTTTACTTTTTGAATTTTCTCCATAAACCGCTATCAGTGATGTGTCCTATTACATACCACAGGAAGTAGAAGAAACATGAAACCAATACGTGTGATATTATCACTAGAGTCTTCTAAAAAAGTACAAAGAATGAAGATTTCCATGGTCTAACTGTATTGAAAATTTTGGGTTCTTGAATTAAAAGGGTATTTCGATTAGAGGGGTTATTTTCCGTATGATCGCTGAGGGGGGCATCTCTATTGGAGGGACATAGTTTTTTGACGAAACTTTTTCCTACTAAACGTCCATCAACAATTTCTTTATAGCAAAACAAAACACCTATAATTCAGGCAAAAACCAACAAAATTCAGTTCATCGCCGTGCGGCTACAGTAATTTAGCAAAGGGGTCCTGCAAAGGGCACTTCAATTAGTGGGATCCTTCACTTTCATGGGCCCTTCTAATACAGGTTTACACTGTAGTTTTAGACAATAGTCTGAAACTTGCTTTCCTGGGCATTGGACAGAAAAGGGCAACGTTGGAAATCTAAGAATTTGAGGATCTTGTTGCTGTCGATAATTTTCAATCGTTTGTGAAAAGTTCTAAAATTTCAGAAGGTTTACTTTTTGTTGAATCTCAATGACTCACAAACAAAGTCAAAATATTCAATTTAAAGGTATTCCGATTTTTTTCAATTTTAAAATTAACAAGTTAAAGTTCCACTAAAATAGCAGTTGAAATGGGAGTCATGAGGTCACAGCACTCTCGCATTGCAAAATTTTGAAACAGTATCAGTTTCGAAATGTAATCTAATAATTCGAAAATCTTCGCTGTAAAATGTGTGCGACTTAAACAACGAAAAATTGTTATCAGCGTTGTTGACATCGCTCATGAGTTCGAAATGGCGCCGGCAGAAAAAAAAACGGCGGAAGAGTAGATAAAATTTATGTACCGATCCTCAAAAGAAATTCCATTAACTTGAAATTTTAATAACATAATACGATTCCGGGTGTGGCACTTCGCGAAAGACACAAAAGTCTGGTAAAGATTTCAGGAATTTCCGTGGGCGTGGTGGAGGATGCGGGAAACATAGAGGAATTAGGCTAAACACAAAAGTATCATCTTCCTTGATTATCAGTAACTTTTTCATGGAAAGACACAAAAGCTATTCGTATATAAAGGTTGGTGATAACTGATGCAGCATCTTCACAATATGAAGTTGTTCGGTTTTTTAGTATTTATTGGAGTTTATTGTAAGTGTTATGAAACATTTCTTCTCAAAATTTCTAATTTTTTCAGTTGTTATGGTCAACATTATACAACAGATAGCCCTCCAGCATATTACGATAGAAGATGTGGAGAAGATCTGGGGAACCTGTGGCTCGATGTGGTGGTAGTGGTTGACAATTCGAAAG